GTCAATCAAGTTTCTGAGGAGTAATAATCTGAATTGGCATCTTCTGAATAATAATTATTACTTGCCATTAAATAGACTTAAATGAAACCACTTAAGAAAATGATTTAGTAAAGAAGAGTTATAATCTTGGGTGAGGGTGAGATTATAGGTGATGTTGAAATTATGCTCAAAATACCTGTATCTTAACAAACTATTATAGTGAAAAGTGAAAAAGCCAAGATTTATGGATTATAAATGAGTCATTTTAATAGAATATTAAGTGATCAAACTACATTAAAGAAATATTTTTATGATTAAGCTAGCATGAAATATTAACATAACTTAAACTTAATTAAATAAGTTGATAAGTTTCATTAATCCTAGTATGAAAAAGTTAAATTAAATTAGCAGCTTTATTTGCTTAAATTAAAAAATGAAAGTGAAAAACAATTACCATCTAATCTGAATAATATTATTGAAGAATCAGAAGAATCTCAATTAGGAATATCAAAATAAAAAAATATGTCCATTCATGATTATGTACAAGAATATCCTATAAAAATAGAAAAACCTCTACTTCATTTAAAATAAAGTAGTGCTTTTCCCTCTCTTAAACTTAACTTATCGAATAGTCCTTTGATGGGATCAATGACCAGTAGAATTGACTCTAAAACTAAAGACATTGAAGAAGATTATGAACTTTAAGTGGCCAGTTTGAAAGGAGTGTTAAATAAGATCAAATTTTAAGTAAACCATAAATCTTCATAAAAAATCTTAAGATAAAAAAAGGCAAGTGAATAAGATTTTAGAAAGTAAGTCTAAATAATGTAGTAAAAAAATGATTAAATTAAAAAGTATGATCGACGGTACGTAGATTTAGTTCCTGAAAACGAAAAGATCAAAATTAAAAGATAACATGAAGCCAGTGAAATGATCCGTTAAGAAATGGGTTCAAAATCTTAACATCTCAAAAAGTTTATTGAATTCTAACTAATGAAAACAGAAATGAGTTAAAGAGTATCTAAATCAATTGAATAATCTGAAAGAAATATTGGTAATAACACTCCAATTTCAAAAGGTCAATTTTTTACTTACTTCTCAAATTCCTGCAAATAGACTGACAATCGAATACTTACTGAATCTATATAATCCCCTTCCCCTATTACTTAATCTGAATAAAAAACTCAAAATTTTTCAACATCTATTGTTGTACCTAAACAACCTTAGTAACAAAAACCTGTTTTCATTAAGAGTGAACATAATTTGTTTAGAATGAAACCTCAATCTCGATTACTGCAAGCAAGATACTCGAATCATAGTGTAGGTAATTGAAAATTGAATATTAATATAAAGTATTTACTAACCTTTATTTAATATATATTTATTAAAAGAACATAATACAATACAAAAGTTCAATTTACTATAAATTAGTAAACAAATACTTGAATATTAATAAAATATAAATCTTTTAGGATGGTTTTAAATTCACTAATCAAGATTATAATTAAAATGATGTATACTATTTATTCTGAATTCTCTCTACCTTTAAGTTCATTTTAAAATATATACTTTAAATTTTAATTTATATCATAGTTTTCATTCTTCTTATGAAAAATTCTAATGCTTCTCATTCAAAATGTGAGAGAATAAAATGAAAGAGGCTTTTCAAAAATCGAATTATAGAATAGGAATTATTCAATAAAAGTTGAATGAATTTATTTTTAATCATAAGGATGGGATAATCAATGAATTAAGTCTTAAAATATAAATTTGACCAGGTTTAATATTATATTGGATTCTATTTTACTTTAGAAAGTCTAATTAAATGTAAAATCCAATATTAGTACTATTAATTTAATTGTCATATAAATTGACAATAATATAATGTTATGTAAGAATCATTCATTTGCCAGTAATAGCTTAATATTAAAGAACTCAGACTGATATAAAAAGCACTCGTTTGGGAATTTAGAGTATTTTATATTGAAAATATATCGAGATAATAGATTAATTTAATTTAATCATAATTAATTGAGTTAATAATAAAATTAATAAATATTCAATGAGCAGCGAGGAAAAGAATCAGGAGAATGAATAACCATAAAAAAGGTAAAGGCGACCAAGATAGCATACAAATTAAGAAGAATCTGATTAATTTTGGAAAAACAATTAATATTTTGCTCAAGGTTAAATTGATGATGATGATGAAGATGATGATTCAGAGGAATATTATCCATAATAATCATCATCTGCATCTGAAGAAGTATCATAAGAAAATGAGGCTTGCGACTTTATAGATTCTTTGGAATAATGGGAAGATTGTTCAGATTCTAAAGAATAACAAAAATAGTACTAAGAATCACCATCTAAAAACTTTCTAAAACTTATGAGAAAAAATTTGGAGAACTTCTCTACAATGAGAGGAGTTCACACATAAGTTGATATCACAACCTTGTCCAGATTAGGAGAAACATCTTATGTTTATTTTAATGAAGAGTAGAAATTTAAAAATGAATTTCAAGATGTTTTAAATAGATTCTACAAATCTATTCCTTGTGATAAGTAGCGTAGAGGTGGAGATGATCAAAGCAAATGCAAAACAGAATTTCATGGAGATTTATTTGATTTTGAAGATAAGAGATATTTCATAGATATTGAAATTCTGCAATTGCAAAGAATCCTAAAATTATACAAAACATAAAAATTTGATTCCTACCTTGCTTATCGAAAATTGACAAGAGACTAAAATTTGGATTTTGAATAATCCATACGCAAATAACTAGATTTACTAAGATAAAGGAAACAATAGCTTGAGGCTTAAATGGAAGAAGAAAAACGATGTTATAAACTATCAATAGATTAATAATACATTTTAAAATTGAAGGAATATTCTAACTGTTTCACTCCTAGGTATATTTAAAGCTAAAGTAATATGAAGTATGATCAGATGTAATTAAATGAGAAGTAAACGTTCTAAATATATCCATATGAATAATAGCCTCAATGGTTAATTCAATATCAAGAAACCTTCCATATTTTTAAATAGAAAATCTCTTAGCTTTAGGCTCCTCTCTATTTTTTTAGTTTTTAGGATGCAGTTGCTTTAAAGATATCTTCTCATCTTATTTTGAAATCTTTAAAATAATTGGAAGAAGTATCAAAAAATAAATAAATTGCAAAGATATTCATTGATCTCATGAATTCACTCTTCAATATTGACATTCCTGAAGTAGATCTCCTTTTCAACAGTGAGCTTTTAAATGAAGAAATAATATCCATTTTAACATCTTAGGAGAAGTAATCTCTATTGGATTAATCTGAATAGTATAAACCATTCCCAACACCAGATGATCCTGGAGTGGAAACGCAAACTAAATTGAAGTTTTATCCGAATTTCAAAACTGAAGATTACAGCCTTTATGTGAGACCTGTGTTTGAATTTTCAATGAGATTTCTGTATGAAGTCTATCTAAGAATTTAAAAGATTACATAAATGCAAACCAAGATAACATACAAAAATAAGGATTATATTATTGGAAATTTGATAATTGAATGTTGTTATAAGTATTTAGAAGACGAGATATCTTATGCAGCATGGCTTACCATTTGCAAATCAATTCTGAATGAGTAGGATTCCATTGAATTATCAACTCTAATTTAACAAGTGTAAATGTTCCGTAGATTGTTTTATCAATATGATGAATGGACAGTTGAATTATTAATAAATTGGATATCTAAAGTATTAGGTGAAGATAGTAAAGTTCTGAAAGGGGATGTTTAATTGTCAAATTTGAGTATTCAAGACATAATTTTGAAATTGAAAAATCATGTAGAGTTGTCTAATGCAAAGATGGCTAGAATACAGACAGTAGATGGGTTGATGATCATTCATGTCTTTGAATTTTCATAATTATATTGAAAAATATATACATTTATATATTTAACAACAATTTTTAATATTAATTTAATTGTTAAATATTCATAAACGATATGCTTAACCAATCAAGATATTCTCCAGTATCTCTATTATTATTAATATCAAGGTCAATTCATCAAGATATCAAAAGTCAAGTGATAATATAGGTTTTAGCGCATTTCAAGTAACTACTTAAATGAATAAACGTCAATTGGCAGAGTTCAGGAAGGAAGTCAGAGACAATATCTTACATCGTGAACCATTCGTAGAGCATCAATAAAAGCAAAATCTCTATTTAGGAAATTGGGGAAAACGTGATAGACCCACTCTGTATTAATTCTTAATATTTTAGAGATTCATTAAGTTAAAGAAGAACACCAACTAGCAAAATTCCTGGAGGATTAAATTATGATGAAATATTGTAACATAGTTTTATATTCCATAGTAGTACAAAACGAAATGAAGCTCAATCCAAAGCTGATGCTTTAAGCAAACTGTATCAGGCTGATAAAGGACCACATATTCAGGTTAGAGTTGATTCCTTTTTTGATAACCCATTTACTATAACTTAAAGAGTGAATACTTTAGGATCTGGATACAAAGACTCTCCATAAAAGTCGCAATAAAAGTTGGAGAGATTTAAGAGTTGGGATAGTAAATTAGATGTTCAATTGAAACTGTAAAATAAGGCCATATCCAATAAAGTCCTTGGAGAATAGCCAGGATTTTATAAATACATCAATGAAGCTAAACAAGGACTCCTTGATTAAAATTATACTCCAACTCTTTCTGTAAGAAACAAAAACAGCTTTAGAGATCAAAATCAAATCAAAGATATCTTCAGTGTAACCCCAAGATAAAATAAATCAAGAAATGTATCCCCTTAGTTCACAAGTAAGAATGTAGAGAAAATCCCATTAACAGATATTGTAAGAATGACTTCACATTTTTCATCATTATCCACGTAAGAAGTTAAGAGAGTTTCATCAGGGTACTTTTAGGAACTCATAAACTTACAATAGTCATTACAAAGAATGATTAGCTTGGGAACAAAGAATTATTGAATTTTAAAATATTTCTACTATTCATCTATAAAAATTTAATTTCATAATAATTTTTGGCTTTTTTATTGTATTTCTTAAGATCTAGAAAGCAATGTTTCCTAGCTTTATACTCCATATTATAAAAATGGGCCATTCATAAAATATTGAGGTATGAATTGCATTGGTATGTGTTGTGGGAAATAATACATCATTTTATAAGTCTAAGGAGCATTATATATTAAGGGGTAAGTAGCATAACAATTTTGAGATATATTAAGACTCTCTTAAAATTGATCGAGTTTGCCAACTTAATCAAGCTCTGCTTCTTGTTTAATCTAACTTTATTAATTATAAAGTTCATCTTTTATAACTTAATTCTGTTTTGATTATTAAATTTAGTCCTACTCCGGCTATTAACCTTTAATATTGAATCATATTTACTAAAATTGAGATGAATATTTAATTTATTATTTTCTTAAGTTGTAGCTGTTTATAACTTAAGAATTTCCTAATCTAATAATTCCAATTATTTGTCTTTTATATTATTTTAATTTTTCTCCTTATTTCTAGCTTATCCATTATTAGACAATCTCTTTGATAAATTAAGTTAATACACTAAATCTTTTGCGAATTTTAAGTTTGCCAATTCTTCTTCTGTTGGCTTTGCCTTAATGTTAATTTATATTCTCCTTTTGAATTGACTACTATATTTCATTATTTTGTTGTGGAACCACATAATATGGATTCTCAATATTAAAATAACGCTTTCGAATGTATGAGTAATATCTATTTTTTATTATGTTTTCCTAATTAATAATTAATTAACAATACAGGTCTTCCTTGTAACAATTTTGATATTTTGCACCATTTGGATCCATAGTTTTTGTACCCTTCAACTATAATCATATCTTCTTCCTTGGTAAAAGGTTCTTTATTAATTTCTGGATTCAATTTATTAACAAATCTTTCTCGTACCTGCTTGCTGGTACGATTGGGTATGCATTTGGCAATTTAAACCCAATTTTTGTTATGCACTTGCACTAATCTTAAAAGTAGCTAGTCTTCCTTGCTTGTCCATGGTTTCCGAATATTATACTGAAATTTTATTAAAAAATACATTGTAAGGCTTAATTCTTTTCCATCTCTAAGCACATTGGGAAGGGTTGCGGTTTTGTAGTGCTTATGCAACTAAGAGCCAATTAGTGCTATAAATTTTTATGGCTTATTTTAGTTGGTTGTCTTCTTTGAGGGACCAGGCTCGCCTAGTTTGACTGCCATTTTTTTATAGGTCATCGTTATCGCAAATATTTGAGTGTATTTGGTTGTCGGAAGGCTAGTTATTCGGTTCAAAAGATTGGGCTTGATCCATAATATTTATTTAATATTAATTCAAAAAACAATCAAAAGAGCCTTCTATACAAGTGATTACAAATCTAATACAAAATAAATAGGATAATATCTAAAGTAACTCTATAGATCAAAATATAATATCATACCTTTAGTCTCTATTCATTTAAAAATTTTAAATTTGCTTAGAAAAAGTTAAGTTGAAGAAGTAATGTCAAGTTTAGACCAAACTCTTTTATCAATACTTCAATTAAAGACTAACCTATACAATAATCTACACACATAACAGCATTTTGGAGGCAATTCTAATTTTGTGCATTCCTTATTTAAAGAGATAATTCAGAGCTAAATTATCTCTATTTAAAATAAGAATAATTAGATTCATATATTATTTTCAATAAATTATTCACTGATACTTCACTGCTATAAAATTTGTAATTTCTTTGCTAACTTTGTACCTAGAATTTGATAATTATTTGAAATTCTTCTGACTATATAACTGTCTAACTTATATAAATTTGATATCTTACATCAAAATATAAAATACTTGATCAAAAACTCAGTGTAGCAACAAGGGAATTTACTTTCAACACCATAGTCAAGATGATGAAACATAAATTAAAAATTGTTGGATAATATTATAATTTTTGGAAACTCACCTAATAAACAAGGTCAACGTTATCTCAAAAATTCTTGTATATCTCATTTTTTTAATCAATCCTTTGTTTTACTTTTTGTTAAAAAGAGAATAAATAGATTTCAGTTTTTAAAATTATTTTATAATATAATTTATAAGAAAAACGTTATATAGTCTATTTTTAATACGTTTTTATATGTAATTTCATCAATAATTGCATTTTTACGATTGGCTAGAAATTTCAAAAGACAAAACTACCTTGGTTAAAAAACTTGGGGTAAATAAAGTAAAATAAGCAAGTAATTTATAATATTTTTTAATATATTTCTTATATTATTTAATTAAATTTATGGCCGTGATTTCTACATTTGAGATTCGTTAGGAGGTTGGTTTTCAAATTCTAATTACCAGAGTCTAAATATGACTGCCGATCGTCAAAATCATAATGAATTTTTTTAGCTTTTAGAGTACTATGCATCAGAATGGAGAATATTGAATTAGATATTTTAATGGACAATAAATTTAGCTTTTAAAATAAAAACATGATGAAAAATTGCTTACTTTGAATCTAATATTATATGAGTTGCTAATAATTATTTAGAAATTTTGTTAAGGAAATTTACCATAATTTGAATGAATTAAAATATGGACTAGTAATTTGAGTTTTATTAGCTCTGTATAGGTGTTTTGGAAGTAAAATTATTATTAGTGAGATTATAAACCATTAAATATTGGATTCAGCATGATCTAGTGTTAATTGATTATATTTGATTATATGAATATTTTTGTATTTCTATAAGATAATAAATTTTTAATAAGAATAAGGATTTGTACTATTAGAACAAATTATCAAGGTTAAGCATCTGCATTTTATTCTAACATTGATAAAAATGAAGAGACAGGAAGAATAAAATTTATTTTAAATTTATCAACATAGTAATACTTTAAAAATTATAGAACAGCTGATCACTAACCATATTATTACTCTGATTATTGTCAAATTGAACTATAAATAATATAGGAGAAATGATGAGTGATTCGAAATCAAATGATGAGTGATTCGAAATCAGATGATGACGATTAAGTTAATAATTCATTTAATCCTTTAATAATAAATCAGGAGAAGAAGGAATAAATTTATTTAAACACCATACGAGTCAAGTGATTCTATGATATGCTGGTTGATAAATTTGTAAAATTGTATCAAATTATTTGAACATATGGACATACAATTACTTTCAAAAATGGCTTGAAAATATCCCACATCTAACAATTACTATTTTCGAGGACATTAAAGAGTTACTTAAAATATATCTAAATACTTTAATTTGGCTAAATTTAATGATATTGTTTCTGATTGACTATGTATGAGGAATCCATTGAAAATCGATTCCATTTCATCGCAGCGAAACTGAATGTCCTTCTAGAATAAAAGGATTATGGTAGAATTTCCTAAGGGGTTCTAGATTCAAGTTCAAGGATAGTTAGAATTATAAATCAAGCAATAAACTATTGATATAACTGATGATTAGAATTATCAAATGACCAGCTTACTATTGATAGCATTTCATGATTAAAGACATACAAAATTAAACTTTGGCATTTATGGTGAATTGAAATCAATCGTAATTTGATATTAGTTTGATAAACACAAATTATAAATCATTTTAATTATGCTGAATGATGAATAAACTATTTAAAATAATCACTAATGTACTTAATAAACTAAAAATGAAATAAATAAGGGATAAAATGAAAAGTTTGATTTGAACCCTATAAATTATAAAAATAACTCAGAACGATTGAATTAAAACTGTAATCCATTTCATGATATTTAAAATGATTCAATAATATCTAGATTTATTTATGTTTAAATAGTGTATTTAATTCTCAAAAATAAAAACAACATTACTGTAAATTTATGTTCTAAATAAAATTTAAGAAGCACACTTAATCAACTTTGAAAATATTTTAATATAAAAAATTCAATAATATCATTCCTAAATATTTATTGGACAGCGACATTGTATTTTCATATTACTTTTTCTAAGCTTTTCGAGTCTGAAATTTAGTTTAAACCTTTTAATAATTTAAAGACAATTCTGCAAATAACTTTTAAAATTAGCATTATTAATATATTTAAAATTGAAAATCCTAAAATTTATGATTACTTTTTTTTATATTTTAGAAACCATAATGTAATTTACATTAGTAATCCAATGTTATTTAAAACCATATTTGTAGAATTCTTACTTGGGGCTGGATTCTTATAAAATTACACAGTTCTATAAAATAGTAAAGATTGCTCATAATAATAATACTGAATCAAACCTCTATGTTATTCCATGCTTCTAGAACTTTACCTATTATATTATACACTGAAATAGAAAATGATTAAAAAAATGATCCTTTTCAAAAGATGATAAATTATAACTTAGAGAGATTAATAATATTGCTATTAATGTGAGATTGGAATTTTTAATTTTCTTAAACAATTTATTCTCAACAATGTCTTTGCCAAATCTTATTTATAATTAAATTAAATAGATATGTATAATTTTCTTAAATGTTATATATTTATAAATGATGTCATCTCAACCAAGGTACTCGATTTGAACATTAGTGAGAAAATTATTGCAGTTGGTTACTCCTAAAGCTTGTAGAGCCTTGATATGGATGTCAAGTTTAGGATGGGAGGGACCTCCAGCTCCAACATCTCCTTTTTCTGCAATTATGGACTTTCCATTATAGGTAATTTTAAGCTTGTACTTATAAGCTAAATTTCCAAGAGCACTGAAATCTTTAACTTTATAATCTTTTGATAACTCAGCATAATAGATTCCAGCGTAAAGATCGTTATCACGATACCCAATTTTATCAGTAAAGCAAGAGGCTAAGACTGTTTCTACTTTACCTTCGACCTCAATTCCTAAGAATTTGTTGATAAAATTCTAAAGCTATGGAGAAGCTGAAGTCAAAGCAATGCAAAGGGCTAATAAAATGATAATCTTTTTCATTATTTTTTTAATTAATGAATATTTTATATATCATTTTTATCTTTAAACGAGAATAAATTTATAATCTAAGAAATAATTTTATAAAAAATAAAAATCAAATTTAAAAGGAGATAATAGAACAAACAAAAAGAAAACTATTTGGGAAATAACCTAAGAGATCCTTTTAGATTGAAAATATTTTGATGGTGAATTGATAAATGAGAATCCTATCATATTAACTAATGATGATAATTTCATTATTGGCAATTTTACATTCATAACTTCAATAAACATATTCATTTTTGCTTGAAGAATTACTAATACTTCTATAAAATAAGTAGTGATCTCAACCCACCATAAAATTGAATTATCTTAAATTAGAATTTTTTGGATTCTTAAATAGATTTGAAATTCTAAAATTTGAATTAGAAATGTCAGAATAGTTCATATCTGAATTAGCTTCTAATATATGTTGGGGAAATATCCAATTAGAAGATGAAAGAAATAAGACATAATTTTAAAGTAAAACCCCTACAATCTTTTTACTAAGTTTTCAAATCATCAACATGTTAAGCTTCGTACTTAATTTTGGTTTTAGTTATAGCTTGTAAAAAGGATTTGAGTCTTGGTAAGTTCATAAATTTAAATTAATATATAACTAATTAAATACATCTTCAATTGTATTCATGTTTATTTAACTTAGGAATGTATTTGTAATAGTAGTTGAATAAAATAGAATTTTACTTAGATTGAATATAGAAATCAAGAAAATACATATATATAAGCAATATTACATTATTGAAGATTTTTATTGATGAGGTAAATAAAAATGTATAAGAATTTACATCTATATTCATAATTAAAGCGCTAATAATTTTTTGATACACCACAACTTTGAATTACATTCTTAATTTTCATCATAGAGATTAAGGACTATGTGAATTTTTATTTAATTTATCTGATTATTTGTAAATGTGCATGAAAGCATTTGAGTTATGGTATCAAAGGTTTCAAAGGTGCAACAAAAAAGCTAATTTTGGCCATTAATTTTCAATTAGATTTATAACACTAACTATTATAATAATGTACTTTAATCTTCTTTAAATGAAGATATTTATGAAAAATCTGAATGGCTAATTTCATTTTAGTTTTCCGTTTCTGCATCTGCTTCACTTATATGTTGTTCTGGAATTAATTAATTTATTTATTCTTCTTTTTATTCATTTTTTATAAGAGTAGGTTCTAAATCCACTTTACCCTAAGTAATTGTGGTTTAATTTTCATTCATCTCTTTATTTGCTAGTTTTAATTGTATTTTCTGAGCTTTTTTAGAGACTTTAGGAAGCTTTCTTTAATTAGAATAATTGATTTTTGTAATATTAATTGCATTTTTATTGGACTCTAGAGATTTAATATGCAGATAGAGTTATTTTGTTTAAAAGAATATTTACTATATGATGATCAGTAACTAAAAATAGATTTGGATTATGTTTAATGTTTTTGGTAGTAGAAAGCTTGTATATTTTTTAAAAATATTTACTTGAAATTTTGCATTATAATTGAAATTCCAAAGAATAATGAAGAAAGGATATGAATTTTATTTTTCCAATCTATCAAGAATAAAATTGACATTCCTATTGACAAGTTTGTCATCTATATTGATATCAGAATCAAATACTTTATTTGTAGGAATTATTGAAGTTAATTAAGGATGCTACATCATCAAGTTAGAATCATTAAATTCAAAGGGTTATGTTTCATATATTTGCAACAGTGAATTCAAAGTGAGTATTGAGACAACTATTCTACTTGATGAGCGAGACATTTATTATATATTATAAGTATTGAGAACCAATTATAAGAGAATTGAGATTTATCTGAATAAATTAGATCCTAAGTTTATTCACCTGAACACGAACCCCCATCAAATTTTATTTTGTATAATTTTCAATATTTATAAAAAATAATTTTTAGTGAATATATTAACTTTAAGCTTTAAAAAATATATATATATCTATAGAAAGTTAATTTAACATTTAATATAGTAAAATGGTTGTTTTCCAACAACCAGTATCATTCAGCACAATATTAAAGCTTATCTTCTTTTTTCATCACTAAAGGTCTTGCTACCTCCTTTATTTTAAGACATGGGATGGCTGATTTTGCAAAATCAATCTTTTTAATAGATAAATAGGTAGGTTTCAGAAATAGACTAAAATAAAAGTGAACTTAATTTAAAAGTATCAATGAAATATGCATAATAGAAGGGAGCAAATCTCCATCGTTAGGTCCTTTTAATCTTGGATTTCTTCGAACCTATGTTTAAAATCAGTCAGAGTAGTATTTTGCTAAGCTAAACATTTATTAAATACAAAAATTTTAATTTTATTTGAAAAGAGTCTTGAATGAATCTAAACTCAAAAATTATCAAATTATGAAGACAGGTATAATAATAAAGTTTAAAAAATTAATGTAAAATTATAGATATTCTTTATTACTATTCTATTTAGTAATTTTAATATCATTGTTTCTAAATGTTTTGAGTCACTATTATTAAAAGCTTTTACATAAGAGATGTATGCAATAATATATTTAGGAATAATAGATAATAATACTTCTATTCTTGCTAATTATAATGGTATCAGAACACATCATTAAATCTCATTAGTTGATATAAGTGATTAATTCCAATCATTTTTATTTAAAATTTAGATGATTTATTTATAGATTTAAATAGTTTTTCTTTAACCTTAAAAAATAATGCTGTTATAAGTGATTCAATTCTCATACTATGTTATTTGAAGCAATCTTTGAATATGATTGTTTTAAGTTGCAAATGGAGATGAGGATAACAAATTACAATCACTTTATCAAAATAATAAATTGATATCATATGCTTGTAATGTTGTGTTGTATTGATAATTAGAATATATATAAGTGATAAGACTTTTAATTATGATGAATAAGCTTATTTAGCAATAACGATTAAATTTGCAATTTTAATGTACATAATTCATCCAATCATCTTAATCTTCTAGCTTCTCTTTCGCATTCCATAAGCTCTAAGGTGTCTCCCTTTCTAACTGGGCCCATAACATTTCTAATTAATGTTCTTTATTATCCAACCAATTAAACTTTAACTTATGTAATACCACCTCTAGATCCTACGCAATTTATTATAAATTTTGTTACCTGTTCTTCCGATAATTTCAATAACAGTTGCTCTAGTTCCTTCAACTCTGTCTTTAGTGGAGTCCATAGTTTGTTTGTTAATTTTTAATTAAATGATTTTAGATTTTATGAACAAAAGCTCTCATTATATATATATATATTAATTATATAAGAATTATATAAGGAACATTAAAAGAAAAAGTATTAGATCTGTTTTGGATCATGAGCTTAGGAAATTAAAAATCAATTCTTATATTATTTATGAGACCTGCAGTCTTATATTTTGATATTTAATTTTATATTAATAAAATGTCAGAAAGTTCACTGTCTCCAATTGACTTTTGTGATCTCAAGCATGTTAGAACTATACAAGTTAATAGATAAGAAGAAAGGTTTTAAAAGAAAAGAACATTGTTGTATTAGAATAAAGAGATGTTGGAAAAGGAATTTCTGAAACTAAATCAAAGTTGTGATTGTTCTGAATGTGGAAAAGGGAGCAAGTATTTTGAGATGATAAAAAAACAATACCCATTTAACGAATCAAGGTATTAGTTTATAAGATTGAAGATGGTAAAAACGAAAAAGAGTGCTAAGGAGATTTAAAGCTGTAATTAATGCGATCATTTTCATCCTAACCTATAAAATGGAAGCTATCAAAAAGTTTAGAAAGAGAATGCATATCCTAAAAGCAGTTCGAAATTTGACAACCATAAGAAAACCATAAGCAATTGTTCCACCCCATTTATAACCCTAACCTGTCCTTTTGATTCCTTAGTCTCATCAGTCACATAGGTTTAATTATTCAATAATTGAAGGATAAAAACTGCTCCAGAGAACGACGATGCTTTCTAACATCAAATTTAGAGTCATGGCAGAGAACCAAGAAAAAGTTAAGTATCTTAATATATAACAAAAATGTTTAAGGATGCAAACCCTAAATAAGAAATTTATCTTAAACCTCTTTGTGGTATAAATCGAAAGTCATTTCAATCAACAAATGCAAAATCAATTACCTAAACTTCATTTTCGCCTCATACTCACTCCCATTATTAATCATTTTAAGCAAGTTTATTACCATACAGTCATTTTCACAAAGACTCAATCAAAAAATCTAACAAAGATTCCTCTAAGTAAAATAATAAAGATATTGTAAAAATCATAGATTCGATGAAAGTTAAACATAGGATTATATAATGTAAAAAATGATTATAAATATATTTATAATAAAATTTTTTTATGAATTTATTTATTTCAGAATTTTTCTAAAATTGCATCTAATTACATTCAATCAAAAATCAATTTTAATTATACTCTAATCATAGTATAATAACAGAAATTGGCTAAAGTTACTCTTACTAAATATTAAGAAAAATGATTTTACAAAAAGGTAAAAATAAGTAAATAAATTATTTTCTTTGAAATTCTAATCATAATTACAAATGATTTCTACAAATTTATAAGTAGACAATTATTAACCCAAGTTATAAAATTATTTAACCTCGAAAGGTGTTTTTGTAAATTTCCAATCATTATTAATTTACTCTTATTTTAGTAATTGACGAAATTTCAACTATTATTCTGTTTTTCTTCATGAATTTAAGATCTAGAATATGCTATTTAACTTATAATTATTAATAATTATTTATTAATTTATTATTGAATTTAATAGTAATTTAAAATAAATAAATAGTTCTGATTTTTCCCCTTTGAGAATTTATATTTTCATATATAGATGGATTCAATTATTTAAAGGCTATTAAATAAGCTTTGACTATTCGTCAAAGTGCTTTAAATCTATGAATTCTAAAACGCTAATTGATTTTTCTAAATTATTATAAAAGAATTATTTTTTTCTTTTGTAATATCAGGAGAAATATCTATGTTTATAAATAGCCTTTCTTCAATTATCAATCAAATTAAAACTCAAATTTGCTTTAATTAAATTCTAGAGTATAAATTACATCAATCTTAATCTATTAATTATTAACGAATTTATTTCGTAAAATGGATCAAGTTTGCAAATAACAAGGAAATCATTCCTATATTCAACCAAAAATAATAGAAAACGAAGAGGTATTTTCATATAGGAGGATAAACGTTCCAGGGCTTCCTATTTCGTCTTTAAGATCAAGTTGCAAAGGTGACAAAAAAAGATTAGAAATTGGATTGATTTCAGATCGAAAATTAAGCGATATTCCTAACTTTGATAAAATGTTCTCTCCTGGAAACTCTAAATTTCATCAATAGAAGAATAGTATAGGTGATCTTCCACAACCATAATCCTAAGCGCCAAAAATAGAACCTCAAGCAAAGAGAAATTTGAGAATGATTGAAAAATTAGAATCTGACAAGCTTTGTTTAAAAATATATATGTCTGAAGAAGATTCAAATTAAATAATTTTTACAGGTATAAGTAAAGAATAATTATCATCACCCACCTAAAATAAAAAAGAACTAATTTAAAAGTTGTAGCAATTATTTGAGAATAGCATAAATCAGACTAATGAAAGTAAATCATTTACAGAAAGATCTCTGTTCATTTCTAAAATATAAGAATGTGAATAGAATGCATCCAATAATATAACTAAAGATTTAGAAATTTTAGAAAATGAATTAAATTCTAAAGATAACAAAGAGAAACAATATTCAAATTAGAAAATTTACAAACCATATCCATTAGGCTAATAAAATTTGACTGTAAATCTGAGAAAAAAATAGATGAGTTCAAAGATTTCATCTTAAACAATAAATAGTCCACAATATTCATAACGGAATTCAATATAAAAGTGCATGAACAAGATCAAATCTAATACTAAATCATTACATGTAACATGTCACTCTTGATTTTTAATTATTAACATATTTTTCATATAAATTTGTAATTTACTTTAATAATGATTGAATAAATGAGAAATTATTTTTGAGTAATATCAATTAATCAAAATCTAACCAATCATTTTAACAATTTAACCATCGAATTAAGCAATTCTCTATTAAATATTGTACTCTCCTTTTCGTACTTCTAAATCCATTAATGCTACATAATTTGATAAATAGAAGGTCTCTTTTTTGGATCCTTTTGAACCAGTATTTTTACAAAAGCCTTAAAATCTTCACTCAAATAATTGGGAAATTCAAAACTACTATAGATTATTTTATTCATAGTATCTTCTTTTTTCTTCTCATAAAATGGAGTTTCTCCAGTGCAAAGTTCATAGGCCAAAATACCGATAGCCCAAATGTCAACAGTGTGATCATAATCTCTTCCTGCTGCTATTTCAGGGGACATGTAATCTACAGTGCCACAAAAGGATTGTCTTACTTAATTAGTGGGATTATAAGTAGATAAGCCCATATCTGCAATTTTTAATAAAGAATGTGTAATTAGGATATTTTCTGGTTTGATATCTCGATGAATGATATTTTTGCTATGCATGTATCCAATGCCTTCAATAATTTATCTCATATAGCCTGAAACTACTTGCTCTGAGAATTTTTTTTTTGGCTGTTTCTTTAATAATTTAAATAATTCCCCATCGGTTGCATATTCCAATATTAAGACTACTTTAGACCATTCTTAGAAGTATCCATACAGTTTTAGGATATTAGGATGATCCATATATCCCTATAATTTAATTTCATTTGATAATTGCTTTTCCATGCCATATTTCTGTAAGGTTGTTTTTGGAATAACTTTCAAGGCAACAATAACTTTTGTTTATTTATCTTGAGCTTGATATACATCACTGAACTTGCCTTTCCCCAAAAATTTGCAAATTTAAAAACGTTCGCTTATTGTTGAATAGACAGGGGCTAAAATTTGAGCTTGCTTCACCAAATTAGTAGGTTTCTTAAGTGGAGATTCACCCTAAGAAGGAAGACGAGTTTCCTCTTTGACTGATTCTTCTTCAACTTAAAATGCAGGTATTATATGCCTATTCCCTATTTCCTTGTTCATTTAACCTATTGTAAATGTTAATCTTGTTTGCATATTTTTGATGTTATTATCTATGTTTTAGCATTTATCCACGATGCTTTACCAATCTTTGTCAATCGACAATATAAATCCAATTTTATCTTAATTAATCATATAATTTATTTTTAATTATGGAAGCCTATAGTAATTTTGATTTTGAAGCAAACAAGGAATTTCAGCATTATCTCTCAAACATTTTCCCAGTCCCAGTCAACGTAGAAAAATATAAACGAAATTGGTATAAGAAATACATTGACCCAAATTTTGATGCAAATGATAAATAATAATCTCAAAAGCAAGAGCAAAGTACAAATAAACAGGAAGAAAAAGAAAATTAATAGTAATAATAGCAATAAAAATAGTAACAATAATAATAATAATAATAGTAATAATCATAATCATAATAAAAATAAAATTTTTAAAGACAAACACCTCAATTACCAATTTCATTTGTAATTGAAGGAGTTCTTAAAGTATTATATTTTCCAGCACTATTATTCCTCCAAAAACCTGAATTGCATAAGTATGTGAATTTAGGTAGCGTTCTAATTTGCCTTATGGCTCTTAAAAGAATAAGAGGAATTCCAAAAAAAGGGGAATATTAAGAATACTTTGCTAAAAGTCTCAGAATCGAATTTGCAACTAACATCTTTTATATGATTGCTTTATTTGCCATAGATAATATTGTATTTTAATTACCAATCGCCTTACACTTTTTGGTTGGAGCTGCTGAATTGTGGACATAATTAAGCTAAGATGAGGGTTTTACATTAAGATTTGCCTACTATATAGTAAAAAATCGAGATGAGATTTTAATTACAAAGCAAAAGATAGAAATATACTTGTTTTTCTATTCAGTGATTGGAGTATTTCTAAGAAAGACTTCCTTATTTTTGGGCGTTTTTATATTCTAAAATATATTGTTAAAAACTAAATGCAATTAAAAAATGATGATAGCTCAATCAAACATCAAGGATTGGTATAGAAGTAATTTACTTGAAAATTCCAAAGTCCCACAACCTTTATAGAAATTATTAGGACTAATTTGGATTGGATATGAAAAATTAATTACAATTTTTTGAGTGTTGTTAAATTTACAATAGAATTAATTAAACATTCTAACTTATTCCATAATATTTAAAATTATGAATTGAGTTAGATTGAAAGTTAAATTTCTTCACTTTAATCATATAAAAATTTCATAGATTTCTTTATTGATGTTACTTTTTTTTACAACTTATTTCTTTTTAGGATCTTAATTGAATGATTAAACCATTCAGATATGAAATTTATTCCTAATTGAATCCTATAATTGATCAGACTTCTCCATCTTTAATTATATGATATTTTTATAAATCTCGAACACATTTATTATAGTTTATCTACATCAGGATAAACTAGCATTCATTTTCATGCGTCACTAAGAAATCCAACTCCTTCTTTTAGTTTTTGATTTTCACTAATAAATTTGGATCTAACGCTAGAAAAGTAATAACATCTTTTTCTCTTCCTTATGATTCATCTACTGTGTAACTTAAACATTTTTCATTATATTTTAATTATTTAGTAATCTACCAAACCTGCTGACGATAAGACTTATAGTTCCTATATTATTCATATTAAAATTAGGAAATTTGTTTTTCATATCTTTGTATAGTTCTGCAACTACTTTAGCTTATAATCATACTTGTATTACAAATATTATTTTGGTTTGATTTAAAATTTCTTTTTTGACTTTATCAGTTCCTTCATTTTATTGTTCATATACTTACTATTCTACCAAACATTCTGATGAATCTTTAAAGAGTTTAGTCAAAATTTTCACCAATTCTTATTATTGGTACATCAGCATATTCATCCAAAAGTCCTTTTTGATGAATGTTCCTAATTATTTCATCAACAGATACATTTGAGGAACCGCACACTAATATTTTATTTGGGATTTTAGTTTAAGATTTGTCACTGTTGTAAATGTAAATTTGTTCTTCTTTTGGAAATCTGAATGTCTATTAGAAAATAGTTTGATATATCATATTCTACAGCACCGAAGATATGATCTCTCCAATAATCATATTTAAAAAATTTCAAAGGCAAGGAAATTCTAAATTAAATTATTATCTATTTGCATACTTGTTTTTAAAAATAAAGATTAATAGGTCTTTTTTATTTAGATTGTAATAGTGCGCTCAAAGTTTCAATAACAAATAATTTACTATCTTTAAATTTGTGAATTCCATTGATATTTTTTTCAAACTTGTATTCAACACCAGGACAAGCCTAAACATGCTTTATATGAATTAATATATTAGCTTTAATCTCCTCATAAAAAAGCGTTTCCAAATCTTTTATAATTCATTTCATCGTTGAATGAAATTGGTACTTTACATAAATAATCTGGCTCAAATTAATCCTCCTATTGAACTTCTTGTAAATAAGGTTTTGATTATGTTTTTGAAATCTAGTACTAGAGTAAAATGCTAAAATTTATGTAAATCTAACTTAAATTTAATTATTTATTCCTTTTCTAAAAATGAGATAGAAAACATAAAGTGTAGTTAATTATGGAAAATAAAAATCTCACACATTAATATTGGCGTTTAGAGATTAACTAGATTAAAGTGCGATGTTTTTGTTTTGTTAAACTGAGTTATCAAATTATTTCTAATCAGTTTAATAATGAATGTGATATGGATTTGCTATTTGATTTGAAAATTATTAATTTATTGCTAAATATATTTCAAATAATGGGAAATTGCCAATGTCAAAAATATTTTGATTCAGAATAAGAATCTTGCAACAATAATCTTTAGGAAATAATCTTAGATATTAATAAGAAATAGGAGAAGGCGTAGGAATTGTTCATTAAAATTAAAACTTAGCGACAAGAATCTTTCTCTTTGTTTGATTATGAGAATTAGAATCAATAAAAGGAATCAATCATAAAAGTACGTGGATTTATATTAATAAGATTAGAGAAGGAGGCTATTTAATAAAAAATAATAACGAGTTGTAATGGATAGATGAAAACGTTGATTGGAATAAGTGTGTGATTAAATAAGAGCAAATACTTTTCAGAATTGAAAAAATAAATGGAGTGTTTACGATAATAAATCAAAAGGGAGAATGTAAATAACACTTAGATGAGGACAAGCAATAACTCACAACCAAAAACATTGGAGACAATAGAGATTTTCAATAATCTGAGAACCTGGATTAGTTTGAAGGGGAAGAATTTGAATAATCATCGGAATTAATAAAAAAATTTGGTAATCAATATTAAAAGTTGAGTCAAAGTTAGAAAACAAACCCTAAAGTATTGGAGAAGGGAAGTAAGTTATGGCTAGTAGTTAGATCGATCTAATAAAAATTTAAAAACCCTGGAATAAAATTAAAATAAGGGGATCTATTAAAATTTGGAAGAGTTAAATTTAAAATTAGGGAAATTCAACTAAATAAAAGAGAGTTATTGTACATATTTATATAATTTATAACTTTAAGATGTGATTCGGATTCTGGTGGATTGAGTCAATCTGATAGTGTTCTATGTAGAATATGTTGTAGTAGCTCTGATAGTTTATAGAATCCATTGATTAACCCTTGTAAATGTACTGGATCGATCAAATATATCCATCTGAATTGTTTGAAGAAGTGGTTGAAATTGAAATTCTAAACTAAACACAGCAATCATTGTATGATCTACATGTGGAAAGATTTAGAATGTGAAATATGTAAGTTTAATTATCCACCAATTTTTAAAAGTAATGAACATCATTTTGATTTGATTGAATTGAGTAAACCAATAGATCAAAATTATGTGTTGATGGAAATCATTCAGAATCATCGTTAAGTAAATACTTTAAGGTATCATTAAGGATGCAAGAAACAATAAGTAAATTCAAGATTAGACATGGGCTTAATGTAATGGAGTCTACATAATTACTTTTAATAATAATGGAGATGATAAGGCTATAAAAACTAATTAGTTATAGATTGGAAGAGCCAATGAAATGGATATTAAAATAAATGATATTTCTGTAAGTAGAAATCATGGAATTCTGAAATTAATTGATGGAAAATTGTATTTAATGGATAATAGATCAAAATTTGGATCATTGATATTAATTTAACAAAAAGTTATACCATTAGTACAAGAATTGAATGGAATTGAAATTTAGCTTGGAAGAACCGTTGTCCAATTCAATTTTGGAAAAGATGAATTAAGTGAGCAATCTACTCTATAAGTGTTAGATTCTGAAGATTTTGAGTAATTATATTATCTTATCATAAGGAAAATCATTGGTCCAGATCCAGAAGATGAAGATCTCCCTTATTTTCTATGAGTTTTGTTATCTTTTTCTATAATAAAAAATACTGTTCATTCCTTAACTCTTTTAATCTAAATTAGGTTGCAATTAAAGATTTATATTTATTCTTTATTTTAAATCCCTTAATTTTACAAGGGCCTAAAACTTTGACAATAAATCTTTCATTAGAGTCATTGAGGATGTCAGGAAACAAACTTCATCTAGCAGTTGTATTAATTTTATAAATAGCAAATTCAATATGATCAACAGAATTAAATTTAGATATCAATTTATACAATCAAGGGATTTTGCAATTATTCCTTCTATTTTAGTTTAATCCCCAATCTGATTTTCAAGATACTCTATTTATCCTGTTTATTTTCTATCCTTTAAGGATCCCTTGATTTGGAATTCTTTTTAATCAGCTTCATTTAAAATGACTTCTGTGATTTTAATTTGTAATTCTATTTGATTTTCCAATATCTCATTTTATTCTAAAGTCATATGCATATGTAATACTATTCATAAATGCATTGAAATTTTCATTCCAAATAAATGACTTTTCATTTATTTCATCCTCTGGAATTAAAACGTTGAAAATATTGAAGATCTGAACAATCATATGTGATTTAAATTATTGAACCAATCTCCCTTTTACTAAAGATCCTAAGAAAATTAAATATTATATTAACCTGAGTGCAATTACAACAATGTTACTGTATATTCAATATCAATGAACATTTATGGTTGATCATCAAATGTCTCAAGATATTCAGATACTATGTTAACTTTCTTAACAGCAATGACAATGCTCTAAATTAATTACAAAATTACAGGAATTGAATTATGTATTCTGCATGTAAATATCATCTTTGGAATCACATTTTAAATTGATTTTGATATATTTTTAAGATGATAAGGCATCAAAACAATTGTGGTTTATTCTTTGAAACTGGTTAATTGCAAATTATCCATAATTATTCTTTTAATTAAATAATTTTATTTACCTTATTAATGAAATAGATATTACATTCTATGCATAATAAGAATATGATAATTATGTTAAGAAGAAAAGATGATTGATAATATTGGTTTAATTGCTTTCTATTGACTACAATTTATAGTAATTATAGTATAATATTATTTTATATATATAAATTACTGATTAATGAAAAGTTCTACTCAACCATAAATTATTGTCACTCCAAACCCTAAACATTCAGTAACCGAAGAGGGTGATGAATTACCAAATCCTATGCTGGATTCTATTTTGTCACAAAAGTCTCAATTATCTTATTCTGGTCCTGCAAAATGCCTGAAATTGAAATTAAATTTAAATAGAAGTGATTAAAGAAAAACTTCAAATAAATTCCTTTAGATCAGAAGAGTACCTTCAGAATCCAAAAAAGAATCATATAAAAATCAATATAAGTAAATGGATAGCTTGTTGCCATTGTTAAAATTAGTTTAGTTGAACTAAAAATAAAATAAAACTGAATGTTTTAATGGAGAGGAAGTGACAATAGATTAGAAGGTTTACTTTATAAAAACAAATGAGATTTTAAACATTTTTCAAAAAGCTGCTGATGGATTCACAATATCATATGAAGAGGTAGAAAACCCACAAGAGAAACAAATGAAACAAAGTGTTTCGATATCAGAAAAAATGATGAAATCTATGAGAGCAATTAAATCATTTCAGAAAGCCAAGAATAAAATCAAATCGTTTATCTTAGTTTCTGATGTTTCTAAATATACTGAGGAAGAGGTTAAGCGTAAATAACAAGCAGATAATATGAATTTATTCTTTAGTGATAATACATTTATTTTAAAAAGTGATCATCAATTAGGAGAGTAAATAATAAAAACTAAATCTTCATCTCCACAGAAAGATAGGATAGGTGAATCACAGCATTTTTAGTAAGAAAAAAAGATCATACATTAAAATAAAAGATTACCAAGCAGGATGTTTCACTTTATATAGAATTCTAAAACAATTTTAATAAATACTTCATTTGTAGTTGGGATATTTTTACTAATTCTATTGTTGGCATATATCAAAACCTTAAATAACTATCCAACTCAAATGGAGGATTTGTGAATAATGTTATATATTAATATATGTATAAGCTTTGTTTAAAAGTAGAATGACATTTATTTAAATTATTAATAAAATAACATAAATAGTTCGTTAATTATGAATACTTTGAATAGTATGACAAATCCTTATAACATGCCTTCTACACCATATGGTGGAATCTTAGATGCAGATGGGTGCAGAATGCTTGCTCGAAAGATCTTCTCAACTTACGATCGTAAACAATTCTTTAATGATCTCAATAGTTAGCAATAAAGGATACATTGATGTAGTCGATATTGGATCGATGTTTACAGATGCATATCGATCCTAAAATATTGTTACAAAGCCTAAAGTTAATGAAACCAATGGATATATGAAAGCTATTAACAGTAAATTATCTTTATCATATCTCTTAGAAACTGCTTAAAATCGATTAACTTTGTAGGATATTGAATAATATTGTTTAAGAAAATTTTGCGGAACTTCCTATCAATTCAAGCAATAATAATCAGTTAATAAGTGAGAGTTTCTTCATAATTTTAGATAACCAAATTATATTGAAGAGCGTTTATAAGTAGCGAGGACCTTATTCAAGAAACTTGATGCTGATGGGTCAGGGTACATCACAGAGGATGAAGTCTATGAAATTATCAGGGAAACCTACAGATAAATGGGTATCTATTGAAAGTCAATTTAGGCATGAAATATGAACCAACTGCTGATGATGTGAGAAGTTGGATACATATGACTGATTCTGATGGAGATGGAAAAGTTACTTTGGAAGATTATGAAAATTTAGTTTTGAAATCTTTGCAATAACAAGCTATCTCATATAATTTAAGTTGATTTTATTTTATTATTATTATTATTATTATCATTATGGATAATTATGAATAAGTTTTATTTCTTAATCCAACTCAATTATAGTCTGTACAAAGCTAATTCGAGAATATCAATAAATAAGTCATTTAGCTCTATGAAAAAGTATAAAAAGTATCATTATTAGAAAAAATATAAAAAAGTTTACACGTTATTATCCAAATTTTTAGATCGTTACGATCATACCAATTAGATTCATTTAAATGATAGAATTCATTTTTTAAATATACTCCTAATGTCCTTAAATAAAATATTTAAGAAATCCATTCTCAAAGATATGTCCAGGAAAAACCTAATTGATATTAAAGTCTGGAAATAGAAACTTACTAAATACATTGAAATCTATCCTATTCTCATATCCAAAATTAATTCAAATTTAGAATTGGCTACTGCTGATCCTAAACAAAGAATTAGAGAACAATTAAGAAATTCCATTTTTAAGGATTAATTAGAATAATAAATTTAAATCATAAATACCAGTGGATAACTAAAGTTAGATTAAATTACAGTTCCTTTCTTATTAACTTAAGAATTTGAAATTTATTTGAAAAACATAATGATCGCATACAGATTGTAAAGTTATTATGCAGAAATAAAGCCTAATGAGAAGTTAAAATTTGCCCTTTTATCCTATGATATAAGTAAAATAATACTTTAAAGCAAAGGCAGAAGAGTCTCTAAATTATGTTAATATATATTATCAGCTACAAATTTATTTAATAGATACTTTGAATCAAAGGATGATTTATGCTCTCAATTAATTGAAGAAATCAATAATTCAGAAGCTTTAAAATACTTGATATTTTTAGTATAATAAGTTGAAGCTCATGGTGATTTCAAAAGTAAGCTTAAATGCAAATGGAAATTTACGAAATTGTTAAAACCTCTGATTTGGTTTTGGATCCAAACAATTTATTATTATCAATCAAAATTTAAGTTTGAAAGATGTTCAGAAATAATGGGAGTACTGAAATGGCTAAGTTATCATTACTTAATCTCAACTGATGAACTATCAATATACGTTTAAAACATTTCTGCAATTACATTTGCGAAAAATAAAGAATACATTATATTCAATTAAATTTTAGAGTAAATATATTTAAATGAAGAAATTGGATTGCCTAGAATCAAGAACTTGTTTGAACAAAAAAATGCATAACTTGATGACCTATTAAATTAGAAATAAACAATCAATTATTACTATAATTAAAATAATAAGGATGGAATATCATAACCAGAATATTTCTATTGTCGACCAAATGCATAAATTAAACTAGCTCATAATTCAGAACTTGCTTTTATTGAAATCAATAATGAGAATTTTAGTTCAATTGACACGAGGTTATCTAGTAATACATTGAGATTTCCAAAGAAAGAGAACACTTCAATTCATGGATCTAAATCTTTTAGAGGGTCGCTTTCATAATTTTCTAATAGTTTTTCTGACAAAAAAATATCAAACTAAATCGAATAGATTCAACCTTAAACTTAACCCAATTCCAAACCTACTACTTAGTTTTTGGATAAAATGATTAAGAAGATGATTGAAAACAAAGTAATGACAGATGACATCTAGTAAATTATCTCGTTTATTTCTTAGATGTAAAGAAGTTCAATTGTTGTAATTGCTGAGTAAAGAGAAATTGGAATAAAAGGAAAGTGATTTCTACAAGAAACTATTAAGATTTAAAACTTAATTTTCTAAATTCGTATTACCAGTTAAATTAAAATCAAAATAAGAAGTTATAACAAAATAAGATTTACAAATGAGAGTTATTAATAAATAAATACATGTTGATTCTTTAAATGCTAAACCTAATCAAATATTAACAAAATAAAATGATCTTGATAATTCATTACTATCTTTCGAAAAGCCAGGAGCAAAATTAGGACCTTTATAGAAATTGAAAAAGATTATTTTCTAACATCCAGAAGTTTTCTCTCTATAAAAGTTTAGAAATAAATTAAAATCATCAAAAAAATGGTACAATAGATCCAATAGTGTCAGAATGACAAATGCAAGTATTATCACTTTCTTATTTAAGGAAGATCAGTAATGATCATGAAGACAAAAGAATAGCACATTCAAGAATTAAATTCCTTAAGGGAGAGGTCAATGTCTTAATTAAAAAAGAATATCAGTGAAACACAACTCAACATATAGGGTGTAGATAAAGAACTGAGAAGTAAGAGTGTTAGATTTAGGCAATTTCGATAAAACACTGAATAACCATTTTAACTTGAAAATAGATACTAGAATTTAAGCAAATCAATAACTAAATTAGATTAAACAAAAAAAAATATTTGATCTATAATAATATTATTCCTAATAATATTATTTTATAGATTAAACTGATCTTATGAAATTAAATATTTGAAATGTTGAACCCATCTTAACCTAATTTTTCATTATTAGAATTTATTTTGTTTTATCTTTTCGAATATCAACAATTAATTGTGATTTTTGGGTATTGTTAAAACTACTTGAATCATCAATAATAGTCATTAAAATTACAAGAATAGTTGAAAAAAATGTAAACTTTCATTTTTCTAAAGCGATCTATATTTTCAATAAATAAATAATCAATTAAACTCTGATCTATCTTTTTATTTATGAGAAGGCAATTAAATATTTCCTAAAATTAGTAAACAACAGACAGCATGCAACAGATTGGGGCGATGTAGTAAGCATTAAATATATAAAAGAATTAGATAAAAATAAGCCTTTGAATTATTGAGTTACACTTTGCTTTCAAATTCTATCTATGTAATTACAGTATTGATTTTATGCTTTGAACTTGCTTATGATGGAAATATGTTAAGTGTGATATATTGCATAGATTCAAAATTATTATTATAAATTCTCCATCAACTATACTTTTATAGGGCATTTGCTAAAATACATGTGTAAGAGCATATTATATATTATTATATTAAAGAAAATACAATCACGCCTTAATAAGATTATTCTAAATATTCATTGAAGTATGCTATGTGCTCTCACTTAATATCTATGCTGTCACTAGAAAAAATAAGTTGATGCTGCTTTCAAATACGTTTCCTCTTATAAATATATCCCTATCATTGGTAGTCAAGTTTAATGAAGGGAATTAGCTGTTTAAAGAATCAGTACAATAAATTAATTCGTTTAATGTATTAAGAAACTTTTGCATTTTGCTAACATCAATATTTTTCAGTTTAAAAATAGAAGGATACTTGGATATTGATTGGTTATACACTTTATGGGTGTTTTGGCTACTATTTAGTTTTACAGCATCATTTATTGTATATTACATTTTTGTTGTATTGGCCTTAGGAGTTCAAGTTATTTTGGATTAGGGCAATTATGAAAGAAACCTGGGTTTATTATTATAAATTATAATTAGTGATAAAGAATGTTTGGGTATTGCTGTTTCTGATATCGTGTTCCTCGATGTTCTTTGTCATACCAATATCTATATTAAATTTTACTACTTAAGGAAATTATGAAGGACCCGTTTAAGCAAGTAGAATCATCTTGATAGCCAACTCAATAATATTCTCTTATTTTAATGCGAAATTTAAATCAGAGTTAATTTTGGCTTCAAAAATGTTCTTGTCTCTTAATGACTCCATAAATCCACTTCATACTATGATCACTCAACAAGGGGAAGCCCAAATTCAGCAATTTAACAAGTAAGACTATTTAGAGAGTCAAGCTTCAGAAGCATAAATGCGAATTCCAAGAATGGTCAAAAGGATTTCAAAAACTTATTTTGGCTTTGATGATCTTAATTAATAGAAAAAAAGTGATTCCAAAATATAAGCATTAAATAAAAAGCCCACTCATCATAAAGCTTTATCATCTCATATTCAAAAACCAACCGAATAGAATGATGAAAGGATAAAACTCGCATCTATGATGAATCTAAAATTTAATGAATAAGAAAATATAGAGGAATTAAAAGGAACTTCCATTTTGCAACACCAATAAAATGTATTAACGATTTGATATCAATAGGAAAATTAACAAAACTCAATATCTTTGTCATCCATAAATTTGTGTTGTATCTGCTATGATAGTAATCCAGATGCTTTGTTTATGTAATGCGGTCATGGTGGTGTATGCTATCATTGTGCTTTAGATATGTGGAAAAACAAAGATGAATGTTACTTATGTAGAAAGGTTATATCATAAATTTAATCTTAGAAAATAGATCGAGTGTTATAGATTTAAATCTGTGAAAATGCTAATAATTTATATTAAGTAGTTGGAGCTACGTAAATGAATTCAAATTAGAAATAAAAACATAAAATTAGTTAATAACATGATTAATGATGAGTTACTATTAAAAATTATATATTTGAATCAATTTCTTTTCTTCTTTCCAGTTCCTGCTCTTATATGCTTTTCTGCAATGTCTCTGAGTTGAGCTTTGGAAAATTACTACTCTGAGAGTTCAGTATCCTTAAATTTATCAACTATTATAAATTAGATTAGATTATTACGTATTCTTTGTAATAATTCATCATTTGGATTGTCTCCTTAATTATTTCCATCATCTATTTTAATAAAATTAGATTGTTTAGCCTAATTTAATAATAGTAATACATCTTTCTTCATAAAATTATGACGTGGATTTTATGCAATGTCTTGCATTTATAAAATATCATTTGTTCTTATTTCGATAACACCCAACACTTTTAGTAATTTATCTTCATCCATTTCTTTAAAACTCTTATTATATAGAAATTTAATTTTACAAATTTAGGTCCTAGTAATTAACTGTATTCCTTTAAATTGCAACCAATACGTTCAAACATAATTGGAATACTGATCATCAACTCTTTTAGTATTTTAGATATTTCATATAGTTTCTCTTACAATTTCTCTTATTTTGCTTTAATTTTGACTAGTTTTTCCTCAAATTGCAATTTCTACTTATATTTTTAATCAGCCATAATTTTTTAATCTCTGTTTTCTAATTCTTATTTCTCCATTAATAGTAATTTATTTTATTTTTAAAGCATTTCCAATTCATCAGATTATTCATAAATATATTTAAAAGCCCCATAATTTTATTCTTCCTATTCAACAAAAATATTAACAATTTCATCGATCTATTCTGATTTAGTCTAATTATATAATTATTTTAAAGTCTAATCATAAGTTTAAACTTCAGATTGTAAATCCACTAAAGCTTATTGTTCTTGTTAATTTTATTATGCTTTTTATTCTCTTTCTAATATTTTTTTCTTTTTCTTATCAGCTGTTTCATTAATATGTAATATTTCATATTTCAAATCTTCAGCATCGGCATCCTCCTCAGAACCACTATATCTTTCATAACTATCGCTTCTATGTTTCTGTTTTTTATAATTATCAGCTTCTTTTTTGCCTCTACTTTTCTCCCTTGATTTAGATTGATGTTCAGGAGATTTGGATTCTTTAAATTTATCATAAATGCTTTTGAATTCCTTGCCAAATTTTCTTTATTCTTGGGCTTCATTCCATCTTAATGATTTGATTGTATTCATTTCTTAATGTAAACTTTGGAATGCTTTTTCTTATTCTTGACTTCTTCCAAGCATTTTCTCATGGTGAGCAATCCAATCTTCTTATAATTATTTGAGAATTTTCTTAAACATTTCCTTTTCCCTTCTCATTTTATTTATATCATTTTTAAGTTAAACTGTTTCATTTAGCATTTCATTCTCCTTCTAATATAAATAAGCAAGATTAAATTAAATGTCTATTTATTAATCATTTAATACTTTAAGGCTGTCTTCTCATTTTCAGTTTTTTGTCCATTTATGAATTTTATTGGTTTTATTTTTGATTTCTATTTTCTCCCCATCTACTACCCCTCTCTTATTCATAAATTTGTCTCCTCTTCTTTTCTATTTCATTTTCTTTGATCTGAATTTATTCCTTTAATTCATCCCTCTTTGCATGCAAAGTTTAGAGTTACTTATTTAGATTGGCCTCTTCTTCCTATTAATTTGTAATCTTAGTAAATGTTTATGATTTTAAATCCTTCTCCTGACTAGATCGAAAACTACTTTAATGTATTAAATTACGCATTTCCTGCAGTCTAAGTTCTTTTTAGATAAGCAACTTTATTCATAAATATTAATTAATTTAATTGCAAAATATATATAAACATTCTATTAAACAATCTCGATAATCACTCTTTAAAATAGTCTCAAACTCAATCTCATTTGTATTTAACTTTAAATAAAATGTTATTTTGATACTGAATTAAACTTAATTTCAAACTAAACTGAAAAATTATATATAGAAATCTTTAAAACCATACCTTATTAGAGAGGTTTGCATAGAATTATAAAGTTAGTGTAAATTCTCTAAAGAAATTTCATTTTATAACTAAAAATATATATAGAGGCTCCTTGAATTATTTTAATTATTTGGAAACGCCAGAATGTATCTATAATACTTCATTTAAATATTCTAAGATATTAATGCCTTTAAAAAAATTTATATTTTTATTATTATGTGCAAAATTTAATAAATCATTTTTATTTTTTACTTATCTCACTTTTTTAGCTTATTGGCCTATTACTGGCTTAACTTTAGTTGATTTTAGATTCAGATTTGGATTTTTCCAATAAATCTTTCAATTATTATCTTTCCTTTGCTAATTTCACGATATCTTCCTTATGCTCACTGATTTCCTTTGACTTTTCTTTCAATTGCTCCTAAAGCTTTATCTTTTCTTATTTCAAATAATCCTAAAATTATTTCTCCTTTTAAAGATTTTATTAGATATCTTCTTAGGTAATTAATAAATCTATTAAATTAATTAAATATTAGATTACCCGTTAATTTTTTTTCCATGTTTTATATTTCTTTATTCTATCTTTAAACAATGATTTATAATTTCTGATTATCTTAGGTTAACTTTTTAACTTATTCTTATGTTGGTTTATCTTGTTCTTTGTCCAATTGTGCCTTTGCTTCATATTCTTCTCTTAGTTTATCTTACAATTATTTAATATCCTAAGCAAATTCTAATCTAATTTCTTAGGCTATATTTTGTTTCTCAAACTCTAGTTTTTTCACTTAATCCTCAAGATCTCTAAACCTCTTATCTTTATCAAAATCAGCATTATTGAAAGATTAGGTCTTTTATATTTTATCATTTGAATTACTCTTATTAATACTATTAATAGTAGTGGTTGGTTTATTGTTAGGAGTAATACTAATGGTATTTTGTTTTTTCAACTTCTCTATTGTGTTCTTAGCTTCCTTTAATTCTGATTGTAATTTATTTACTTATTCACTCAAAATATAATTAGTTTGATCTTATTTTTTGTCTGAGGAATTGTATTATTTGGATGAACTGGCTTAAGAATTAAGTCGTTATGATGGATTATCAAATTAGATAATTTATTGCAGTTATTAATTATCTTTTAATATATTGTTTAATTTAGCTTAGAGATCTTGATTCTTTTATTTGATTTCTTGATTCTCATTTTTTAAGACTAAAATTTCTTAGCTTCGCTTCGAGGCTAAAACTCCCAGGGCTGTATCAGATGACAATTTGGTTTCATTTTTTGGTATTTTCTATTTCAATTCTTCAATTTCTTAAGATTGTCCTTAAATCACTTATTTTAGATTCATATTTTCTTCTTTGAGTTAATCAAGTTTATTTACATCTGTTTCTATTTTTTTTATTGTTTTAACCAACTTCTGGTTTTCATCTATCAATTTTTGAATTTATTAGTCTTTTTAATTTTGAATTTAAGCAGAGGCATTCTATTGATTTTTGAATTTTTGTTTTTCTTTGTTCATTTCATTGTTCTAATCATTTATTTGATCAGTTAATTTTTTATTTGTTTATTCAAGATGTCTTATGGTATTTTCTAAATCAGTAATTTTTTGGGTTTATAACTTTTAATTAGCAGAAGCTTTTGAAAGATCAGAGACTTCCTGAGATGTTTTGCATGGACTCTGATTAACATTACTCATCCTTAATTATATTGAAATAAAAATTTAATAAATTATTCACAACAGTTAATGAATTATCTATTTTAATTTCTGGTTTTCTTCTGGGATTTAATTGACTTAAGGATCAATTACATTCTGAGGCTGTTAGGTTGTGAAATTAAAAGATAGTTTAACCTTACCATTTCTCTTTTTACAAATCATAAATTGATTAGACTGATACTTTATTTTTCTAAATGGTTTAGTCTATAACAAATGTTTCGATTTGAAAATAGTTTACTCCTCACTTTATTACTATTATTCAAAAGGTCTTTTGATAATATAGAGTTTTGAGCTCGAAGTGTCAAAATCATTCTTGAAAGCAAGTTTAATTGCCATCAACTTGCCAAATGAATAATTGACCATCTTCCGAAATACTAATAATAACATTATGACCATCGTCAAAAAATAGTCTAACACATTTAATCTCACCTAAGTGACCTATAAGAATCTTTCTTTTGTTTATTTAAATTGTAGGTTGAATAGTATAATTAATTGATAATGATTGTATTTTATTTAATAAATTTTCTTATTCACCCATCCAAAATAATCATAATTAAGATCAACATCCAATGTTAATGGATCTGATTCTAATTAAATTTAAAATATTCTATTGATGTAGATGATGTATACATTTGAGTTGTTGTAATCTCAAAGTTGATCAATTCGTTATCTTGAGAAATAGTAGCAAGAATATTTTTAAGTACAAAATCATTAATTCTAGAATTTTTTTTTTACTGAAGACTTTAAAGGGTTTAGTTTTCAACATCACAATATCATCCAAAAGAAATAAATTAATATCTATTTATGATGGTACAATCACTAATATATTTACTATTCTACAAGTCGTCCAGAACCAGTAGATATTATTAAAAATGATAACCTTAGTCATATCTTTAGCTACAAAATCAAGGGTAAACTTCAATTCTTAAATTATGTGTATATCCTAAAATCTTTATTTACATAAATAATGCAATAGATTTTATTGTATTCAAAGGCAAAATTAATAGAAGACTCTCCTCTTAGATGTTATTTCCATTATTCAAGTACTTAGTAATTGAAACAAGATCAAACATTTTTAGATGAGAAAATCAGAATACTTTAATTAGAGAAGCATATTGTTTTGATATCTGATTCTAATCCTATGGTTTATACAATAAAGTAATTTTAGGATCGATTATTTTTATAGCATTTGAAGTTTGAGCAACTATCAAATTAGTTGATGCATTGAATGCCGTAAAATAATATTGTTGATATATATTTATATTATTTAATGCTAAATCTACATTTATCATTATTACTATTATCTTTACAACATTTGTGGTGGAATGTTACCCATCATACCTTAAGGTGGTTGAGCGAAAGCTGTCTTTCCTAATAAACTAACAACTCCTGTTTCAATAGATTTCAATAATTCCATCATATCTGGGTCTTGGAATAATTCTAAGATTATAATTTAGTAATACATGGGTTTTCTAAATTAGAGATATAGTCTTCTTCCTCATAGCTATGTTCTTCAAATATCATGTCTCCCATAACCAAGTTCAAGACCATAGGTACCAATTGTCCTGATTCATATGTAGTTGGTAATTTGTCAATCATATTTTTCAAGAAGTCTTGTTTCTCATTTAATAATTTGATTTAATATCTAATGATTTCTTTGGTAGCATTCATTTAGACCTATTTTTGTTTTGGCAACTTATCCTTAATTCTTTATCTGGCTGAAGCTTGTAACATGAATACATGTTGACCCAATCCTCTTTCCATCAATAACATTTCACTTTATTCCAAAGTTTATTGGGAGATATCAATCTTTTTGCAGATTTCTTCTTAAGCCTTCATTAAAAGATTTTCAATGTCATTCACATAGTCCAACAATAATTAAACATATTTGGCTCCATCTGAATATAGCACTTCTCTTCTGGCTTTTCTGTTCTCAAGAGTAATTCTAATGAATTCTGGTTCTGCCAAATCGACACTACCTTCAACAATTTGAGTGTAGGTTTTAATGCTTATCATATTATTTGTGCTTGGAATATGCATAATTTGTATTTAAGAAGCAATTTCATTTAGTTTATCACTCTTGAAAGTATAATTGGCTAAAATATTAACTCTTATATTCATACATTTATCATTTCCTTCACTTTTTTGTTAAATTTCTTATGTCTTAACCTATTCTTAGGATTCCTTTGGTTTGAAGACTTCTAATTCTGCTAATTTTTAATCAAGCCATTCATTAGTCTCCTTGATTTTATCAGTTACTGATAAGTTGTTACCAACCCATGGTAAAACTATGCTGTTCACCTATCCCTTTATAAGAGAAGGATTCAAGAGAATCTCCTCCTTATCATTCTTGAATGCATATTATGTGAGTGATTTCAATACAACAGGCTCAAGCTTTTTGTCTTTCACTTTTTAGGCTAAATCTTTGGCATCATATTATCTTAAATTTTTGATGTTAATCAGAAACACTCTTTATAATGAGTCTTTAAGAGTGTAAAGTCTTTCGAATAGCTAATCAAAGTGTTTCATGAGGTTAGTCTCTGTTTACTCTACAACTTCCCAGTTAACCCTAATGATTTATCTATCATCTACATCTTCTCATCTCCCAAAGAGGCTAAGACTGTGTCAATATTAGCTGCCAATTCTTCGACTGTGATAGACATTCAACCACAAATTAAATATTTAATTTATATTGCTTCTCCTATTTTTGCCTAAATAATTTATTGTATCTTTAGAAATATACTAAAATTACTTAGTGATTACATACCGATATCAGGAGTCTAAACAATATTAATTTTATCATAACAACAATTTAACAATTATATATATCTAAATTCTAGATTATTATTTTTAACATTTAATTATTGATTGATTAGGATTACTAATGGTATCATAATATTAATTAAATAACAACGCCAATCCTGAAGCAATTTGGTTTATTATTTTTAAATATTATAAATTAACCCATTAACTTAACTTATCTTGTATAACATCTGATATTCGTAATGAAAAAAGAATTTAAAGATATCGATTGTGCAGAATTAATTACTAATGAGGATCAGATGAGGTTACTGGTAAACTAATAAAAATATATTTATATTAAAATATTAGAATTCAATAATACTTTATTTATTTTAAAGATTATGTCTAATTATAGTTTGATGTTTAAGTATATAATAATAGGAGATACAGGTTATATGATCCATATATAATAGGAGTTGGGAAATCCTGTATTGTTTTACAATTGATTGAAAATTAAATTAGATAAGAACACGATGCGACAATAGGTGTGGAGTTTGGAGCTAAAATAATCAAAGTTAATAGCATGAATATCAAGCTTTAAATATGGGATACAGCAGGATAAGAGAATTTTAGGTCGATCATCAGAAGCTATTATAGATCAGCAATCGGTATAATTTAAGAATTATGATGAAGGAGCTCTACTTGTTTATGATATAACCAAAAGAGATTCCTTTCACAACTTATAGAGATGGATGGAAGAAATAAAAAACAATGGAAATGCTAATATGGTAATTACATTATGTGGGAATAAAGTTGACTTAGAAGCTGAGTAATAATTTCTTATTTTATTTAGAGACGAGCAGTAACATATGAAGAAGGATGGTAGTTTGCCTAATAACATTAATTGATATTTCTAGAAACATCTGCAAAATAAGGAATTAATGTGCAATCTGCATTTTATTAATCTACATAGAGAATTTTAAATTAAATTGATGATGGTTCAATTGTTCTAGGGCAAGATGTAACATTTACTTATATATCATAGCCAGGAATCAAAATCGGTGGATAATATAAAAAAAAGGAGAAAGATCTAAAAACTATCAACAATTATGAAGCAGCTGTTTAATTAAAGCCTGTTGAAACTCCAAATGTTCAAAATAACTGTTGTTGATATTTATTCTTTAATTTATCTATATAATTTTATTCCACATTATCAAATATGAATTATATATAAAGAAATTTTCACAATCAACTTGTAACTATTTGAATCTTCAATTTACACACATAGTTGCAATTAGAACTTTTTGCAACTATTCTTCTTTATTTGTAAATTATCCAAAATCTGACTTTCAATTTTGATTTCATTAAATTGTCTTTATAATTATGGCTTAAATAAATCTCAAAAGCCATTGATACTATAATTTTAGATCTCCTAAATTTTCTATTTAAAACTGAATTGCTAATTAAATTTAAATTGATTTATATACATTTTAATATGACAGGACATTAGCAGTCAGATATAACATTACGAAATAAAGCTAATTTTGGCAAATCTGAGTTTGATAATAGCAATTTCTCAAGATTATAGAAATTTATTAGAAAAATTCGAAAAAACATCAGATTAAAACATTAACAGCAAATAATTTCTGCATTTCAATAGTTTAGTATCAAACTTACTATTACTTAAATTTTTTTATTTTAATATATATGAATTTTGATAGAGTTTTAAATTTAACCATAATTAGTATATTTCAAATCTAATTAAGAAATATGATTATTCTGCTGAAGTACTTTCAGGTGTTAATATTATAATTGAGGTAATTTAATAATTAACAACAATTACTAAATTTATATTTGATTTGATATAACTATTAAAACTTATAACTCTACCTATTACAAATCACTGTTTCTAACTTAATATCTATCTAACATAAATTAGTATGCTTTTTAACAAAGTATAAACTAATAGAAATTAATTTCTATGTTAAATACTTGAAAATGTTTATTTTTTATGTTAAAACTGATTATAATTATAATTTAAAAACTTTAAACGATATTCACATAGGTACATCTTAAAATAATCAATCAAATAATGATCCAGGCACATTTGCTCTTCTATTTATTTATTTAGTTCTCGATTCTGTAGCTTTTTGTTTTGGCATTTCTACCTAATTATCAAAAAATTGTTAGAAGTTAGTTTAATTGTTAGTTTGAAAGAATTCTTCAGCACCTTAATAATCAAAAAAGGGATTATTTTATTAAAGATTTTACTATTAATTCTATTAAGAATTATGATTATCTTATTTTTGTGCCAATCTTGGATGAGTAAATGCAGTTTAATTTTCTTATTAAGGATTTTGTTTTCTTTTTGGAGGAGGAGGATGATAAGTATTTTCTTAAACTTCATTCTTCATAAAATTTTAATCTTAATTTTATTCATCTACATGAATTTGATCATTCTTATGCTTTTAATTTTTAATTTTTTCTGTTTTTTATTGTATTTCATTATTTTAGATTTATTCTTACATTTGTTATGAAGATGAATTTTACTGTGATTATGGATCTTTTAAACCTTTCTATTAATATTATTAATTTTATTCTTAGTGCTGCTGAGATAAATTTTATTATTAAAAGTAAACCTAATTATCTACTAATTATTATTGTTCATGTAGGATTTCTTCATCTTATTCATTATTTTTATTTAATTATTCATCATCCTAATCATCTTAATATTACTAATCCTACTATTCAAACTATTGTTGTTCATCTTAAGCACCTTATTCATCTAATGCGTCTTACACATCTTAAACTTATATCTAATTATTTCCAGTCTTCAACTATGTTGATCCAGAATCAGCATTTACAATTTAACCCTACAAATTTACTTCATCTTCATTAGCCCAATATTATTGATTTTACTATTGAACATGATGCTAATGTGTAACAGGAACTTCAGGAATTAAAGTTTAAACAACTGATTATTAAGTATTTGATTATATCTAAATTGGTTATTATAATTACTAAGCCCTAGGTAATTAAGGGGGTTATAATTTAGATAATAATCCTTATAAAATTGATATTTAGTCATCCATGTTAGATTGGGTTTATTATAAGCGATATTTATGAATAAAATCTTTTCTTTATTGTGTGTTCGAATGCAATTTCTCAATAAAATGTCTTTCATTTTATTTTTCTATTTATTATATTTCTTAGAGTTTTTAAAATTATTTTCTTTCGCTCTAAATTTATTCTTTGAGTTGATTAAGTTATTTTATTGAATTTTATTCTTAATTTTATAAAGAGGTCCTCAACAGCGAATTTTCATTTTGTAATTATTGAATCTAAGTTTAATAATTTACATTCTTTTATTAAAAATCTTAAATCCTTTTAAAATGATCCTATTGAAATTAGGCAATCGAATGCTGAAGGTCATTATTTTATTTAATTAATTAAGATATCTGATTTTCATAATAAAGATCTCTTTATTTTATCATTTATTGAAATAAAGCCACATCAATTGATACAGTTTATTATTACTGTAATTATATTGTGAATTTTGGTGTTTATGTTTAATTACCTAAGCTTTCAATCTGCTCTTCTTATTGTTTCAATATTTATTCACTCTGAAAATTAAATGCATCTTTTTAATTTTATTTTACTTATTCTTGCTATTATTATTAATGGTCGTTCGATTAAATTTAGGAGTTTTATTGTTTTATTTATTAATCTTCATTATTTTGTTGTGCTCTTTCTTTTTCATTTTATTATAAATGAAAAGCTCCTTTCTATTGTTCAGTAGTATGATGTTATGAGGATACTTATTATTCAATAAATTATTCATGTTTTTATTCTTTGGAATTATGTGCATTTTATTTTATAGTTTCTTGTTAAATTTCCTCGATCTATTGATCTTAATATTAATTTTCATAATTTTATTATCTTAATTGTTCAATTTTTTATGGATTGTTTGAAGAATCTTAATTGCTTTCCTTGATATTGTTCTAAAGTTAAAACGCTGTTTCTTCAACCTAATTATCAGTTTAAGAAAAGTTGCAATTTTAGTTTGAGTTAGAATATTCTTGATTCTCCAAATTTGATTCTCCTGATTCTTCTGATTTCAATTATTCAGCTAATTGATTTAATTTTTCTTGATTTTACTTCAAAGAATCAAAATTAATTAGATCTTCTTCTTCTAAGTTTTCGTTTTCTTTTTATTAATAGTTATTTTAATGAGTTTCTTGTTGTTATGTAATTGGATGAGTAGTATTGCCATTTTGTTAGGGTGCTATTTTTTATTATTTATGTAATACATCTTATTATTGTTATTATTGTTATTATTGTTATTATAGTTATTATTATTATTATTGTTATTATTGTTATTATTATTATTATTGTTATTATTATTATTATTATTAAGAGGATAAATCAATTGCATCAATTTAATTATTTGAGAGTTATGCAGGAGTTACTTATTTAGGTTTAAAAGGAGGAGGAATTTACTATTTTGGAACTTATTTTTAAATTTAAGGATTCTCATCTTTGGCTTAATTTTGAAGATTATTTCCTTACTCTTATTTAGGTTGTTAAGGTTCTGCTTACATTTAAACATTCTAATTTTCAGGCTTAATTTAATCTGATGTTTATTATTAATTAACAATTTGCTATGAAGCTTATGCATTTGATATTGGGATGGGAGGTGCAGTAACTTAATTTTTTGTTGTTGGGACACCTGCAGCAGGTGGTCTTGTTGGAGGCCCTCTTTAAGGAACGTTTTTTTTCAAGTTAGCTTATGGTTGAGGAAGTCCTCTTTGTTCTTTCTACAAGAATGCTTAAACGCTATCCTCGCTAAGCTTTGACATATCTAATAACATCAATTCTTTAGGTGTCATAATTTGTTCAACCAAGGCAGTTCTAATCAATTACCCTAAAATAGTATAAAAAAGACACCTTTAGTTCCCTTTAAACGCATTTTAACAGTATTAACTCTAGTTCTATAGTCTCTTGTATGATCACCTCCTGAAAGTACATAAGCTTCTTATTCAAGAGATGTTGCTAATTATTCTGCGATCTAGGAAGAAATTTAATCTTCTTCTAATATTTTCTTGAATTCATTTTTCTGATTTTCACGTACTCTTCTATCGTAATTAGTATTTTCTACAGGTTTGACTTCTGCAAACATATTTAATGAACACGTATATTTAATAAAATATCTTAAATTAAATTATTTATGTTACCATTTTTTCCTGTTCCAGGATTACAAGACCTAGATATTCCTTAACCTATACAATAGGATTTCTATCCAAAAAGTTAAATTCAAGAACCTTAAGAAGCCAAGAAACTCTTTATAAAGAATCTTCCTCAAGAATTAACTAATGATAATGTAGAAAAACTTTTGAAAGTAAATTTAATGTGAAAATTAGGAATGTGGTCAATTAGTATCATGGAAGCGATCAAAAGGTACTCCTTTTGGGTATGCTGAATTTGAAAATATGGAAAGTGTATTAAAATGTTTGCGCCTTCTTAATGGTATGATTCTGAACTAGAAGGACTTGCTTGTTAAGGGTGGAGAGAAAGCTTAGATGATGATTGATGGTTGGATGTACAAGAAGGAAACCGAATGGGAAGAGAGAAGAGCAAAATTAGAGGAGAAGGATAAATAAAAGGAGGAACATAGAGCTTTATTTAAATTTACATCTTTTTAAGAGTACATTACTAGAGATGACGATAAAATAAAAAAGAAATTAGAAAAAATAATATCAGAATTAGAAGGCACTGTCACAAAAACTAAAAATGATAAGAAAAGAGAGGAAGAAAAGAAAGAACATCCAAGGGAGAGAGAAAGAGATGCCAAGAAGAATAACACTAGGACGGAATTAGAAAGAAAATACAAAGAGAAAATGGCAGAATGGAAAAAGAAGGAAGATGAACGAGAGAGAGAAAGAAAAAAGGAAAAGGAGAGAGAGATAGATCGAGAGAAAAATTTCTAAAAATATCTTGAAAAAGAATTAGCTTATGACAGTGAATAAGAACGTAAATAAATTGGTAAGATTAAGATGAACGAAAGAAAGAAATTCAGGTAAAGGGAATTTGAAGAAGATGAAATCTTTAAAAAGAAAGAATTATTAAAGACACAAAAACCTCCCGAACCTGAACCCCCTTAAATGGTAGTTATTGTTTAAGAGCCACCTGAGCCAGAACCTTAGTAAACTTAACAGCAATTGTTATAGCAATAAGTAATAATTCAATATTATATTTGATTTAAAACTAGCAATAGATGGAATAAGCAGAATAAATGTAATAAGAGAAATTATAAAAGGAAATTGATTTGAAGGAGGAGCTTAAACAAATATTTGCGACAATCCCAACTGAAAAAGAAGAACTATTCAACACCTAAATTAATTGGTAGTTATTTGCTTAGGTATTTATTATATATTTAGTCAATCCCAAGTCTAACTTATTGGAGAAAAAGATCCGCCCATGGTTAAGAGAGAGGTGTATTGAATATTTATCTTAAGAGGAGAGAGTATTTATTGATGCCATCATCAAAAGATTATTTAATCGTGAGAAACCATAAACAATTATAAATAAAGTTGTAAAGAAGGTCTTGGATGACGATAGTGAGCAATTTGTGATAAGAATGTGGAAGATGATCATCTTTGAATTGAGAAAATTAGAAAGAGGTCTGATATCTTGATGATTTATTAAATAATTTAATAGTTTTATGACATTCTAATAATCTTAATTCTTCTTTATTAACTTACCTATCTAAGCGCATAAGAATTGTGATACTTAGAATAATTAATTCAATGCAACAAGAACTACTAATACATAATTGATAATAGTAAATTAACTTATATAAATAATATATTAAACAACGAACAAGTTTGAATGGTTAGAGATCTGGCTTATATGAATACTATACATACTGATGATGATTTTAGGTTTTGAAATAAAAACATACATTTATTAAATCATTTTAATGAAGATAGGTATTCTAAAATTTAAAGTTAAGTGTTTTTGTGCCTTTAATCAAAGAAATTCAGATAATAAACTTTGTATCCTAAATTCTCAAGATATTTTTTTTTAAATTGTGAAGTCTAATTTAGAGATTACTGTAAAAATAATTCTTAATCTGAATTATGTGTTTTAAGTGGAACTCCTTCTGTAGCATCTATATTAAATGCATAATGAATAGGACCACATATTTCTATAATTAAGTTTTATTTAGGAAAATAAAAGTCAACTTCAAATTGATCAACTAAAGATATAATAAAACATTACTGTATATATTTTTTTAGTAATCTAATTATAAGTCGTCAAAAAGCTATTAAATACGCTTTTCCATGTGTTTAGATGAACTCGATCTGTTGTCAATAAGCTTTTATAAGTAAATTTCCTTATTTGACTCAAAATTCTATTCCACATAAGCCTAGCAAGATTTGCTTAATTTTGATTTAAATTGAATCAGATTGTAACTAATAAAATTTTTTCTGTAAGAATCTTAAATTTTAGATTCAATTTAAAAATATTTATTCCAAATAAATTCATCATAAATGTCGCATCTTAGAATTTATTAATAAAAAGACACAATATACGATTTTCTAATTTCTAAAAATTAGTCTTATACTTTGAGAATATTTTGAATTTTTTTAAGTAATTAGCTTTAAATTTCTGTCGAATTTAATATATTTGTAACACACAAAAACAAATTGATTTGAGAAATAAGTTGATCTTCTGATTTAATTTCGTAATTTTCATTTATCTTCCTTAATAGGAAATCTTTAATCTTGTTAGTATAAAATCCTTCTTTTCCTATAGAATAATAAATTGATTTCAGTTGATTTTCATTAAAACCTTCCAAGAGTTCTGAAATTCTTTTAGTGAATTAAATTTATATATTTAAAAAGAGTTTAATACTATAGAAACTAAGGTTTATTTATGACAAATAATAAGATTAGGGACAAACATAATTTGGACTGAGATGTTGAATAAAATATTGATAATTTTCACAAACATTATGTAAAATTTTTTATTCCCCTTAATTCAAAGAACCAAATTTTTTTTGAATTGAATATAAAAACTATACTAAATTGATAGTATAGAATATATTAAATTACATAATGATATGATAATTGTTTAAATAGGATACATAACTATTTAAATATTCTCTACTAATTATATTATTATTTATTCCTTTGATGAATAAAATAATTTAAGACCCAAGTAAATTATTGAAGGTATCATTTAATAAGCGATGGTCAAAAACATTCTAATACATCCATTACAAAGTTTAAAGATTGTTTTAATCAATATCAAATTTCTACATCTCATTTAATTTTTCTTCAAAATTAATGAATTTTTTTTCTTTAGAATATGTTTAAATTTCTTCAAAAAATTAACAAAAATCCTTAATTTTATTCAATTCTTGGGTTTGGACCTTATTTTATAATAGTTTAAAAGCACTGTTTGAAAACTTGCATAAAAGTTTGTTTATCATAATTAAATTTTATTATTAAAATTAATTCCTTAAATTTTCAATTCATTCTAAATTACTATAGTGCAAGAAGACTAGAAAAGGAATCTCCAAATCTATAATCAAGTTTAAAAACAAATATAAATGATTATTAAATATTATTAATATCAACAAAAGTCAGCTGAATTTCTTCTAGTAAAAAATCTTCTGGAAATGCTTCTTAGAAATGGTGAGTTAATAGTTTATTTTTTCTTTTTTTATCTAACTTTCATTAAATAGTCATCTTTTTAAATATCTCTACTGGTAGTCAGAGGTTAATCTTCAATTCTAGTTCTTATTGATGAATCCCTCTGCATACTTTGATATCTCTTTAATTATTTTGGAAAGTTTCGAATCATTTTTTAATACTGCTAATTCTCTAATATTTCATTAATTGACTCATTTATTCCGGGGTTTAGTATTTTAAAAGCTTCTTAAGTTCTGGTGCCTTACATGTTATTTTCTATAACTTAAGATGTGATAGGCTTAATCTTTTCTATCACTCTTATTAATAAATATTCATTTTTACTTTTATGTGTGAGGTATTAGTGTTTAAGAAATAACTAAGGACCTTTAAGTTTGAGGTTTATTATTTTCATTTAAATCTATATCATTTATTTGAATCTTCTCTGCTGTACTTAGCACTCTTCCAGTCTTGATTACCCATTGAGTTTCTTCTGCTTTTGACATTTTTAACCCAATAATATTGATAATAGATATATTTTTAGGGTGATCTTAGATAAGTTTTAGTAATACTGACAATAAAATGTACTTCCATCTCATTTATACATTATTTATGAAAGCTTTATATATAAACAGCTATTTTATGGCAAGTATATTTAAAATATTCTTTTAAACTTAAATTGTCTGAATACTCCTTTTCTTTATTCCATTACCTTTAACCTCTAAGTGATGGATCTGTTAAATAGGACTGTTCACACACAATATCTCCAAATAACTAATTGTCCTTAACGTATTTATATCTATGAATAAAATAATCTTTAGAATTTCTCTTATTATTTTCAATACAATCTAATGCAAGCTTTTCATTATAGAGATATAATTATAAATGGAGTAGATTGTCAAAAATAACATTAGTTTTTGATAAAACTGCCAATTAATGTAATTCAAACTTCCCAATCAATGTTGTCTCACCTGTCTGATATCTTGCCATTAAAATGCTTTATCCATTCAATAATTCAGAAATTTGCTAAGGTTCAAAATATATATTACTTATTTTAATTTTGTCATTACCTAGGTACTATTTTCATAATAATCAGACAATTTAACAGTGGGATGAATTCCAGCCTTGATTTATTTTACTTGATACTCAATTTCAAACTCTATTTTTCTCTCGATTAAATATTTTTCCATTTCTGTGTGAAAGAATGATTTGTTTTTAATACATCTGAAACCATTATCATAAAATGCATAAAACACAAATTCTCTGTCCTTCAAAATAATAGTATCTAGTATATTAATATTAATTGGCCTAACAACTTCGTCTTGCTTTTATAACATCTAGCAAATAGTTAAAAAGTCATCCTTAAATCCACAAATAGACAATCTTCTATGTCTTGGTTATTTAATTATTTTTTGATGTTTCTTTTATTCTTAAGGTTCTTCTTATTCTGGTTATTTTTTTATGCAGATCTGACAAGTGCAAAGTTCAGGGCATGCAGTGATTGCAAATGGAATAACTTCCATTTTTTTCAAAGTTAAATCACGAAAAGAATCCCCACATTTAATTCCACTTAATTTTTATTAATATGACATAATTTTATTATTAATTTCATTTTTATTTAAAGATAATTAAATTTTAATTATCTTCATTATTAATAAAATAAATTGAAGATGCATATGATTAACCTATGTAATTGAATATAACATTAGATAAAAAGAACAAATAATAAAATTCATAGATTATGTTTTTAGAATTACTTTAGTAATATGATCTATATAAGATTTTCATTAGCATTTTTAAATAGAACATGCTTTGACATTCTTAGCATCAGGGATAGATACAGATACAATTCATTTATTTTCATAACTGATCTTTATATTTAATAAATCTGAATATCAATGTCTTCCAAATGAATCATTTTATTTATAATCCTCCAATCTATTCTAAACTTCTGCTAAATTTTCAGGGTTTTTCTATGAAATACATCTAAAGCTTTTATAATCATCAGTTTGTTCTTATTCAGACAATTCTGAATTCCTTTTGCAAACCTTATCAGAGGATATGCAATATTCTTTATTTACAATTTGAGTTTTATCAAAACCAACACCAATCTCAAATATTTTTTTGTATTAATTACATTTTTTGTCTAAATATGTTTTTAGTAGGAAAGAATTAATTTAATAGGATTCTATTGTTGGCCTTCATTTTTGCAAAGTTAGTATTTTCAAGCGATTAATTAATAGTTCAACTTTTATAAGCAATTACAAATAATTCCCATATAATAAAAATAAAAGAAAATACCCAAGAATAAAGAAGTTAATTTTAAATAAAGCAATAATAAAATTTAATTTTTGTATTGTTTAGGTAAAGTTAAGATTATTTTTATTTTTAAAATGTATTCAAAGTAGAAATAATCCATGCAAAATAGTATGTAGAATCATGGAAGTATTGGTGTTCAAAATGTCCATGTGAGTAATGATAATTAATTAAGCTCTAACCAAATAAGAACTTATTTTTTCTAATAATAATATTAGAATGTTTTGACCATTGAAATTCATATTAATGCGCTAATTATCTTGAATTAGTATCACATAAAATGATGATAGATTTTGTAATTTTGATTTGAGAGACTTTATTCTAAGAATTTATGGAAAGGATTGTATGATTGCCCATCCAACAATTTATATGATAAATCAATATTGTTCTAAAAATAATATTAAATATTAAATCAAATGGGATGTGTAACAACCAAAAACAAGCCTAAAACTTAGGAAGTCAAACCTCCCTTAAGCTAAAACTCTGAGCCAATAGAAGAAAATAATGAATTTAACTACCATAGTGCTCCTTAAAGTCCTGCTTTAAAAAAAATTGTTCGTATTGGTGCATTAACACATGATGAAATTAAAGATTTTATAATAGAGAGAAGAAACTAAAATAATAGTACAAGAAGAATTGAACTAATGAAAAAAAGTGGCCGATATACCCCAACTATTATCTATAAATATAGACAACAATCCGCCTCTTTTAGAAGCCCATCAAAGGCTACTAATATATCGCCAATCTAACCTACATAAAAATGAAATAATAAAAACTTATTCTGTAGTAGATCCTGATTTATTTTCATATTATTTTCTGATAAAAAGAAAATATCGATATTTAAGATTTAAGATATTAATTATTAGTCGGTTCAAAATTCATTTATATATAAAATGTATTTTATTAGAAAAAATATCTCTAATTTTAATGGTTATTAAAATATTTTATTTCTTGTCAATTGTTTCAATCAATTTCAATTTGAGTTCCTTATAGTTAAAGTAATTATAATTAAATTACAATAAAGTAAAAATCATAAAGTGATATAATGAAGTATTATCAAATTTATATATGATATATTTTTTTTTAAATTCTATATATATATAAATTAATTCAATCGCTTGATATAAATTTATTCTGTAATTGATTAATTATGGATGATGATAATTATTTTGAATTACATTATATTTTCAATCGTATATATTCTATTTGGCATTGAAGAATTCTTAAATAAATGGGTGTTCAATTTGATCATTATTTCTCAAAGGAAAGAACGTTTGTAGAATTTAATTGTAGAGCTCAGATGTTATTATTACCTCTGACTGATAGTATCTCTCCTATTATAATAAAATTATAATAAGTTACAGCTAAAAACATTAAGAAATCAGCAAATATTTGAGATTGTTATTTGAACATTGTATTCATTATCTCGAATGCATCAAAATAATTTAATAAATCCTCTCCATTTTATTTAAATTTATTTAAATCAAACCATACGCGAGCCATTTTTTATAAGTGTTCATTATCTTTTTGGATATAATTTTTTGCTTTATTAATCTAATTTCGTATTTATTCTGGTGTCGTGTGAATTTTAAAAATATATTTTAGAACCAGATATTGGTTTATATGATCAAGTTAATATTTTGGGTAAATGAAAATATCAAACTTACATTCTATACATTAGATTATGATCAAATAAATTATTTCTTCAAAAATTATGCCGATTTCATAAATATTTTTATCTATTTTTTCTTTCTCAACTTCTAATAGTTCCTCATTGATAAATAAAGTTCGTTAATATAAAAGCGGATCACTATTTTAATTTTCGATTTAAGTTTCAACCTTTTTAAGTCCCATAGATTAACTATCACTATTTTTGATTTGATATAGATCAAAAGTTTGGCAATCGACATCATTTTCTGTCATATCATCATTCATTTATAATAATTAATATAAAATAAAATTTTTCATTATTTATTCTAGGGATAAATATAAAAATAGAAACCATCTATAAATGTGGGCCATGCTCCAGTTTTATAGTCATATTTGGTTAAATCTTCACCAATCTAAACACAAAATTCCCAAACCATATAATAAGTGTCTCTAGAAATTGGCTTGACATCTTTCTCTTCAATAGTCTAAATTTAATATGATCCATAATACGCCAACATAACTCATAAACTTCTTCATGATCGGGAAGGTATTTGTTAAAAGAGTATCCCACAGTCCTTAAGCTATAGGTAGGTCAATATCTTTTCTGTTTTTCTTTTTGGCGAAATCAAAACAATATTTATATACCGCCTTTAGGATTTCTTTATTATTTTTTAGATCATCCCTAAGTCGTTTTAATTCTCTTTTTAAATCAGATGTCGATTAAACCCCCAATTATTAAAATCCATAGAGAAAATCAAACTTTGTATAAATGCCCTTAAATAAAAATTGATAATACCATGGTCTCACTTTTAAATAGATAGGAAATATAAAGGATTACAGGGTCCATTATATCTATTCCTAAATCTTTACAAAATGATATGATTCCATTTTCATCAATTATCTATTGTCCATTTGTGATGTACTTTTTGAATTGCTCTTCTACCTTTAATCCAGATTTTTGAATGTCTAAAACATGATTTGTAGCCCTTTATAAACTCCATTAAAATTAAGTGAGAATTTCTCTTGCCTGTAAGTCATTCAATTAGACCACTCTTTGAAGGTCCTTAATCATGATATCCTCCTAAGCCTAATTAAGTTTTTATTATTTAAGCATTAATTATTAAAATAAATAATCAATATTTTTGATAAATTGTTTTTGAATGAATCCTGGGTTCAATAGATGTATGAATGATTTCTTCTCTAGATTTACAAACATCAAGAGTATGTTTTCTGTGAAATAATTCTACATTGAAAACAGGTTGTTAATTTTTGACTTTCCTTTTTCTGAGTATAAAATCATTTAGTTATTTACATTAAGTTTATTGCTCATATTGCTTATACATAAGATGAAATTACATACTTTTATTTTATGAAAGTAATCAGAAATAAGCAATTACTAATCGTTTAGCTAATCTTATAACTATTAAATTAAGGTTTATTGCTTTTAAAAGTCTAAACTCTAAGTTGCATTGAATCTTTTAAGACATCGTTTAAGATTTTAATTTTCTTTTTTCAATTCAGCATTATCCCCTTCAATCTCTTTAACTTTTACATCCCTATTATTAAATGTCATTATACTTGCTATTCTAATTTTTCCTTTAGTCTCTTTTCAGATTCTTGTAAACTAGAAATCAAACTGGAATGATCTGGAATCTTTGGCATAAATAGAAGATTGGAATCAAAATCATCTTATTGAATTTTTAAACCTAAATCTGCAGTATACAATTGCAGACAAACAAAGTAACTGCACAAGCGATTCGCTTTTTATCTAAGCTTATGTGATAATGCTTTAAGTTATGACAATTCTTATTCAAATTCAAATAACAAGTCTTAATCCACATTAAGTTGTTTGCGAGGTAATTACTAATGTTCTTGTGCTTTTAATTTAAACATTAACTACTAGATGATAGTTTCTTGTTCAAGAATTAAATCATTATTGGAATCAACTTGTTTTTGTAGGGCAATGATTCTGGTTTTCAAATTTATAACCTCTGATTTATCTTTGATGAAGGATTCCTCGAGTTCATCTTAAACCTATGAAATCTAGATTCTTATGGAATCCAAGAGCTAACTCTTTTTAAGTGTAAATTTGTTTTCTAAATGAATTTTATTCGATGCTTTGATTCGTTATGCTTCTTACATTTTTTAATCAATTTAATTCATGAGTAAAAAAGCCGAAAAAAAGAAATAAGAAAAAATAATCGAGGACAGAACATTTGGACTGAAAAATAAAAATAAGAGCAAACAAGTTTAAAAGTATGTGAGATAAAAGTGATTTTTAGTTTCTGTAAAGGAGTTGCTCAATAAGTTAAACATAGTGGTGTTTCATTATCAAAATTGTAGACAGAAGAGTATGAGAAGAAGAAACTAGAAAGACAATTAGAGGAAGATGAAAAGTTGATTCAATCTTTGTATAAAACAGTCGAATAAGTGAAAGATGAAGAGTCTGAAGAAGAGGTTGATCCCAAATCAATATTATGCGAATATTATAAATAAGGTAAAATTTAATTAAATGGATAGGTCTTTGTTAAAAGGGCAAGAAGTGTATGTACTCGCATGATATGAGTCTAGAATAAAAGACAGCAATCATAGATTTATATACTGATTAAAGATAATAGTTGACAGATGAATGGGATACTTGTTAAACTTGGGATGAAAAGACATTGAAAGATGTAATTGAAGCCAATGAAAAGACCTATAAAAGGTATTTAATAGTATTTAAATAACATAGTTAAATTCCATCAGCTAAAGTTTGTGATTTCTTTTTGGATGCTTTGGAAAAAGGTAAATATGGTTGGAGATGGGTTTGTCCTAATGGTATGACATGTCATTATAAACATTGTTTACCATAAGGATATGTTTTCAGAAGAAAAGAAGAAGTTAAATAAAAATATGATGGTGATATTGAAGAAGAAATAGATGAGGAAATTTAGAAGTTATAAAAAGGAGGAACCAAGATTACTAAGGATGTTTTTGAAAAATGGAAGATCGAAAGAGCCGAGAAAAAAAAGTAAGACGCTGAAAAATAAAAGTTGGAAGAATAAAAGAAGAAAGGTTTAAATTAATTATTTAAACTTAGGTGCCAAATAGGCAGGAGGAAGTGCCTAAATGACAGGAAGAGCTCTTTTCGTTTATGATCCAAGTTTATTCGTAGATGATGACGAAGCTGAAAATAAATATGAAAGAGAAGAATAAATTGATGAGAATGAAGAGGAAGATGAGGATGACAATGAAAATAAATAAAAGTTATATGAAGGGGATGAAAATCAACAGCAAGATGAAGATGAAGAAGATTAATAATTTAAGTAACAATAATCATGATATATGTTTATTGCAGCATATCATTTCTATATTATTATCATAACTCCGTCTTATATTTAAATTGTCTTATATAAGAATTAATAATCTATAATAAAGATAAATTCATATATTAAATCAAGCAATATTCAAAATTATTTATGTATCATCGTTCATCACTAATACTATCTTCTTTCACATCAAATTCAATACATTATTGCTATTACAAAGGTTGAGAGTTATTTAAAATAATATCACTAGCCATAAGTTCGTCATGAGTAACAAATGATTCTTATACTTCCTATTATTCAAATTGCTATTTTGTTTAGTTTAATGTCAGAGTAATATTGTCAGGATGTTTGTAACTTGACTTTTAATTTTACTTCTTTTTCTTGGTGCATTAAAGTAAGACTCTTCCAGTTTAGAATAAGACATTAGGTTGGGTTCCTTCATCAGCTATTCTAAGTAAATCTTGATCTTGTGCCAGAACCAGAGTTCCAAATTTGCTTTTGTTGTCTTGAATTCTAATTATGTAATCTGGGGTTTCTGGACTATGTTTGTTCGTAGGAATCAATTTAAGAGTAGCATGTGCTCTTGATACAGATATGTCCCTTAATTTAATATCACAATCTGGAATCCTACCCTACGAAATTACTATGCTATAATACTATTTTTAATTCAGTTTTTTCACCGATCTCTACTACGTAGATCATAGCCTCTTTTGTTTTATCGTCGTTTGTGATTTTGAAAGTGATATAAGATGATTTTGGCTTAGGCAATTTAAGAACTGAATATGTCTTATCTTAAAATTTGTATGTGTTCCTAAATGTAGCCTTACAAATTTCACAATCCAATCTCTTCCACAGATATTATATAGAATGTTCTCCTTGTTTAATTTTTAACTGTATTCCCACCCATCTTTATAGACACTCCAAATGTATGTATTTAACTGATCCTCCACACTTACATGGTCTTATCAAAGGATTTGTTTCAGTGGCTCTACTTGAAAAGCAAATCCTACAATTAAACACATCGTTTATGGTTTAAACTTCATCTTCCTATTCATCTTAATATTGCGTTGCCTCATCACATGGTGCCATAAATGCATATTCCAACAATTACATTCTCACTCTTCCTAATTTTATAACATCTCCAATTTTTAAATCTCTATGCTAATTATATTATTAAATTTATACATCGATGGATGAAAATTAATTGCTTTCTAATTTCAATACTGCCCATAGTTTATGATCTTGTTATTGAGATATACAATTAATATAAGCATCCTGTTCATTCAAGGTAATGTTCACCAATTCAATCTAATTCCGAGCCCATTCAGTTTAGGTCAATGCCACTAGTTCTTTGTCCACTGTTGCTATCTAGGCTAAAGGTGTAATTCTAAACGAAATACATGAAAAATCAACTTCTATTTCTTTTACAAAATATGAATTGGAGTCAAAGTCAAATAAATTATGCTAATTCTTTGGCCAAATTACTGCTACAATATGAACTCTATATTAGTGACATTTTCCTACTTATAAGGCATTAAAGTTCTATTAATCTCGTATTTTTTTGTTTTTGTTGATGTACAAGCTCCCATAAATAATTTATTTTTATTTATTAAATATTATTTTCTTATCTAATATGAATCGAATTAATAATGACGGATTAAATTGGATTTCCTAAAATAGTTTCAAATTTATTTCCCCCAAGTGATAATTTTAATTTAATTCTTCTTATAAGTTCAACGTTTTATTCAATTAATAGCAACGAAAAGAACAACATGAATCATTTCAACAACTTTACAATATACAAATTAGGAATGCTTATAATTTAATTTTATCAAACTATGGAGAATTATTTCCATCTACTTTTAAAAATTATACAATAAAATTATTTGAATTAAATAATGAAATATAAATCAATCACAAATAGAAAAACTATTTTTAGAAATATGTTAATTTAGTATTAATACTAAGAAAACAGGGTATTGTTCCATATAATGTTAATACATACATCATTATTCATTATGGCGCGCACTTGGAGCCATTTTTATTAATAAATAGTTCTAAAATATGTTATTATATAAGGATTTCAGAAATGTTAAAGAAATAAAATCTAAAAGCTATTTAAACAATTTCAAAATATCAAATTGTTGTATATTGGTTGTTAATTTATATTATAAATTACTATATTTTAGAAATAATAAATTAAATTTAAAATGTCCTTAGAACGAATGAGAAAGAGTCTTCAAATAATCTTTGGAATTGATAGGAATACAACGACTAAAGAACCGTTAATTCAAGAGAGAATTTAACAAGAATTTGTGTTTGATTCCAAAATGAATGAATAACATCCAAATAAATTCTCAATGATGAATCAATAAAGGAAGAGATCTAATTAATATTATTATGCTTTAGATAGATTACGGACATTTTATTAAAATAAAGCCTAATCTAATGAATATGAACAAATTCCTGTCATAACATATCTCGGAGATAATACAGAAGTAATTGGGTTATTTCAAGTAATAGAAAAAATTAAATTTGAATATGAATCATGCTAGATGGAATTAGTAAGATCGATTTCAAGATAATGACAGCTCCAATTATAGTTCATAATTTGGTGAAAAATTAGTTCAAAAAAGTTCTAATATTTTGGCTAGCGTGAGCAAACAGGATTTTAAGCCTTACTATGTGCAAGAGCAATATCGAGATAATAGTAATAACTAATAATAATAATCGATATCTTAATAGCATCAAAATAATATGTAGTAGTCTCAAAAACAATAAACAATTTTTGGCGGAAACAGGTCCAAAGTTCATTTTTTCAGGGAAGACAAATAATCAAGATCTAAAAGCAGTAAACCAGAATCTAACTTTAAAAGATTAGGGGGAATATTAGAAGATGACTTTTTAATTCCTTCTTTTTTAAAAGACCAAGATGCTCAAGATAAAAAGTTGAACCAAAAAGAGGTTTAATCTAATAATAAGTTTATAGGAATTTAACCATATAATACTTCCACTTTAAATAAAATCAATAATGCAGAATCTTAAATATAATTAAGTGGATTTCAGCAAGATTTTAATGATTTTCATGCTGTAAATCAAGCAGATAAATTGAGAGAAAATGATCAAATTAGTAGAAAACCAATAACACATAAAAAATCTAATTAAATTAAGTTTTGGGAAAAAGATCCAAATAATGAGAAAAATCCCTTCATTATTTAAACAGATGAGACACCTCATTGGGAAAGTAGGTTTAAACCTCCTTGGCAAATTTCAAACCCAATGTAAAGTGTCTACAATGAGTTTGAGGCTTTTGATAAATCTGAAAATCTATCAGCCAAAGATTATGAATAACAATAAGAAATTCAAGAACTAAAATCATAGGCTTCTTTTGAATAGCAAGTAAATGTTTCTTTTGGGGGTTGCGATATCAATTTATCAGATGATCATAAGGATGAATCTATTGAAAGAAAACCTCCTAAGGGCTCCTTAATTTTTGACACTTTTGTAAATCCGAAGTTTAATTTTGAAAATCAAACTCCACTATCAAAGGAAAAAGCTATTAACATATAAAAACTTTAAGATTTTTCAGAATAAACACCCGTGTTTAAATAACAAGAAGAAAATAAATAAACTTTTAACTAATAAAAAAATAATAAATTTCAAGGTGAACAATAACTTATAATGATGAATAAAAATGGTAAGGAAGATATTTAAAAAAATCTGGCAAATGAATTTAATGCCTAAGAAAATTAATCTCCAAATAGATCTAAAAATAACTAATTATAAGTAATTCAATGATCATGTGTTTTGAATGTAAATAGTAAATTTGTATTATTACTATCAGTATGATGTGATCTTTTCTTTTGTTGCCACTATTCTAATTCCAATATTCTTTAATCTTTCCTAGATATCTATCTTTCAAATTATCTTTTGAGTCTGGTTTCTTATTCCTCCAATTCAAATTCTATATATAAATTTAAATTATACACATTTATTATTTTTAATCGTTTAACTACTTTTAGAGAATATCTTAAAATAGTTTTTATTATTCTTTTAGATCAATTTCTAATTTTTGCACTTAGGACTCTAAAGATTATATTTAGATTTTATCATTTTAAGAGGCTCTGAATTTATTTGAAGATTTACTTTCTTAATTGGTTGTTTTCCTCTTCTAATATCTTGATTTTATTTCCATAATGTTATTCAATAGTTTTAAGTCTTTCTACAATGTTGATTGAGGTGCTTGCTTGATTTGGGGATGGCATTCCTGAATGAACAGGACTATTAACAACAATAGATTATTGTTAGGGCTAGAATTTTTCAAAAGTTTAGGTCTTTATCTATTGTCTGCTTCTACAAATTCTATAGGAATTATTATTTTCTAAAATATCTGACTTTTTTAATTAAGAATTTTCCATATTTGAAACAGGTGTATATTGGTAATTGTTTAGAATCTCTTCCTACTATTTTGTGGGTTCGTCTGAGTTTATAATGGATTTGGGTTGCGTTCTTTTAATTGTGTTAATATTTGACTCTTTAAGTAATTTTAGAATAGTTTCATCAAATTTGTTCAGATATGTATTCACCTATTCTAACTTCTTCATTTAAATTATTAATATATATTTAATTGATATCATTTTTCATTATTAGAATCTTGAGTAGGCTTGTCATTCTTTGTTTAATCACCCTTCTTCCAATAATTATCTAATGCCTATTCCATTTTGGATTTCCCTAAATAATAGAAGATGTGGTATACTTTGTATATCCTTGGCTAACTTATAAACATCTGAGTTAATCCTATTCTTTCTGCCAGTTTTGATGAACCTTTACTTCTTTTCACCCTATCCAATTAAAATAAGATTTACATTCTAATTATTTTATTTGAACCCAAATCTTCTTCTTCGCTAAGTATTTTGTTATTAAAATCCTTATCCTTATTAATTTCCCCTTCCTCTTTATGGTCTTCCCCCTCTGTTTTGATTTCTTGACCTATTGTAACCTGAATTCTAATTTTAATTAGATGGTCTTCTAAACTAGGTATTTTTAAAGTTCCCTTGTTGATTGTTAGATCTGTTATTATTATTATTTCTGTTGCCTCTGAAACTTTGATTTCCACCTCTAAATGATCTTCCATTGGTCTGTCCTCCTCTTTTATTCCAGCCACCCCTAAATTATCTCATCTAAATAAATTATAGAAATTAATAAATTGATTTTCAAAACAATATATACATCAGTTATATGATATTTGTTAGAAATACATATGAAAATAACAGACATTCATAAAAATCATAATTTAAACTTCTCCAATTGTTCCACCATCTACTGTGTATCAGTGACTGAAGATTTAAGTTTCATGATCCAATAACTTAAAAAACTTTGCAATTCACATTTCATTTAACAAAATCTTTATTCATAATTTTCATCTGGCTTTACCTTCTTCTTTTGAGTTTCATTCAGTAATTCCTGTGGCTAAGCCTTTTTTATGATCTTGATTTCCAAAGTTTATTTAACTGATTGTTCTACACTTGGCTAAGCCTGAGTTGGGGTTGTGTTTTAAGTATTTTTATCACCCTATTAAGTTTGGGAACTCTACTGTTATTCAGAGTCATTCTTTATTTATGAATTAGGAGAGCTAGAAGGTACTTCTTTGTCATTGTTGGCTATTCTTTTATTTTCATCAATTATTTATAGCAACTATCTCATTTTTTCACTTTCTGATCTAAACACCACCTATGGCTTCTGTTTTTTACAATAAGCTCTCTTTATTGCTTTTTTTGGTTAATTCTAATCCATCTTTTGTAAAATAGGCAATTAAACTACTTAAATAATATTTTCTGGAATCTTGAGAGCTTAAATTGACAAGGTAAAATAAAACAATGCTTTGTAATATGCCTTTATTTAATATTCAAAAATATATGTATTAATTGCCCTATATTTTTGATTATTATAAATATGAATTATAATCTAATTAAACGAATATCATTCAATTTTTATAATAAACATATATCAATTTAAAATCTATCTAGGGGTGTTTAGGATATTCAATTTCGCCAAAAGGAGATTTTTTTAATTTGCATCGACATGCACAGTCGTGTTTCTATTAGCCAACAAACTCACAATTAAATTTCTAATTATTAAGTGATATTGTACTTGCTCGATTGATTTACATGGAATGTATTCGCTTTCAAAGATTTCTTTTAGTTAAATCGTTATTTTTACAATTAGACATTTCTTGTTGTCTTTGGCGATTCAATATTTTTTTAGAGACTCCTTAATGAAGTGTTACTGGTAAGGGCCTTCGCTTTCGTTTGGATTTTTAATTCTAATTTAACCTTTACTCTTTATTTTACTATAAATTAATAACTGTTATATTTTACATAAGCTTAGAATCTGGGCATGAGCAGTTTTGGATGTCTTGTTTCTTGAAGTCAAACAGTTTTATTTGAAATTTTATGTTTTGAAGGAATTACTCTTGTCTTACATTTATTTGTGATCTCTGTGAGTCTGACTGGTGGCTTTTTATTGATTTATGATTAAGTTGATTTTTTTAAGTTTCTCGGAGGTTATGAACTACTATAATCTTTGTTCATTCAGAATAAATTGCTGGTTGTTGATTATTTATTATAAGTTTGGTTGTTTTCTCATTGGATTAGCATTTAAAGCAGAAATAATTTCATTAATTTCACTTTACTAAGTTTGTGTCCTTTATTTTAACTCCGTATTCAATTCATCCAAAACATTTCCAACTACTTAACCTGATTCCTAAGAAGATTTGGGAGTGCTTTAGGATTCTTAAGGTTGTTCCCCCACAATACCTTTGGGAGTTCTATTGGGGTTTTATTGGTTTTCCAATTCGATTATATGTTGTATTTTATAGTATTCCAATTTCCTTCTTTGATTGTAAAATTCGTTTAAGATGTAAACTATTTATTCATTAACGGCCCACCTTGGAATATCCTTATGGAACTGCAAATGTTATGAATTATGTATACTCTATAAAATTCAACCAAAATCTTGATTTTCTTTGGATATGATTATAACGAGTAGAGTTTTTTGCATTGTTCCACTTCTTAATCATATTATTCTAAATCCTTGTCAAAATTGAAAATATTATACTTTAAACCAAATTGTAGCCTTTGTTGGTTAGTTGAGTATCAAATCATTAACTACCTTGGTGTAATAATAGTTTTGAGATTCAGCATATTTATTATAAAGGGATGAAGTGATTCTTTATGATAGAGAGACTTTCTTAAATAATAATCTAACAATACTCTACCTTTCATTCTAATTTTATCTTGATTCGCCCCATACAGTACCTTTCTGCTTGGAATACAAATAAGGCATTCCATTTTGAAATAAAATAAATTTAAATTAAAATCAAATAACTTGCATAAAACGATAAGGATAAATGAGTTAACAATTAAACTTAATGTGAAACTAATTTATTAAAACAAATATAATTCTATACTCAAGGCTCAAGCTAAAGATAAGAAAGCTTAAATATGTGTAATATAATTATAAAGATAATTTGATTCTGAATTATATTTAATATAGTCTTGCTTGTGGTATTAAAACTAATAAAAGATTTTATTTCTTAATTTTTAAAATAATATAGAATTGTCTTATCTATACTTTTATTATAATTTTGTAATGAATCTTAAGCTAAGTGGAAATGTCTAAAACTAATTTTAAAGAAATGATATTTTTTAATAGTGATATTTATTATAATAATTAAAACTATGTAATATAATTGCATTTAAGGTACTTTAAATCATCACTAGTTAAATAATATAAAGACTGGATTAAGAACTGAATTATTTTATATTGATTGTAAATAAAATGAAGGAATTAAAATCTATAAATAATAGTAAAATCTCTTAATAAGACTAATTAATTAATTGAAAATTAATTTACAATAAGGTTGAATCTTTATGTAAGTAGATTAGTTTATTTATTATATAAGAAATGAATTCAAGAATTATAATTAAATAAATTGCAATTATTAGAATATAAAAAATTAGAATTAACACACAATAGCCTATCACTATCAAAATAGAGTTATAAATGAAGATAATTATTTAATTAATGAATAATGATAGATAGCATTTTAAAAAGTATTATTAATTGGATGGAGACGAATAAATTAAAATGACATTATTCTTAAGTACAATTTGAAGTTAGACTATCACCTAAGTGAAACAAAATATTGATATTAATAAATATTGAAAATGTTTTATATAGAATTATAGAGATTGAGTAAATAATGAATATAAATAATATTATATGAATCATAATAGATAATTTCAAAGTTTAAGAAGTGTTCCAGATGTGCAGGAAACTGATGAAACAGAAGATCGAATATTTTATTAGATGGTAGGGACAACTCAAGAAGAATCTCATATTATCACAAATAGTGACCGCACATCTATTGAGGAGTGGATGAAGTTACAATAAAGCTTGAAAGAAGAGTAATACAAAATGAGATAGGAGGATGAACTTAAAAACAAATTGTTGGATGAATTAAAACATGAAAGCAAGAATTATTACTAAACCTACATCAACGTATTGGTCGAGAGTAATATGAATCAAGAGCAAAAGACTTTGGAGGAATCTACATCTAGATTATTTAGAAATGCAGAAACCAATGTGAAATTGATATTTGAAAAATTATCGAATACAAAAGTATGTTCTGCCATATTCCAACATCACAACAATACAAATCGAAATACAGATATTGAGACTCTTATAAGAACATTCATAAATAGTATCTATGATAACATTGCATGTGGATCTATGTGGAAATAACCAATTTTGAAATTGATGAGTGAAATAATAACAACAGAAGTTAATCGATAGGAATTTCCTGAATTTTTGTGGGATCGAGAAGAAACATTAACTCAATTTATAATGAAAGAATTTGCAAAACGACCTGAAAATGTCAAATACACTAAAGTGATATTTAAAAACTCCTTGATTCAAATCACTAAAGTTGATAAATTCTTGGATTTAGACAAAAGGAAAATAGCAGAGAAATTGCGAGATATAAAAAAGGAATAAGATAAAAAATAGAAAGACGAGAAACAGTCAATGACTTCATCAGCTTTTGTCGTTAAGCAAGTGCCCATCATGCAAAATTCCTCACATAAATCATTGCCTTAAAGACAAATACCAATTATCTTGCCAATCAAAAATATAGAAGTGCCTTAATAAAATATGACGGTGTATTATGCAAATTTAATTAAACAATATGATCAATCAAAGAAAGCCAATACCAAACATTCCAGGAGAAATTAAAACCAATTAACTGAATTTTCATTAAAAGTCCTATAATTTGGAGAAGAATAAAGGTAGGCCAAATTCCTAACCATGGAAAGACGAAGTGTTCCGCCTATTTAAGAATCTCATTCAGAATCACCCATTCGAAAATTATCAGAAGTTTATAGCCATAGTAGTAGATCTGATCAATATATGAATAATGAAATTAATAGTGTATTGATTGCTTGTATAGATAAATTTAAACAGCTGGTAAACAATATCATGGAAAACATTTTTAAGAATATCTACTTAATACCTCAAGGTATTCGTATTATTTGTAAGATGATTCAAATCACAATCTTAAAAAAGTTTCCTGATGCCACTGAATAACAAATATAGGAGAATATCTTTAGTTTCTTATTTAATGTTTGGTTAATACCTTAATTAGTATTCCCAAAACAATATTCCTCTTTTAAATATATTCGTGAAGATCATGAAAACACTGTGTAGTAAATTCATATCATCATTAAAAAAATGATTAAGAACCAGAAATACAATGATGATCCTTAATACAATAGATTAAATTAGTATATGTAAGATTTGTAACCTTCTCTTAAAGATTATCTTCAAGAAATCTTGAATTTGTGTCCTGATTCTGTTAATGCTATAATTAATGATACAAATAAAATAGATGGAATACAATCTAATTGTGTTTGCATAGCTTTGGATGAGATTAAAATTCTCTGCATATTATTATAAGATATGAAAACATTCAAAACTGAGTCAGCTGATCTTCAAAAGGTAATTAATTAGCTTGTTACTTTGGCAACAAGAACATTGGAAATAGATAAGCATGAAAACATATTCAGACAACAGTCTAATTTATAGGCTTAATAGTAAATATATGCACTCATACTAAATTTTTCTATTCCAAATAACATCATGTATTAAGAATAGGTACAGCCTTTGAAGAAGATAAAAGATGAAAAAGTGAGAAATGAAAGGAAACTGATTAATGCCTTAATGAAATGCTTGATCGAAATTCAAGATTTGGCTACCTCCACATCTGGAAATTAAGAAGAAACCAGTCTCAGAAGGGTTCTTACTAATTTTGTAGATGTAATTTTTTATTTAATAAATTTAGAAATACACCTATTTAGATGATAAAAAGACTGTGTTCTAGATTAAATACGTATTGGAACAACTAAAACTATTGAAGAAAGAGGATTTGCAAAGTAATTTAAGAAACATTTATTAAATTTTGAATTAGGAATTTCAAGAACGTTCTATGATTTTGACTGAACACATTCAATAAACTAAATATCAATTATTGAGTGCGAAGTATAATATTAAGAAAAATTATGAAGTGATGAGAGAGTCCTTTGAATAATTAAGCCAAGAGAAACGATAAAAATAATTGTATGATTTCATTGAAAAAACACCTCTAACATTATGTGTCACATCTCCAAAAACAAGAGAAGGCTTATTTTCTATTAAAGCCATGAAACTCAGAAATAATAACAATAATGAATCCTTGGATGAAAATTAAATTTGGGTTGAATAATAGAGCGAATGCATTCACAATGCTATTAATCTAGAATTCATAAAATAGATTGTAGGAGGAGCCAGTCCCAATGACTAGAAGAAAAACTCTGAATTTTCTAATTCTCATTGTTCTGATATTAAATAATTTATTGAAAACTTTTCATCGCTTTAAGAGGTAAAAGATGCTGTCATTTCTGGAGAGGACAAGGCTGGTGTGAAGAATGCTTACTTTGAATTTATTTAAGCCTTAGCTACTTTTTTGAAAGGAAAGAATGAAATGAAAATAGATGAAATCTAAATGATGGATATGCTGGAAAAGTATGTCAGCAAACGTGTCTATGATAAGTAATAATTAAGCATTATTGAGATAGAGTCTATCCAAAAGAGAGAACTTACAAAGATGCTGGTCTTTATTTTAGAATTAAATCTTTGGAATGGGTAAACTATGACCATTTAGAAATAATTAAATAAAATAGAGTTGATGAAATGTGGGATTTAGCAGTAGAAGGTATTCTGTATTCTTTGATGTTTTATAGCATTATTGAACATAGATAACTGCAAGACCGCTGTCAATAAATTAGAAGCCATGATTTAATGCTCAAAAATCATGAATGACGTTCTCAAATTAACTTCATTAAAAGAGGAGGCTACATCTGCAGATACTGTATTACCAATTCTTATTTACATTCTTATTAAAGCTGCTCCACAGAGATTGCATAGCAACTTAAACTTTGTCTCATTATTTTTAGACAAAAGCAAAACTGTGAGTCAGTAAGGCTATTGTTTGACCTAATTATAATTGGCAATACAATGGTTGGAAGAAGTGGATCATAAACTATTGAAAATGGATTAGTTGAACTTTCTTGAGTAATTCTTATCTTAATTCTAGAACAATAACAAAAGCGGAAATCAGATATGGTATCCATTATCTAAAGAGAAGAAATAGATCAGAGCGAATTTCAATGGCTTTAAATAAAATTTAAGCACTTATCAATTGATTTAAATGTCAAATTATAGTAATTTAACTTAACAAATTCAAATTAAAACAAAATTTCTCATTTATATTTAACATTTTAAGAAGATTTTGTTCTACATTTTCAATAATTCAAAGTATTCGAAACTGCATTAAATTATATAATCGTAACAAAAATTAAAAAATAAGACTAAACTAAATATATATACAATTTATATATATATTATTTATTTCTTTATCAATCTTATTCTTATAATTATGTTAAGTATCCTTGATCCCATTTACCCTTAATAACTTATCCATCAACAGTTGTAAATTCACCTTCTCCATGCACTATTCCATCTTCAAACTCTCCAAAATATTGTTCTTGATTTGTAAGAATAAGTGTTCCTTGTCCATGCATTTTTCCTTATAAAAAGTTACCTAGAATAAGTTAATAATATTAATCTACCTTCATATGAAGCCCATCCATTGCCAATAGATGTCATATTATTCCAATCAAGTGGCTCATTCAATTCTTCAGTTTGAAGATTTGTCAATCTTCCTTGTCCCTCATAAAGGTTATCTTTCCAATAGCCAGCATAGACTTATTATCCATCAGCATCTGTTAAAATACCAAATCCATTTCTGGTTTAAGGGGGATATCCTTATCCTCTATAAATATATCCATCTTCATATTGTAATGCCAATTCTAAAATAATTTGAATTTAAATACCTTGAATATTTTCATCTTCTGCTTCATCTTAAGGTTCATTAGATTTATTGGATTAGTGACCTTTATTTCCAGAATCCTCCATTTGATATTTTTTGATGATTTCTTCTGTACTTTTAAGAGCATTCTAATATCTCTTGTCCAAATCCTCATCTGGTTGAGATTATGGGATTGGTTGCTTTTTCTATGGAGGAGGTGGCTATTGCTTTTGTTAGTTAGGCTATGGATGATTGACAGCTACAACAATGAAATATTAAACATACTCTTATTTGGCTGTTATGGTTTTTAAACTTAAGGTTGCTAAGCATTCCTTATTCTCTCTTAAACTTATTCTAGAGTAAGATATTATCTCTAAGGTGATTAATATTAAGGAGCTGGGGATCTTGGTACCTATTGAGATTGCATGAGTCCATTTCTTGATGGCGATTATGCTGCTTTCAATCTATCTGGAGATTGGAATGTTCTTTGGGGTGAAGCCATAATTTGACTCAACATTGGTTAAGGTTGATGTGCTTGAGGTATGATAGGCTAAGTATATGGATTATAAGGATAAGGCTGAGCAAATCTAAGACCAGGATAACCGTATTGTGGAGCATTATACACAGGTGGTCTCCATTGCTATGGTACTTATGGAAGTACACCATAGGGAGGGTATCTGTATTATGGATATGCTTGGGGATAGAAGTGCTAAGGATAATACATTAAATTAAAAACTTAATAATTAAATAGATTGAGATATCATTCTTCTTCTGTAGACCATAATGAAAACTTAGATAATCTTAGGATTAAGAAATGAAGGCAAAGAAATAGAGGATATATTATTTTGATATACATCCACACTATTACATTATAATTAGATAATCGGGAGAAATTCAAATAATATATTGGGGAGATTGATGAATGCATAAATAAATTAAAAAAATGAATTATGTTTCACGAAGTCCTTAAGTCCCTATTTATCAATAGATAAAGGCGTTTGTCTAAGGTCTGGCCCAAAAGAGAAACTAGAAGGTTGTATTGAATGAGGTTCAATCTCTCATTAATCAATTGGGCATACCTGGTGAATAGTATTTTCTGCTTCAACTTCTAGAAAGCATAGAAGTGCAGAAAGAGAAGCAATCATTAACACAGAAAGGGTAATTCCTAGTGTAGTGGCTTCAGCAAGCTTCCTCCAAATCCCATTTCATAGATTACTTCTGTGGTGTGGTTGAAGCAGTGTGTCCTCAATCCCAATCCATAACTGAATATTTGTGTGAATTGTGTAATGCTCTTAAAGTGCCATCTCTGGTCCAAATGATAATGTGGTTGTCTATCACATTTTCTTCAAATTAGAATTTCTCTAAGGAAGGCATAAAGATGCTAAAGAAGAAGTTACAAGAGCCATTTTAATAAAAAAACAATTTATAGGTGCCACAGTATGTAATTCACACATTGTTGTATCAACTCAGAAACATTCCTGAATTGTCGGTAAAATATTTAAATAATGTTAGGATCTTGAATAAGAAATTAAGAATTTCAATGAGTACGTATAAAATACAAAATAGGCAGATTTAAAATGTTTGTATGATGATGGCAAAAAGTACATGAAATTGGATCCAGTAAACATAGAAATTCCAAAAATTAATGAATGCATTAAGCCTGTAGACATTCTTAGAGAATTAGGACCTTATACAAGCAATTTGTCACAAATCTTTACAGAATACACTGATAGTGATATTATGGATTGCCTATTGTATTTGGCTAATAATCAGGGCGAGGATGCTTCTAAAGAGGCTCATAAAGAAGCTCTTAAAGATGTCCAATAGTTGTTCAAATTGACATCGAACACTTAACAGCCAGATTGGAATTAATTGTCAAATGAATTGAATAAGCAATAAGAAGATGATTTTATTAAGTTCTTTATCAATGACAACAACAAACGATAGTGGTCTTAAGTATTTGAGAAGCTGGATAGACCCAATTTATAGTTGTCACAATAAGGATATAATAATTTAATGGGATTCTTAGCCAAAATTAAGAAATAATAATAACAATTTCAATTGCCCCATAGATTATTATTGGACAAATGGCATAATAAGAAATCTTAGATCACTTTTCTTACCTGTATGTTGAAAGCAAACAAGCCTGAGTAGTTGTTCTGGAATGAAATTTAACCCAAAAAATTAGTGATTATGGAACATAATACTAATTATAAAAACCAATAATAATTGCAATATTGGTACAATTTAGAGTTTGTTCAGATGCTAATAGAATTGAGTGAGTATGGATACATAGCTGAAATCAGAGAGTTTTTTGAGTAGCCAATTAAATAGAACCCAGATTTAATAATATTGGCTTTATTCCAAATTTCACCAACTTAAGGTGGAGCATTAATAGATGAATTATTTACATAGCTATTTCCTAATTACGTATCATAACATGCCAATTCATCACCAGTATTGGAATAGATGTGGAAATTCAATTAGAATTTATTTATAACTGGAATCAGTGAGTTATATAAGAAAGAATATGGCAAGAAAGAAAATTCATGTTTAAATTTATCAAGAGTTTTGGATATAGTTTAACAACTCTTTCAAAATTCTCAGTAAAACAATACTTCATTATTGACAATGGCTAAATTTGATGACTATCAATTTTCAGTTCCCTTGGGCATTTTGGCAGGTAAGAGAGAATACTTGAATTTTGATATTTGGTTGAATGAGAGAATTAAATCATAAGGTATTCCTTTTGTTAATGTGCTCTTGCAATACATTGATGAGAATGTTATCTAATAGATTAAGGAGTACTAACTCAAAGCTGGATTACCGAATGGTTAGTTGGGATAGATGCAGATTCAATAATTAGATTAGATATTAGATAAGGGATAATTGAAGTTAGAGATGATAACAATCATTTTTGAGTAGTTGATGAATCAAGGAGATAAATTGGGGAACAAGATAAAGCAAACAACTTAGTAATTTTATAAGGAAGTTGTTTAAGTGTTTCCTTAATTGGCAGGATAGCCAAACTAAAAAACTAATTAAGAAGTAGAAAGTAAGACAGACAGTTATTTTGAGAGTTATTACAATGAGTAAATCAGTTTGGAAAACTTCTTAAATTAGATGGTTTAATGGAAAACACAGGGAAGTATCTAAGAGAAAGAAGTGTATGCTTGTATAATAACAAATTTGTATAATGAGTATCAGTTTCATTTGAAATACCCTAAGAAGGAATTAGAATTGACAGGACAATTGTTTGGAGGAGTATTGGAAAGAGGATTGGTCGAGGGTCAAAGTATATAGATAGGCTTGAGGATAATTTAGGTGTCATTAAAGAACAACACATAGAGATATGATTTTGCGGTTAAGGCATTGGAGGTTATGAAAAATAAAATATATGAATGGCCTTGGTTTGCATAAGATGTTATGGCATGTGAACAATTATCCTTTAAGAATCCAGATCTTTTGGCTGAAATTATTAGAGTGTGTGAAAAGCATGGAATAAAATCGCCTTTGTAACCTGCTCCACCAATATAGCCAGTATTTCACAAGCCTCTGCAATTGGTTGCTTAGAAAGAAAAATAAGAAGAAGAGCCAGTTTAATTGACTCTAAAGAAATCAGAATCAGTCCCTGTTTAATAGGCACAACCAACTCCCATCGTAGTTCCAGCCGTAGTACAACCCGTTTAAATACCTATACAATATCCATAACCTGTTATCGTACCATAATAGCAACCAGTCACATAGGTTTAATAACATCAATAAGTACATTTACAATCAGTCACTCCTCCTCCTACTTTATAGAAGTCTTCTTAATTACCTGTTTAACATACACCGTAACCTTAAAAATAAAAACAAGAGGATAATAGTACAAATATTAATCTCACATACAAATAAATATTGTAACTGGAGTTTGACGAGTTCCAAAGGTGTGGAGCTGATTCAGATGTTAAAGAGTACTTTACCTTTACTTTGAATAGCATTTCCTAGAATAATGTTGAGTAGAAGGCTGCGGAAATACGAAATAAACTAGAAAACTAGGATGCTTTATTCTATTTCATTAAAACCATTGCTTATTTAAGATCTCCTATGGCTTAATAATAGGCATAGGGACCTAATGTGATGTGTTGTTTACTTGCAGCTTTGAACAAATCAAGGTACTTCTCAGAAGTTGCCAAGGAAGTGAGCAAAGGGTTAACAAGATTGTTGACTTTCAATAAAACAAGTCCCTCTGCAGATGACAGAAGCACTATCAAAAATATGGGAAGTTTCCTAGGTTAAATCACCGTATCCAGAGACAAACCATTCTTGTTTAAGTACTTTGATTACAAAACTTTACTAAAATAAAATCAACTCACTATTTATCCTTTATGTAAGATCTTGGAACAAGTCAAATCTAGTCAGATTTTCACTAAGAATAATAAATGGGTGAATAGAATCTTGCAGGAATTAGATACTGCCAAAGAAACCTGCAATACAATGGCAAAATATGAAATCATGAATCTGCTCAAATAAATTGAGTACACTGTTTAACCTATCAATCCAACACCCACTCCTATTACTATTCCAAATCCAGTTGTACCAATCATAACTTAACCTATTGTTTAACCTATTATGGATTTGGACCCACTAAATAAATTGAATATCAAGAATCTACCTTAATATGTGATGGCTGATTCTAAAAACTTAAATGATAAATTGAATGAGGCTGATTGCAAAAATCTTGTGGCTACAGCCTTAGATCATGCCATATCTGATATCATTCCACCTGTTATTAGCAGGAGTGTTACTATAGCATTAATTACAACAAGAGAATTAGTTTTTAAAGATTTTGCACTTGAACCAAATGAAAAATACATGTTAAGAGGAATGCATATGATCGCTTCTCATTTATCAGGTAGTTTGGCCATGGTTACTTGCAGAGAACCCTTAAAAGTCAGGATCACTCATTATCTTAAAGAAGGCATTGAATAAATTGATCTTGACAATAAAACCAAAGAAACTTTTGTCTAAACTGCTGCTTAGGAGAATTTAGATCTAGGATGTGCTCTGATAAGAAAAGCAGTTATAGAAAGAGCATTGGAGGATGTCAATTAAGATCCTTCAATTTTGGAATAATTAGAAAAGAGACAACGATGCAAAGAGAAGGGTTAACAATATAGAGATGAAATCACTTAAAATCAACTTAAATTCTTACCTGAACCATTACAACCAAGAATCTCTGGTTTGACTGAAGAAGAAATTAGAATCTATGAAGAATTCGGTAATAAGAAGAAACAACCTAAATAATCAGTCTTGCAAAAGGTTTCCACTCTCTGCTAACTTCTCCAAGACCCATAAAGCAATGAAGAAAAAATCTAACAATTAATCCAAGATCTAAATGAATAAGATTAATCAAATCCTGAGTAATTTTATAAGGATTTGGCAGATAAATTTTTATAGGTCATCTTAACCAATAATTTAACTTCAGAGAAGATCTCCATCTCCTTGGATTTGATTACTATTCTTATTAGAAAGATAAATGAAAAAGTTGGTAAGAAATGGAGTGAATTGGTTACTGAATTCATCACTAAAAATATTGAACTTTTGGAACATAGTCCATTATGGTGGTAAGCATTCCCTATTATGTTGAATAAAAGACTAATCTAAATTTAGGAGGCTGAATAAGTGATGACTCAAATTCTCGCTAAGGACAATCAAATGAATGTTAGTTCCATTGTATTTATACTAAGAAAAGTTATAATTGAAGAGGATAATAATACATATTTAAATTAATTCAGAAATATTGCTAAAGAACTAAGCAAAAAGAAAGACACTAATCCAACAGTCTCTAAATTCTTCTTAGAACTTACTAGTTATGTCTCCAATGCTTCATAAACTAAGGTTTTCTAAAAGAAGTTGAATTTAATCAAGGGTTTCTATTAAAAAATTGATGAAGAATTTTCGAACAAAGTATCTCTCAAATTGAAATAATGGTACTAATTAAGTTCGGAGGAAGAATTCAGTAACTTTTTTAGAGTTGAAGGTGAAAGCTAATTCTTTGTTGAGGATTAATTGAGTAAGTTCTGTGCTTATGCAATTGAATTGAGTATGACTGATGTGAATAAAGAATATATGGATCACTCCTAGATTGAATAATTAGGAAAAATGCTTACAATAATGTCAAAGGGACTTGAGCCAAAGATGAAACCTAAATTTTTTGAAAAACTATTTGATGGATGTTTAATGGTACTCACAAAGTTACATGAAGTTACGAAATAGAAATTTAATTAAAGATAACTATTCAAACTGTTTTACAATTTACTTTTTGATTTACAAATTTTGGACGAAGAGAATATTAGATTATTCCATAATAAATTTGCTGAATTTTTAGAAAAGGTTGAACCAAGTCTGTATCCAGGATTCTCTTATGCTTGGTTAGAATTACTTTGCAATAGATATTTCTAATAGATTATAACTACCAATGAAAATGCTTATGCAAGGTTGATCATTAAATTATTAGAATTTGTAAGAGATACTATTACTGAAGAGACTATCCAATATCATTATGTCTAAGAGTATCTGAAGGGAGTGACCAGATTGTTTATGCTTTTATTGACTGATTAGAGAAAGTTCTGCAGTAAATATGCTTTCAGTTTTGCAGATGAAGTGCCTTTCAATCATGTCTAATTATTGAATTTGAGCTTGGCTGCTTATCCAAATGATCAAACTGATGATCCTCAATCTTGCACCAATATCTATGACATTGCAGATGCCCAATAATTTGGATAAATTGTTCATGCTTGTTTTGAAGAATCAACCTAAGCCAAAATCAAAGAAGAAATCCAATATATGCTGAATATGAGTGATGAAGATTTGAAAATCAAGATAAGCAAGTACTTTGACTATGATCAGAAATCTAAGTTACCTTGCTAAATTTCTGGCTTCTTCATCTTATTACCTAGACATGAAAGTCTTACTATCCAATAATAAAGAACATTATTAACAAGGATTATAAAGAATTCAAGTTATGCTATTAGAAATAATGTGATGAATGTAATCTTGAATTAAATTCGCTATCCTGAACGTGCAACCGAATTCTACATTCGATACATCTTGTAATAGTTCATTGTTGGCGATAATTTCTAAATTTAAGAATAATTTACTACGTATTATTATTGTTTATAATCATTAGATTGATCACTAAACGTTTCTTATCTGAAAATCCAAAGACTTGGGGAATGCTGTATTTGCATGAAGAATTAAAGAGAACTCAATCTAATAACAACCAATACAAAATGTATTAGATTCAAAGGCAATGACTTATTAATAAAATGTTCATTCAATAAATCATTTTTATTGTAAAATATTAAAGAAATATTCTACTTCTAGTATGCCATCCTCTGGCAAATCAGTGCAATGTATAGCATTCTTAACTCTATCGATACCAAATTTGGCTCTTATTGTTTGAGGTCTCAAAGTCCTAGCAATTTCAGGATCATGAGGTCCACAGAGATCCCTAAAAGATTTAACCTAACTTTTAATGCATAAATTTACAGCATTTTCCTATCTGATTTCCATAGCAATACAAGGACCAGATGTCAGATGTTCAGCCATGGCTTAGAATTCAGGTAAAACACCCTAAATAAAATATGGATAAAGATATACTTTATAAACTTCAAAGAATTCCTCGCTAGTGGCTCTATCTAAATAGAACATTTGCATAGCTGAAATTTCAAAGCCTTCGCTTAAAATAATGTCTATAATTTATCCTGCTCTTCCTTCCAATATTACATGAGGTTTAATGATGGCACAAGTGCAATTATTGAATACTGCTGTTGATTTTAGATTAGATTTATCGGAGAAAAAGAAATCTAATTCTCTTTGTGCTGATCCAGCTATTCAATATAAATTAGTCTTCTTACGGGCATCACTGCCATGACAAGCATTCCTGACTCCTTCTGTACCATAGAGAGCTCTCATTGAATTTGGTGCTTCTACTCTAGCAACCTAACATTTAGTTGGACCAATAAGATCTCTCCATTTCTTCACACTATTATCAGCTATCAATTCCAAACCAACTATAAAATCACTGCATATGAATTAAGTAAGTTCATCAAAGAAGGGTTTGCCCTATTCTAATTGATTATTTATTTACTCTATGTTCTCCATAGAATTGCTAAGCATCTCCAATTTACATTCTTGTCATTTTCAAATTACCAATCACGAAACCGTTCTTTTCAACTGCAGTAATTATCTTTCCAATATGTGTATATGCATCTGGTTTTATCATACCGAATGTTCTAAATATTTATTTCAGTTACTTACTTTCCTCTTTAGACTTCAAATTTTGATCTCGTGAATACATCTGCATAATCAACTATCTTTAATTATCTTGAAAAAACTGTCACAATCGATCCAACGTACAAATCCTTCAATTATACTGATGGATAGTCACATCTTTTCAGAAATATTCTTTTGTTTTTCAAATCAAACTAAATCCATTATTCATTCGCTTACCATCTCTATCGTCTTATCAGCCATAAAGTAAATGAGGTTATAATTCCTTATCAAAGAAGCACTTGTGTCAAACCATTCCACAATAAATACATATCTTTCATCGTTGACTGCCATCTGTTAATAATAATATAATAATATATATAATATAACTAATTTTCATTATCAATCTTATTTCTCATTCTATCCATCGCCTTTCACTTTACTTATAAGCTAATTGATAAGTTCTCTTTGAATTTATTCTATGATTGATCCAATAATTAATCATCTTCTCAGATTTAATCCATTATGGTTGTTATTTGAAGTATCATTATATTGTAATACTAATCATTTAACTCTTAATAATAACAATTAATTATTAAATGGCTGATAAGTTTCTTTAATTAACAAATAATTATTGCTATCAATACTCAAGAAGAACACAAAAGTTGAATGATCACGCCTAAAATTCACAGAGAATCTATACTGACATTTCACCTTTGCCAAAATAAAACAACCCTATTTACAATTCTCCTAGGAAATTAATGAAAACTACATGTGCTTCTTTTTTTGATCATTTTTAAAAACTTCCAAGTCCTAAACTCACTGCTTATTAGACATATCTTTAAACAATATTATAAAATAAGAATGAGATATAAGCCAAATAAAATTACTAACCCTCCTTTACATTACATAACATTTATGGATAGAAAATTAGTGCTTAGAAATAGTCAAAGGATACAATTAAATAAATTTAAAACCAACAATAAAATAAATCAGCTTGCAAAATTTAGTTAAAAAACACAACCAACTCTAATTCATAATATCACTCTCCCCGTAAAACTAGAATATAGTGTATAAATAATTAATCAAGAATATAAATTATAAACAACCAATCTAAATAAATTTAAAAAACTAAAATAGATCCTATTTAGGAGAAATCTGTCTAGTAAGAACTTTATTCCAGAATATAAAATATTGAAAGCAAAAGAATTTTAACATTTGATGACAATTTTGATGATATCGAACCATGGAATACATCAGAATAAAAATATTGATTGAATTCATACCTTATCTATATTCTTTTTAGGCTAACCATAAAATTAGATTTAAACTTATTATTATTGTTAATTTTGAGGTTAGTTAATCAACATTTTATATAATTATTAATTCATAATAATTAAAAAATCTCATACTTTAGGAATAACAAATTTCTACATCCTGCATAATTCTACTTTTATCGAGAGAAACATAAAAAATATATATGATTCTTTAAAATTTAAAATATCCACAACCTAAGTATTAGATTCTAGTAACACTTTAAATTAAACTTCTGATTGTAATAAATATTATATAAATATTATAAAATATAAAAATAAAACTAATATATTAATCTACTAATATTATTGCTTGAATTTTAATTAGTTACATAATAGGAAAGAATCAGAGTGGAGAGAACTAAAAAATGATCTTTTTATATTAAAGAGCATTAATTATTCATAACAAAAGTAAGATAATTTCATATCGAATAGCTTATAATATTAATATATTTAATTTGTTATGTAATCAATTAACAATTCAATCTTAATGTTCAATCTGCTTATATATTGAATTAATTAATATAAGAGAATTGATAACCAATTATTTTATTAATTTAATTGAATAAATTATGTTAAATATTGTTATTTAAAACAAGTTTTGAAAACATATTACTTATATTAAATACTGGTTTTACTAGTTATCACAAATTTCAATAAGTGTTCTGAAATTTCTAATAAATAAATAATTTATTTCAACATATAGATTCTATACAAATCATTGATAATCTAGAGGGTATCTGGTTAACAATAGAGGAAGTTAGTTTTAAAATAATTCCCTTATGATTAAACATAATTTAATATTATATAATTAATTTTTATAGATGTCACGAAGAAGCATTTTATTAGGGCAAACGATGTCTGATTCAGAAAGGCAGAATTTACAAAAAATCATATATCAAATTGAATAGAATCCAGAAATTTATGAATAATTATCTGAGGAATAAGTGCTTGGAATTATTTGCATCATTCTTAACAAATCCTCATATCATAGATCTTTTGCTGAAATGGATATTTTAAAAAAAGCAACCAAAAACAATGAATACTTTTAGAATATGATAAATCAACCTTAAGGTGATTTATTATGGGAGAGGTGTTTGAGGAAAATGACTTATAATTTTTTACCAATCGGATTCAATCTTTTTAGAGAAGGAGATGCTGGAACAACATTCTACATCATTCTCTAAGGTCGAGTTTCAATACATAAGAAATATCAAATAGGAGTTAATCAATTTGAAGAGAGAGAACTAACTCAGTTGCATAAAGGATAGTCTTTTGGAGAATTGGCATTAGAAAATGATGCCCCAAGATCAGCATCAGTAAAGGCATTAAATTCAACTCATCTTGCTGTTTTAGAGAAAGAAGACTATATGATAATCAAAAAGACCTTAGTAAGTATTAATTTTATCATTAGTCTAATTAATAAAAGCAAATGTATTTCGAAGAATTTGCTAAATTGTCCATTTTCTAAGATTGGAAATTTACAAACATTAAAGGATTGTTTGATAATGTAAAATTTCATTAATTTGGACTCAATCATCAAATTTATAAAGAAGGCGATCCTTCCAACTTGGTGTATTTTATTTAATAAGGGGAACTGAAAGTAATATTAAATATCTATAGAAATAGGTTATTAAGTACTTATAACTGATAAAATAGAATAATTAAAACTAAATCTAAAATTCTAATTGTGAAAAATATGATGAAATCAACTAACTTTAAGAACTAAGTGCATTTCATAAGAAATAATTGACAAATAGTGAAAAGATAGATGAATTGTTTTAAAAAAAGAAATATGGACACTTGATTTAAGTAGATAAAAAGTAAACCATAACACTCAAGTATATTGGACCTGGTGAAATGTTTGGAGAATTAGAAATTCTTAAGAATCCAGATATTCCTCGATAAGTGAGTGTGATCACAACTCAAGAATCAAATAAAATCTATTCAATACATAAGAAGGATTTTCTAAGAGTGTTACACTTTGATCAAGTTTTGCATTCAAACTTAGTATATCTTAACGATAATAAGCTAAAATAAATTTTACATTAAATCAAAGGATTCTAAAAAAATTTCTTCGATAAACAAGATAAATAATAGTTATTAGAAACTACTCAAAATAAGGATTTCTTAACTTTAGATTATAAGGACTATGAAGAATAGCAATAAAACCAGAAGAAAATAAGTAGTTCAAAGAAAAATATTTCTCTAAGGAATTTTATCTTAGATAATAAAACATAGGATATTGGTTTGACACTTTAATAAAAGGAATCATACACCACTAAAAACTAAAACTTGATGTTTCATAAGCAGACCTTGTCTGATTTCAAATTAAATACTGATAGAGCATTAAATACAAATTCATCTTCAAAGACAAATTTAAAGGCGAAATCAAATAATTAGAGTCCAGATTCTTCATCTATTCAATTATTGAAATTAAACTTATGTAAATATCAACAGACATCACCTCTTTCAAGAACACAAAGAATGTTGAGTCCTTAGGATTCTATTTTTAGTAAATCTTAAGGCTTAAAGAAGTTCTAAAATAGTTAAATTTATTTCAATAATAGTCTCCCGTTTATTATGTAAAATAGATATATCAGAATTAAAAGTAACTTAAACAAAATTTAATGCAATATATGAATTTTTAATGACTTTATTTTATTTCTTAAACTAACCTAATAATTCAATATCAAATTATGATTGAATTATAATTTCTATAATAATATACACTATTTTATTCGATCAATTTGGCAATCTAGATTTTGTTTATTTTCGTTGTTATTAAAACTACACCAAAATCTACTATTCAATTAATTCCCATTCATTGATATCTACATCTTACAGAAGTGTAGACACAGTCTAAATATTAAAATAGGATACTGATTGAAATTATTCTAACGACTATAAAAATTGGGTCTTCATAATTTTCTTAGACTCTTCACTAGGCTTCACCCAAACAACTTTGTCAATGCCACCTTACTTTTAAACTGTGTATATATGAATACTAATTTACTTTCTTCTTGGAATGCTGCGAATTATTCAGGTTTTTATAAATCTAAATATTTTTAGACACTGGTCTTTACGAATTCTTGAAAAGACGAATTATATTTAGTTAAATCCGTAAATGTAATTTTGATATGCATTTCATCTGATTCATTTAATTAAATTAAGATAGAACTATTAAAATCTAATTATTCTCTGAAAACGGGATCGTACTTCAAAATAGTACTTTCCAATATTTGTTCATTTTATTCCTCTTCTAAAATAACAACATGCTAATTATCATCTTCTGACTCATTCAAAAATTTATCATTAAGCAATTCTGAGGCTGTTGGCCTTTTTTCTTAATCTTCGAGACATTTTAAAATAAATTATTTTAAATCTTGATTCTATATCAGATCTAATGTTTTTGGCTTAATTCGATTGATAACCTGAAGATAATGTTGTCATCTTACCTTTTAATAAATTTAATTGGGGGCTGTGCATTCTTCATATGGCCTCCTTTAGGTAGCCATTTCCAAGCATGTCATACCAAAGGCATATATATCCACCGGAGGTCCATATTTCTCTTCATAAATTTCAGGAGCCATGAATTCGGGTGTTCCAAGTACTGATTATGTAAAATCCTATTATTGTAACTTAATTGCTAATCCGAAATCCCCGATTCTCACTTGGTTATTATGAGTGTTAATGAAGATATTATCGCATTTAATATCTCTATGTATTACTGGATATGGAGAAATACTATGTAGATATTCTAAACCTTTCAGTATTTCTCGACACCAATGCTTGAGTATTTTCAACCTGGGCCTCTGTATTTTTCTCAAATGTCTAAGCTCTATAGATAGGAATACTTTTTGAGTGATCCACCATGTACTATTTCTGTTATAAAAATAACTTCACATTTATTTTTGCTAATCCAAGCATTAATGAGGCTGATAATGTTGGGGTGTTTGATGTTATTTAGAATATTCAGTTCCTCTGATATCCTTTTCCTCTCCTCCTCTAATAAAATCAATTGTATATACACTGTGGCAATTGATCTAAATGTACTACATTCCATGCAATTTCGCACCCAGACTCCTCATCATAGCCCCTATACACAGTTTTGTAAGTCCCTTTCCCGATTTACTCATTAAACTGCCTTTTAGCATTGTTATTTTAATACTCTAATAAATCTTCCTTTTGGACTTTTCTCCACAATCGAATCAGGTTCAGATTACATTTATAATAACAATTAAATTACTAAAAATATGCATCGATTTTATTAAATTAGCTAATCAAAAAATAATTAAATAAAAAAAGCCCCCTGACGGGGTCGAACCGTCGATCTTCTCCTTACTAGGGAGATGCCTTAACCACTTGGCCAAGAGGGCAACCTATTCGTTTATTACACAAAAAAGTATAAATGAACACCTACAAAATTTATTCATTTTTCAAGTTGTTTATATTGAATTTTCGTCGCTACTAAGTCAATTTTTAATTCTATTTTATTTTTATTTTATAATAATTAATTTTCGTTTGTTTTGAATCCCTCTCGAATATCCCTCATTAAGTACAACATTCTACTCGTATTATATTCAAAACAAATCAAAATCTGTATTGATTCTTTCAATAGCATTTTATTCTACTTCTCCATTAGCGAATACAATTATCTTTTAATTAATATATTGAAGGGCTCAATTATTAGTAAACAAGAATTAAATAGCCAATTTTTTTTAACTTCAAATTGTTATATCGAAATTCCAATGCTTATTAATTTTAAAAAGTTATTAAATTATGTTTACTATCTCTAATACAATTGCTATGAATTCAGTTAGCAGCGGAACATCAGTATTCTCGTATTACTTATCTTAAAAATTTTGGTCTCTTTGAATCTATAAAAATGTTATTCTCATTCTATAATGATTCTAATAGCAGTAATTTTAAAATAATAGCCTTTCTGTTACAATAAAACTAAGTTATAATTATATATAAATAGTTATGGCTTTATACAATTATTTCTATTTAATGTATTGATCTATATCTTTAAATATTTCTTTGTCTTAAATGGAGTTATTNTTCAGTATTTCTCGACACCAATGCTTGAGTATTTTCAACCTGGGCCTCTGTATTTTTCTCAAATGTCTAAGCTCTATAGATAGGAATACTTTTTGAGTGATCCACCATGTACTATTTCTGTTATAAAAATAACTTCACATTTATTTTTGCTAATCCAAGCATTAATGAGGCTGATAATGTTGGGGTGTTTGATGTTATTTAGAATATTCAGTTCCTCTGATATCCTTTTCCTCTCCTCCTCTAATAAAATCAATTGTATATACACTGTGGCAATTGATCTAAATGTACTACATTCCATGCAATTTCGCACCCAGACTCCTCATCATAGCCCCTATACACAGTTTTGTAAGTCCCTTTCCCGATTTACTCATTAAACTGCCTTTTAGCATTGTTATTTTAATACTCTAATAAATCTTCCTTTTGGACTTTTCTCCACAATCGAATCAGGTTCAGATTACATTTATAATAACAATTAAATTACTAAAAATATGCATCGATTTTATTAAATTAGCTAATCAAAAAATAATTAAATAAAAAAAGCCCCCTGACGGGGTCGAACCGTCGATCTTCTCCTTACTAGGGAGATGCCTTAACCACTTGGCCAAGAGGGCAACCTATTCGTTTATTACACAAAAAAGTATAAATGAACACCTACAAAATTTATTCATTTTTCAAGTTGTTTATATTGAATTTTCGTCGCTACTAAGTCAATTTTTAATTCTATTTTATTTTTATTTTATAATAATTAATTTTCGTTTGTTTTGAATCCCTCTCGAATATCCCTCATTAAGTACAACATTCTACTCGTATTATATTCAAAACAAATCAAAATCTGTATTGATTCTTTCAATAGCATTTTATTCTACTTCTCCATTAGCGAATACAATTATCTTTTAATTAATATATTGAAGGGCTCAATTATTAGTAAACAAGAATTAAATAGCCAATTTTTTTTAACTTCAAATTGTTATATCGAAATTCCAATGCTTATTAATTTTAAAAAGTTATTAAATTATGTTTACTATCTCTAATACAATTGCTATGAATTCAGTTAGCAGCGGAACATCAGTATTCTCGTATTACTTATCTTAAAAATTTTGGTCTCTTTGAATCTATAAAAATGTTATTCTCATTCTATAATGATTCTAATAGCAGTAATTTTAAAATAATAGCCTTTCTGTTACAATAAAACTAAGTTATAATTATATATAAATAGTTATGGCTTTATACAATTATTTCTATTTAATGTATTGATCTATATCTTTAAATATTTCTTTGTCTTAAATGGAGTTATTATAAATTTAGTTTATTAATTCTATATCCTAAAAAATATTTTATTAGAAAAATAATTGTGAATAATGTCTATATTTTCAATTCTATAATATAGAACTAATAATAAGGATAATTTTCAGAAAACTTACGAATATTCCTTTACATTATCTACTAATATGTTTTATTTCATATGTTAAATATCTAACTAAAATATAAGAGCAACAAAAATATAAAAATTAGTCATAATTCTTAAATAGTTTCTTAATTGTTTTTTTTTGAGCTAAGAATAATTTTTGATTAGCATTTTCTCAAAATATATTACACCTAAATTATTTTAATTGAAAAAATATTTTCTTGAATTTTATTCACTAGTTTTCTAAATTTGAGGATGAGACAAGGACAGTAATCAAATCAAACAACTATATTAATATACTACAGATAATATTAATTGAAATAGTAGAGATTAACGAAGTGTTTCAAAAAATAATTTAAAAAACTATTCATCATCAAAATTCGAAAACTACACTTGCTTTTGTTTTTAGATCCAATATAGTTTAAAAATAGGCCCAACAAAAAATATTAAACATTATTTTCATAAGATTGATGAAAATATTTAGTATTAAATGGGATAATTCAATGAAAGTTTTGGAATGACTGTTTAAAAAAGGATGGTGCATTATTATTCTAAAAATAATTTTGAAAATGATTGTCATCCTTTACCTCATTTAGATAAAATAGTGATACCATCTGTTATAAGATATTAAGGTAAAAGACTTAGAAGCTTACTCATAAGTGTTGTAGTTATATAAATAATTCTAATATAGCTGTTGCGAAAATGAAATATAAAATCCTATTAAAATGATTAAAATAAAATTATTAATCATTAATCATCAATCATTAAAGAATTAATTAAATAGTTTAATGTTGATTCCATAAAGTGTGCTTTGCTTCTTCGATTTCTCGAGTGAATTAATTATTATCTTTGTTTTGAAATTGATCAAAATATTATTTTTTGGATTGAGTAATTTTATTTTCTGTAATATTGAAATTTTAACTTGGTTCGTTAACATCTAATTATTATTAAATTTATGTTAAAGATTTACAAATTAATGCAGATTAAAATGTTCTTACCTTTTTCAGAAGACTCTTTGAGGCTTATTACAGACTAGTATTTATATTCGATGATTGGCATTCTTAATCATTATGATATATCTCAGAAGGGATATCTTTGAAATTATATTAATTCAAAGGAAAATGACCCCCCTGCATTATCTCTATATGTAAAAAGTCAGACCCTAATTGCAAGTCTAGTTGGCCAGTTTAATTGCAAATCTATACTATTGAGATAGACTTCTTTAAGAAAAATTTTCGATTTCTCTTCTCTTTCTTTTTTGAAAATTCCTCATCAAAAAAGCCATTTTTATTTTATTAAACTATCTAATTGTTGCTGCATTTTTATTTTTATAGACTTTGTTCTTACTTCATAATTTCAGAGCCTTTGAAATTCATTTGCAATATTATATTATTAATCTAATGCAAATTTATAAAGATTTAAATTTTTAAAGTCTTCACGCGTGAAAACAATTAAAAGCGAAAAAAATAGTTATTCAAATTTAATGGCGTAAAAGTATTACACTCTTAATATATAATTTCAAGAATTACTCCTGATTTCTAAATTTTAGGAGAGAAAGTTGTACATATTCTATATAAGGTGAAATGAATAAACTATAAATATCAACATTTACATTATAATTAATTTTTAAATATTGATTAAAAATACTAATTCCAAACCACTATGAGCTTATATCTAAAGAAAAACATCCTTAGAATCAAATGATCTAATATTTGATGTTATACAAAATCCTAAAAAAACTTTTTGAAAAATAAAATTTATCAATAATTCAATTTTAATTTATAAGCATCTTCTAATATTAATTATTAAGCACTTTTTTTATTTTAACTAACTATTCATCTAAATTATGATTTTAATTGATGCAACAATCTCTCCTAGCAATATTTATTTCTTAAAATAGTAACTTTGATAAAATGGAGACTATTTAATTATTCAAACAATTAATAATTCGTTCCTTAACATTAGTTAGAAGTGCACTATTCTATTCAAACAATTTAATTTCCCCAGAAGCAACATCAATAATAATATTCTAACATTTGCGCATTAATCTTCTTTTCCTCTATTTCGAAAAGAAATTATGTGTGTCTCTTTAATAATTTCTAAAAATATGCTTTGCCGAAGAGTACTTTAACTTGTGAAGTTTGGCTGCCTAATTAAAAATAATTGAAAATAACCTAATAGACTGGTAAATGATCATTAATCACACTATTAATCAAATTTAATTTGACCTCTTAATCAATTTTTAATCTCTATCTTTATAAGGGTTGCTAGGAATTGTCAACTTTATTTTAAATTTTAATCATCTTTGGAATAATTAATAATAAAGATTTAAATAAATATATCTATTTTATATTACACACATATATTTGTTTTCATAAAATTTATATATTAGTATAAATTCGTTTAAAAAAAAGTTAACGAAATGTATTTTTCCCCCTAATTTTATGGATAAATTTTTTAAAGCAATCTGATTTCTGAGAAGTAGCTTCGTGTTTTTTTATGAATAATAAAAATATTATGATGCTATTGAAATATCTTTTCTAAATTTATGATGCGAATTAACAGCTAAAAATATTAAATTAAGAGAGAAAATAATAAAAAGTTTAAATAACCAACACCAACTGAATTATTATTAAGTTTGAGATGAATTTATCTAAAAAAGCTTTTGAGTATCCCAAAATTTTGGTATTCCTATTATCTCTGAGTATCAAATTTATTTAATAAATGTAAATCATTTATAGTGTAACAATTATTTATTATGATATTCTATTCATTAAACATTACATCATAGTGAAGATCAATACAGCATTACCTAATTTCAATCTTTAGTTTAATATCAATATTTAATAGAAACTAATTTTTTATTCTAAGAAATGGCTTATTTTTATTCTGAAAAGTCTAGCATCTAATTAATGACCTTCTTTCTATTGATTTAGCATTTAGTTTTAAGATGAAATTGTGAATTGAATGAGTACCTGTTGTTAATTAAGTTAAATTTTGTTAAGATTATATTAATTATTCTTTAATATTATGAATTTATGTATTAAAATAACTTCTATAATTCATTTAATTTATATATATTTACAAATAAATGGACCTAAGATGGTTACAGGATGAAGATAACATAACAAGTATTTGAATTCTTAATTATTGATAAGCTGCGGATTAATGCGATCATTTTAATGCATCCTTCATTAGTTCTCCAAACAGATCATAATTAGGAAAAACAATGAAAAATTAATATACCGCAGTCGAATTTGCTGATACTTTGGGGAAAATATTTTAAGTGATACATTCATTTTACCTGTTTTTAGGCTATAAAGGAGAATAATTTGGAGAAAGTATAAAGTTTGGTCAGTACACACAAGAGTAGATCATATAATTTAGGAGGAGATCCTGAATTTAAGTGGGACATCATCAATGATTTGAGTCTTAATTGGTCTCCACTTCATCATTCTATATTCTTAGGTTGCGATGCTATATTTTTATGGTTTTTGAGTGAAGGAGGTGATATCGCTTCAATTACATATGATGGATACTCAGCTTTGACTTTGGCTGTTTTATCAAGAAATGAGTTAATGGTCAATTTATTAATTGCATAACCAAATCTTAACATTAATCATGTCTCAAGAAAGGGATCTGCCTTGCATATTGCAATTCAATTAAATCAAATTACAATTTTGTAATTGTTACTGTAACATCCAACCCTTAATTTGAACATTTACAATGATCAATTATAATAACCAATTGATGTTGCCTAAGGAAAAGCGAAATCGATGTTAGAAAAAGAATTATAATTGAGAACTACTACTATTCATTAAAATTAACCAAAAGACAAAATTTCCATATTGAGTTCAGAAGTTAATCTATCAAACACATTAGATGTAAAATAATACTTAAATTATCAAACAGACCTTTATTATCAATAGACCTTAGAAGCCTCCTGTGTACAAAGGATATATTGAAAAATTGCATTTTTCACATCTATATTCCTATTAGAGATATATCGTTATTGATCCAGATATTGGAGTATTAGTCAGATACTAAAGCAAAGAGGATTGTCCTCTGAATCCAAAAGAAACTATACCTCTTTAAACTATATTTAATCTTTAAATTATTGTTAAAGAGAGACTGTTTACAGACAATTCTTATTAATTATTAATTGAATATAATTAGAAAAAGATGTATTTTCTATTTTCATCTTAAAAAATGGCATAAATATGGTATGATTCAATTAAAACAGCTTTGGGATATACAGTATATGTAAAATATAAATTAGATTAATACAGTCAAAAGAAAGAAGTGAAGAAAGTATTTAATTAAGTCAATTCTCTGTTATTAGATATGAATAATTATTCAATAGAGATTGATTCATAAGTAAATCGAGAGTAATAGAAAGTAGAGAAAATTAAAATTCAATAAAAATAGGAAAAACAATTATTTAATAATCTAAAATTTTCAGATTTCTATTTTGCAGAAATTCTTTAGAAAGGATCTCTTGGCAAAATTTATAAAGCTAAATATTTAAAAGATAATAAGATATATGTTTTAAAATAATAAAACAAAGAATAACTTAGAAAGTGTTCTTAAATTGAAAATGCCATTGATAAAGTAAAGCTGTTAAGAGAGATCTCTCATCCATTTGTTATTAATATCAAGGGGGTGTTCTAGACAAAAGAGAATTTGTACTATTAAATGAAATATTATGAAAATGGAGACCTATCCCAATATATAGGATTCGGTAATGTATTATCTGAAAATGTTGCGAAAATTCTGACTGCTTAAATAATTGCAGCTATTGAATATTTGCACTCTCTCAATATTATATATGGAGATTTGAAGCCAAACAATATAATGGTTTGTAAAAATGGATTCTTAAAAGTGGCTTATTTAGGACTCAATAATGATCTACTGAGAGATAAGATTGCCTTATTTTTTTATAGATTTATTGCATATTTGGCACCAGAAATCATAAAAGGAGAGAGTGTGACCTAATCTGTTGATGTTTATGGTATAGGAATCTTGCTATATGAAATGCTGACTGGATTTCCTCCTCATTTAATTTAAGATTTTGAATTAATGATCCAAAGAATATAACATTGTCCTGTAAATTATGATACAATCAACTCAAAGATGGCTGTCAAACTATTAAAGAAAATGCTTCAGAAGGATTAAACAAAACGTCCAACTTTGAAGGATATAAAGAATCATGTATTTTTTGCAGACATTAATTGGAATAAGCTACTCATGAAAAATATGCTTCCACCACAATTAATAAAAATAAATAGAGAGCAACTATAATCAGAATAATAAATTTAGGAAATCATAATAGATCATGACTATTTAGATGAAGGAGAAAAACCCAATTATGTTGAAAATTGGAGTTTATTATGAGTGTTATTTGCTTTATTATACAATAAGTCTATTAAGAAAATCATTAAACATCTTCAAAATAATCAAAATTAAAATTAGATTCATCAGTGATAAATTCATGACTGTTTTTTATTCTTCAACTTGATCAATATATATTCTCCATTTCATCAATTTGAGTTTCTAATTACCAAGCATATTCTCTTTTTTAATTTACTTTTAGAAAATTTCAATTTTCTTTTCCACTCTACCTTTTCAATAAATATTTATTTAATTCGATCAGAAATGTTTTAGATATAACTATTAACGCTCTTTATTTATTGCTCATTTGGTTTCTTTTTAATTTGGGAATATATTTTGTCTAAATCCTTAATATAAATTTATTGTATTTTTATATGCTTTCGATCAATATTAAAATATTGTTATTCAATAATTTACTTATAAAAGAATGTGAGTTTCAATGCAGTTAGCATAAGTATATGAAATTATTATTAAAAAATTCGAATAATTAATAACATTTTTCAGGGTTCAAATATCATTTAGATTTATTTAGTACAATATATTAATATTATAACAATTTATCAATATGGTTAGTCTCTTTTCTGTTTTATTTTGAATAATGTAACGTTTAGAATAAATTTTTAGTAAATAACAAACACTTTCTATTAAATTAAATTTATATTCATATCGTAATTTAAAATTAATGTGAAATAAATAAAACTGTTTTAATTAATACAAAAGGAAAATAATAAACTTATATAATATAATTTAATAAGAATTATTTTAAATCAGTTGAATTTTAAAAGATGATTTAGTATACCCTTTGTATTAAATCAATTCAAAATAATCCCTAAGACACAACATAACGATAAAGTATAACATTTTAGATTACTTTGAGATTTATTTTAGTTCAAAATAATATAATTTATAAATGCATATACAAAGATGCATAATATAAGTATTCAATTAGTAAAATTTATTCAGATACTATATTACCTAATTTTTTATGATTTTTTTATTTCAATATAAAGGTATTATTAATCGTATAACTTATTTTATTTTTATTTTTAACATCTAATGTCAGCAAGACCTTCCGGATATTAGTAATTTAAGGATGAACAAGTCAATGTTAATATTGCCAAACAGAAACCTGAAGAAGTATAAGCAGGAACTCTTTGCAAAGGAGGTAATGCAGATTTTCCAATTGATTAAATTCCCCCCAGCTTTGAATTGGCTGAGCTCCATAGTGTAATAATTAATTAAATGATAGTAAGCTTGGAATGTAGGCACAACAAAATTATCTAAAAGTCAAAAAAGAAAATTACAACGACACCAAAGCAGCACACAACAAAACAACCAAGATGATCATATCGGAAAGATTTGTGATTGCTGTGCAAGATAAGTGCCTAATCATTTGTTATCGCTAGGTTGCAATAATAGAGACTATTCATTTTTAGGGGCAGGTAAGTTTTGGTATAAATTTAGGTATGCCACTTTATTTTGAATATATCAAATCTTGTATTTTGATGCTTTTAATTATGTTTGTCACCTCAGGAGATTATAATATTATAACTAATGTTGCATTTGGAACATCGTGCAGAGCTTTGGAAGATCATAAAGGTTAAGAAATAGATGAAAAGACATTTTGCCAAAAAAATTGGGTTACTCAATCTTCATTAGCAAACAAGAGGAGTGGATCAGAGTTCATAGATCTTTAACAGATGTTAAATTTAATATCAATGATAACATTGATAATATTGTTTTAATATTTTAGAAAAGAACAAAGAGCTTTTGATGCGGAAATCGATTCATAAACACAATATGCTTCTGATTTTACTGTATTATTAAAGAATATTCCAACTGATCCAACTGGACTACAAAATGGTGATTTTGATGACGATTTAAAAAACTTTATGGAATAACATATATAGAAATACAAAAAACTACAAGAAATTATAGATTATGAACAAGATAGAAAGCAGTATCAGATTTAAACAAAAAAACCTGTTACAGAATTGAGGAGAGTTGTTGCTGTGAACTTATGCTATAACTTAGATGATCAATACTAATTGGAAAAATAAAAGTAAGCAAAAATAGTCTTGAAGCAAAAGGTATTTAGTCATCTTCTATTTAGATTTTATCTAATTTGTATAGTTAAGGCAAAGACCCATTAAGTTCTGATGTGAAATCAGATCCCTAAGTTAATTAAATTGATAATGAAATATCTGAAATTGAAAACTAATTGGAAGCTCTAGAGAAGAGATTTATAGAAGGAAAGGATGTCAAGAATTACTTCTTAGGACAAGCCTTTGTTACATTCTAATGGGAAAATGATGTCTAAATGTTATTAGAAGAATATAAACTTTCAAAAATATAAAGATTATTTGGAAAGAAAAGTCAGTTAGTGTATAGAGGTGCCAATTTGATTGTAGAAGAACCCCCTGAACCTACTGATGTGTTTTGGGAGAATCTACACATTACTACCAAATCAAAAGTATTTAGAAGATTGTTTGGCTATGCAATTACAGCTATAATTTTAATATTATGTGGAGGATTAATCTATTGGTTGTCAGCCATATAAGCTGAAAGTGCTGAAGAATAAGCCTTGGCAGTTAAATAAGGAGATGTAAAACCAAATATCAAAGTCAAGATTATTGCTTAAGTTGCATCAATTTCCATTATTGTTATCAATGCATTACTTGCCATGTTTATAAAGAGTATCTCACTTTTTGAAAAGTTCTCTACTTAAACAGGATTTAACATTAGTTTGGCAAGTAAATCAAGCATGGCTTAGTTTATTAATACTGCTGTAATTACATTTGCTATTTCTACATGGGTGACCAAAAATATTTATGGAGCTGGAGGTTTAGTGTATAATCAGACTTATGTGTTTATTTCTAATGCATTCATCCCAGGTATTATACAACTCGTAGATGCTGGAACAGTATCCAAATGGCTATTTTAATATCTAGAAAAGAGAAAAGGACCTAAATCAGTCAAAACACAATAATAATTACATGAGTACGTTTCTTATCTTAATTAGATTATTCGAAAAACCAGTATTTGATATTTCTACTGCTTATGCAACTATTTTGAAAAATATGTATGTAGTTGCATTCTATGCTTCAGTTATACCTCTTGCTTTAGTAATTACTTGTGTAGCATTACTGGTTCACTATTGGGTTGAGAAATACAATATTGCAAGAAGAAGAACAATTAAATATAATTATAGTTCTCAAATGTCAATAGAAATGATAGAATAACTGGAGTTAGTCTTGCCTATCTATTGTGTATATAATTATTTCAATCATTAAGATGACCAATTTGTGGTGGGAGTATGTATTCTTAGAATCAATTTCAACTGAAGCCATAATTGGAATATGTTTGGGAGTTGGAAATGCAATTTTACCTATGCATGAAATAAATGAAAGCATGTTTTCAATGAAATCAGAAATTGATGAGCATTTACCAATCTAAGAGGCTGAAACTGGTTTCTTAACAGTAACATACTTTTTATATTATTTTAGGATTATTGCAGGGAAAATCCAGCTACTGCTGAAACTGCCAGACAATAATACAAGATCAGAGTTGAAAAGCATAAACAATAAAAGTTAAATATGGACAAGATGTTTGGAGACTAATGAAAATAATAATTTTAGAACATTTATTTTTAAAATCAGTTTTTTTTAACTATTTTTTTCTATTAATTAATGATGAAGGTAATAATAAATTAATTTTTATCTAGTTAATAAGTTCGATTATGCGTTTTTGAGTACTCAACCCATTTTATTCATATGGCTAAGTATAGAAATGTATAACAAATATTATTAATAGCAAAACATATATATATTTTTTTTGTCATATAAGTATTAAAGGTCTAAATGTCTTTTTGATGGATTCAAACTTCTGCTGTAAGATTTCTAGCTCAGGAGTTGGTTCAATCCTATCAATCTGCTAAGGTTTCTTGCTTTGATATTCGACTTAAATTTTAATGATATCATACTTTTCTTGAAATAAGGATGGTATACTATTATGCCTTCATTTGTTGTTTAAACCCTTTAAATTTGAGAATCATTTTAAATTTTCACTTGTTCTTGATTCTAACTAAGATTTGTCAATAAGTTTTGTATCAGAGACATTATCTAATTTATTTCATTGTGAATACTCCTTCTTCAGTTTATTCCTTTTTTTGTTTTTTTATAGCTGGTTTTTTGGGCTTTAAAACACAGAATTAAATTTAGAGATCGAAAGTTTATCCATTATCATGCGGATAGATGCAGTTTACCCAATCAGTCATAAATCCAAATTCATACACTATAATAATCTTAGATGCTTTACCTTTCTTTTATTCCTATACTTTCTTTTACTAATACTTCTCCTACTTTTAATCTGATTTCTTGCCAGATGGTTTTTATTCTTTGATCTCTTGGAGCATTTCTTTAAAGTTTTCTGTCATTTTCTTTTATCTTTGAGACTTGCGAACTAAAGATTTCTTAACTTAATTACCTTGGTTTGGTTCTTCTTGCTTTGAGCTCATTGCTTCAAATTTTATTATTAATCAATTCAATTAAAAATTAGCTTAAGTGGGTTAACAACACAGAAATATAAAAAATAATATAAAAATTACTGTTTATAACTAGTAATGTCCATCTAAATATAGTAAGACAAAGATAATATGGTTTTAAACTTTTTTATTATTATAATACTCTTAAGGATAGTATTTTTATTATCAGTATAAGTCTAAAATTCAATAATCCTCAGTGTTAACTATTCAAAAATGTATTAAATTATGTAAACCTCCCTTGTTGAATTTATTATCAAATGTTAATTGATAGATTCCTTTCTTTTTGTTGGAATTATTTTAATTTGAATTATTCTAAATTTCTACATTTATGTATTTTTCACTTGATTTTCCAATGTAAATTAAAATATCATAATGAAATCATATGTATTTTGATCATTATTAAACGAATAAATATTATTCTTAACTTGTAGATGGTGATATTAATATTCGAAATGACATATAATATACTATAACTTTCCCTACACTTAAATTCAAATTAAACATATGGTTTAATAATTATAATTATGTTTTCTATGTTATAGGATTCATAATCACTTATCGACTTGATAATTAACCTATTCATTTTAATAGGTTTTATTTTAATTGTTTTTCTCTGATAATTATTATTAACTTTTATCAAAGTCAAAAAATTTGATTGGTCAGAATATTCTAGAAATTGCAGTAATAATTACTAAAGAATTTGAATTCAGCCAAATCAGTAAGAATAAAATTCAAGTTAAGTTTAAATAATTTATTGGAGATACTTATGTTGAAATGTTAAATTATTGTACTTAACTAAGAGGGAATCCAATTTAGGCTTTTTTGAAAATATAAGAGAAATATCACTTGGTTTAAAATCGGGTGTTAAACTCATGTAGAGATATCATATCAATTTAATTTGCTGATAAACCTTAGTTAATCCAAATGAAATAATTATTCAAAATAATATTTTAATATATCTAAGTTTTAAATTTCTTTATTAGAACCACATGAACTAATTAACTACTATATACATAAGTGTTACAATATTGATATCAAAGGCATATAATTTAAATAAAGTAAGTTTAATTCAGAGAAATTAATAAGAGTAAGAGGATAATTCATAAATAAACTAATGTTAACTGAATTAGATAAAAATAGATGAAATGTGTTAAAGTAGAAGTGATAAAATACATTAGATTGCCACTTTAGTTGTCAATAATGTTCTGAAATAGGATAAGATAAATGTATTTCTTGTAACATAGATGCCAAAAGAACATTATGGAATAATCAATGCATATGTATGACATCATACTATGAGAATGACCAATAGTCAGTCTGTTAAGGTAATTTTGTAAAAGTAATGAAGAATGCCATAAATCTTGTAGAAGTTGTTCAGGATCAGGTGCTAATGATTGTTTAAGTTGTTATAATACCTTTGAAATACAAAATGGAAACTGTGTATGCAACTTAGGTTATTATTATGATTATGACAATATGGAATGTAGATGTATTAAATTATTATAAAATCAGAATGTCATTATAGTTGTGAATTTTGCAGCGGTTCTGGTATTGACAATTGCATCAAATGTCTTATTGATTCCAATCGATCCTTAATAGATAATAAATGCGTGTGTTATGATGGCTACTATGAAATACAAGGAAATCCTGTTTGTAAAAGTAATGAATTGATTTATGAGAGAATGTCATACAAATTGTTAGACATGTAGTGAATATGAGATTTGTTTGAGTTGCTCAAGTGACAGGACACTAATAACTAATGAATGCGTTTGTTAAACTAATTACTTCTTGTTTAAATCTATTTTATTTTCTACTTGTTAAGGTATAATAATACATTTACATAGCTTGTAATAAACGATGCTTGACTTGCTTTGGATAATTAGAATATGAATGTTTAAGTTGTGGACCATACAGTACTTTATAATCAAGCAATTCCTGCGTTTGTGATCCTGGCTATTACTTTATAAATGACGAATGCTAAATATGTGATTCGAATTGTCAAACATGTGTCTATAGTAGTACACTTTGTTAGAGTTGTTATACAAATTATGTCTTATAACCGAATAATATCTGCTGTCATTCCTCAAATATACTTGTTAGTAATCAATGTGCATGCAATAGTACACAATATAAGGATTCAAATGGGATTTGCTAATGTAATTATAAATAATAATTATTTGAGAATGTGCATCATCTTGTTTGACTTGTAGTGGTATCTTTTGTGATGAATGTTCAAATAAACTATATCATGGACCGAATTGTGATGTTTTAACCACTTTACCATCAAATTGTAGTTTATTTGATATAAGTGGGAATTGTGGCTAATGTGTCAATAATTATTAATTAAATTCATCAAAAATTTGTGAATGCAATCTTCCAAGTTATGTTATAACTTCAGGAAATAATTGTACAAGTAAGAAATTAAGAATACAAAGATTGTTCCACCTCTATATCTAATTGTACTGCTTGTAATTCCACTGGATGTTAATCTTGTGATTCAGCATATTTTGTATAATCAGGAAATTGTGTATATTGTGGATCTAATTGTTTATCATGTTCAGTATCAACAGCATGTGTAACTTGTGCCACTGGTCATTTTGGAGCAACATGTACACCATGTCATTAAAGTTGCCTAAATTGTTCAAATTCTGGACCTAGTAATTGTATCTAATGTAAAAATAATGCCCATTAAGATGTGTTGGGTGCTACTTTTGGGTGTGTTTGTGATTCACATTATTACATGGACTCAAATTATGAATGTTAAATTTGTGATCCAAATTGCAATTAATGTTCTACTTCAAGTTCTTATTGTACAGATTGCAATTCTTCTTTTAAGAGAATTTTTAATAGCAATAGTTGCCTTTGTGATACTGCTAATGGCTTTTAGGAACTAGGAACTTACTAATGCTATAACATAGATTGTGGATATGGATGCGCAGATTGTGTGCCTATAGCTTTTGGATTTGCTTGCAATTCTTGTATGGGAAGTGAAACATTTAGAATAAATGACCCTTTATAAAATTGCCCATGTTAGGATGGTTATTATGATGTTCAAGCTAGAATTTGCTTATGTATTTTTTATTATAAACTTTAGAATGTCCATATTAATGTTCTACTTGTTAATTAGACCCATTGACTAATCTACCAGTATGCATCAAATGTTAAATAAATAGAGATAAAGATGATTTCTGTAGGTGTGCAAAAGGATTTTATGAAAGTGGGACGGATTGTTTGACATGCCCTCCAAATTGTTCTAGTTGTATGGATTAATATCGTTGTATCAAATGTATTAATACAAATTTTGATCACAATAAAATAAATGGATAATGTGTATGTAGTCTAAAGAATTTTAATAATAAATCTAATTGTTCATGTTTAGATGGATACTATCTTAACAATATCAATAAAAAATGTTTACGTAATTTATATATCTTATATAGCCTGTCATTTTAATTGCATTACCTGTATATATACAGCAACCAATTGCTTAAGATGTAATGATTATCATGCATAACCACCAAATTGTGAATGCTCTCCTGGATTTTATTTGTAAGATCTGCAATGTTTGCCTTGTAAAAATAACTGTTTCAAATGCAAATCTTAGTCCGAATGTCTGGATTGCTCCGATTAGATGCAATTAATTAATAACAAATGCTATTGTTAAAATGGGTATTTCAATTTACCAAATTCCTATGATTGTCAACCTTGTGCTACTTAATGTACTGCCTGTAGACACTAAGAAAATAATTGCACATCCTGCAAATTTAATAGAATTTTACCTTAAAAATGCATATGTCCTGATGGAACTTATGAAGTTGATGTATTTACTCCATGTAATGATTGCGACAATAAATGCAAGCTTTGTGAACTCTCTTCCAATAACTGCTTATAATGTTCTCTTTATAGAATCAACCCTCCAAGTTGTGATTGCAAAATTGGTTATTTTGAAAATGATTAATAAACCTGTTAAGAATGTAATAAGAGATGTAAGTCATGCCAAAATACTCCTGAAACTTGTATAGAATGTAAAATGATCACTACTGTTCCTCCAGAATGTTCATGTCCGGATGGTTATTATTATGTATAAGAATAAGGCTGTGTCTAATGTCATTCTAGATGTAAAACTTGTATTGGCTCCAATGAATATAATTGTCTTTCTTGTGATGAATCAAAGAACTTTGAATTACTCTATAATAAATGTGTTTGCCAAAAAAACTATTATTTTCAAAATGACTCTTGCCTCTATTGTTCTATTGAAGTTGAGCTATGCTAAACTATATAATGTGGAAATGGTATAATTTAGAAGGGTGAATAATGTGATGACTGGAATAATGATGATAGAGATGGGTGTTCTAAAAATTGTAAATTTGAAGAAGGATATTACTGTGAATCCGTATCTAATATGAAGCTTCATGTTTCTATTAAGATAACTAAGTGTATTAAATGTGTTGATAATTGCAAAGTTTGCAATAAAAACAAATGTTAAATTTGCTACAGTGGTTACTTTATCACTCCTAATTTTGACTGTTAAAAATGCGAGTAAATCTTATTTCTAATGATTTCATAGTTTTCATTGCAAAGAGTGTTCAGGACCACAATAAAAGGATTGTATATCTTGCATCAAAGGAACTGATTATGGTTTGAGTTAAAAGTGTGCTTTTTGTGAAGAAACCTAAGGATTATACACCAATAAAGATAAATGTGTTTCAAAGTGTGGGGATGGGATTAAAAAAAATGATGAATAATGTGATGATGGAAATATCATCAATAAGGATGGATGTTCAGAGAAATGCAAAATTGAAGAAGACTGGGATTGCTCAAAATAACTCAATACTATAAGTTCTTGTTACAAATTAAATATACCATTAGCTACCATCTCATTTAATAGAGTTAAAGATTTCTATTAATCTGAAAGGTAAGGATCTATTGCATTTAATAAAGTATTGACAATACCTAATTCATCAATAATAAATGCATGGAAATATACTATCCTCAATTAAACAACATCAACTTACTCTGTTAATTTGACTGCTCTTTTAGATTTAGATGGATATTTGGAATCTGTTCAAATTGATTTGAAACTCCTATAATCCATCTCTGAAATTGTATTTCAAGTCGACTTTACAACTTTTATCATCACTGATGCCATAGATCAATACCCTTTAAAAACTACTAATATATCAATTGAATTAACTAAATACATTTAGCTTGGATAAGATACACTGAGTACATCTAAGGCATCTAAATAATTTGCCTCTTCTGTCTTATTTATTTTGGGGGGTGTTTCACTTTTAGGATTGTTAATGGGGAGCTTAGAATTTTATTGGAATGTCCTTGATAATTTATAGATTCTCTCTTATATCACATTTATTAATGTTAACTTCCCTTATTTACACAACAAATTCTTGGAGATATTTCAATTTGCAAGATTTGAATTTACAAATGACTATTTTAAATTTGATGTTGTTTAAGATCTAGATTATAATTAGAATAAAGATTATCCCTTGATTGTTGAAAAGCAAGTAGAATATAATTTAGTGATCAATTTGAGTTCAATTATAGTTTTATGGGTAACTCCTATAATCTTATTAGTGTTGGCTAAGATCAATTTATTTTTTATCCATGAAGTCTTGATTAATAAACTCAAAATTTTATAAAGTTACCGTTTTGAAAAGCTTAATAGTCTTACCTATTTAATCTATAAATTGGTATACTTTGTTCATTATATCAGCTTGAAATATTATTCCAACTTCTTTTATAACATCATTCTCAGAATTTACCTATCTAGTCTTTATGATCTTAACTTTTCAATTTTCACTTCAGCTTATTGTTGGCTTTGGAATCAGAATCCTAATTTAGTAGATTAAATATCATTTATAGCAGCAATGTTCCTACTCTTCCTTTAAATTGCAATTTTGTTTTTATTATCCTCATCATTAAAAGCATCTACTTATCAACTAAAATCTAAAAGATTTTTATCTTAATTCAGTTCCTTATATGAGGGAGTAAATTTAAAAAATTAAATTATTAGATAAATTTAATTTCTGCAACCATTAAGAAAAATTATGTTTATGGGAGCCTTAATTTTATTTTATGATTAAGCAATATATTAAATATCCCTTCTGATTTCAATTTAGATTATATCTTCATTGATTTAAATATCCTAAAATCCTTATTTAAATTATTTACAATCAGTCAAAGGAATAACTTAAGAAGTTGGATTAAGTTTATCATTATCATTAATCTTAATTTATTATGGTCAAGATAAATTGAACTTACTTGACTAAAGCATAATTGAAAAGCTGTCATATATTCACGTAGGAATATATACAGTAATGCTGTGCATCAGTCTCATAATTGACTTATACCAATAATTAAAGATCATTTTTATTAAATATAAGCTGTTTAGGTTTTGCTAAAAGAAGAATGTAAAGCAAGAAACCTAAGGCAATCCTTTCCAATAAAGTATTTTTATAGATCTAACATAATTTCAAAATCAATAGCAATAATAAACGTATTATAATAGCTAATAATAATAATAAAATTAATATCACTTTACTAATTTTAGAATTAATTGATTTTTTCTGTATAATAATAAGTTTATGAATACAATATAATTATTATTTCAACTAAAAATATCCGAAAAAAGAAACCAATTTTTTTGAATTGTCAAAATAATTTAATCTTTGTTATGGAGGAAGCATAACTCTATTCCCATTAAAGAATTTTACGAATCGAAAAAATACTTTTTATAAAAAAATCATTTAGAAAGTCGACCTTCAATTATATTTAATGGTAATAGTATATATATTATGAATTTCCTAAATTATTATTATAGTAAATAATTTTATTAAGTGAAATTACCAATGTACGGGCACTAAATTCCTTTTTAGATGTCATAAAATGTTTTTGCAGCGAACAATTCTGAACATATTCAACCGTATTTCGTAATATATTATATTAGACTATGCCAACCTTCTTATCGCCAAAATTATAATTTTTGCAGAGGATAGACATAAGAGAAAAAAGCCCCCGAATAACCCATCAAGTAGATGAGTCAACCTCAATCTAATTTAACTGAAACAAAACCAAACTCTTTAATAAGAATACATGAAAAATCATAGGTCACCTAGCCTAATAATTTTGGGAAGAAAAAAAATAGTAATTAGTTATAAAAAGTTGTTACAAGATTGGAAAAAAATAATAATAATGATGATATTGCTCCTAATGGTATAAATAATAAGATTTATAATAATCAAAATATTAGCTAGAAAATATAATCTAATAGATATTATATCGATGATCTGATCACAGCATTTTAGGATGAAACAGTGAGTTTTTCTAAATTATTTCGAGACAATTTCGTACATGCTTTTAATTTCATACCTACACTAAAATCAGTACAATTTGTTTAAGCTGAAGACAAGGAAAAATTAGAGAGAAAAATAAAATTGGATCCCTACCCCCAAAATCTGAAATGTACAATATACTAATTGATTTATATAGTTAAGAAAACAGTAATTTTTGATTTAGATGAAACATTGGTTCATTGCAATGAAGATGAGAGTATGCCATCTTAAATTTTATTGCCTATCACATTCCCTACTGGAGAGAAAGTGAATGCAGGGATCAATATTCGGCCATTTGCAGAGAAAATGATACAATTATTGAGTAATGTTTGCGAAGTGATGATCTTTACAGCTTCTCATGAATGTTATGCTAACGAGGTATCATTTTCTATTAAAAAAAGGTTATTAATCATTTGGATCCCTAATCGAGAGTAAAAAGACGAATATTCAGAGATAGTTGTGTTACGGATGAGAATTCCATCTATTATATTAAAAACCTAGAGGTAATCGATCGAGATTTGAAGGATGTTGTGATAGTGGATAATGCATCATATAGTTTTTTGTATTGTATTATGTAATTTTAGTCATCACCTTGAGAATGGGATCCCAATAATATCGTTTTATGATGATAAACAAGACAATCAATTAATCAAATTATATAGATTTCTAATAAACAAGATTTTGCCCTTGGATGATGTTCGACCTTTGCTTAAAGAGTATTTCAAGTTGGATTAAATTGATCAATTCTAAACAATAGTTGAAGCAGTGGAAAAGATGTATTGTATTGAGTGAAGTTTATTTGGATACTATTTGTTTATTTTTATGTTAGTGTCATTTAGAATTAATAATTTATATTACAGAATTAACCTACTTTTTTTATCATATTATTATCTTTAAATTACAGATGCAAGTTGATAGTGAAAATTTCATCGACAGTTCAAATAATCCTAATTTAATAGGAAATAGATATGTAAATCATTTATTAACCTAAGTCTATGAGGAGTAGAAGAAGGAAGATTTATGATGATGGAGATTTTAAGGAGGTAGTCAAGAATTTTTATGCCTTGATCTCCGAGATAAACAAAAGTACCTTATTTATACAATTTATTATCTAAGTTGCGAATAAGAAAATTCAAAAGACAGCGCCTCTAAAAAATAAATAATAAACTAATATTTAAAACAAAAAGCCACTGCAGAAAAAACCTCAATCACAAGATTTAAAGAAAACAGATCTCTACAATTTTAAAAAAGAGCCGATATATTCTTAAGTTGCTTTTTAAGCATAGCCCTATTTTAATCCTCAGTAGTATTAATAGTTTTCCCATAATTACATGAACCAATTTTATAATACTACCCCAGCATAATTAGTATGATCTATACATAAACATAGCAAATAATTTCTAGAAATCAACTTAACAATCCACAATTAAAAAGAAATTCATTTCACATTGCAATATCATATTTCATATATATCCAATCCAGTGGCTAAGAAAAGTATGAAAGTAGAGATCCTACTATGAATGCCAAAAGAAAAATGAAAGAAACAAATTCAGACGTTATAAAGGTATGACTTTCAAAGATATTTTGTTATTTTTAGTAATTAGATAACTTTGTTATGAATGAAAGACAACCTCCATTGTAATAGAGAACCTACTAACAACATAATTAAGAGGAACAGAAGGAAGATAATGCAGAATAGAACAAATTGAATTGAAATTTATATTTTATAATCATTTGAAATATATTTACTATTAAGAAATAATAAAAAGCTTCAATAAAATATTCCTTCATATTTCCAGAACTTTCATCTAATTAATGTGCCAATCTTTATTCTAAACAACCATCCCAGTAATAACCACAATGTAATCTTTAGGTTATAGTAATTTTTTATCAATCAATCTTGATATACACTCCTAAATAATTCTTTAATAATTTTAAAATTAATTTACTCCTCTTAATTTGCAAATCCATTCACAAGTTCCGATTAAACATTATTAATGTAATTTAAACATCTGCAGATCTATTGATTATCACTAATTGAAATTATTTTACAAGAGGCTCTCAATTTTGATAATTTCAGAGTAGTTTAAATCCTACGAGTCAACATCAATATAGCTTTAGCATTTAAGCTAAATTAATAACACAATAATACATATAGGCCATTTCAACACAAGACTTAGCAATAACTGTTGCAATTGGTTATCCAGTAAAATTTACCTAATATTGATCCCTCTATTAAGGTTAGTCAAACAGTTCTTAGAGTAGTTTTTTTTCAATTTTACGACAAATATTATTCAGAGTTTGCACAATTAGAACTGGAAATTTCCCAAAACTGGTTTCCCCTGATAATAAGATTCCATCTATGTATTATTTTACAATATTCGAAATGTCTCCCATATCTGCAAAGGAAGGCTTAAGTTGAACACTCATAGATTCCAATATATATGTCGATACAAAGACCTAAATGTAATGAGTATAAATACTGGTTTAAATAGTTTTCGGCAACTTGAAATTATTTAAGTTTAATATTTTACTACATCCTCAACTGGCTAAGTCATTGAAATATGAGATCGTGCAATAATACAGCCGTCTGCCAAATTAATTATCTCTTCTAATTAGTCTTCCTTCAATTTTTCAGCAATCCTTGCGAATACTTAGACATGAGGATATTTTTATTCCAATCTTTCTTTGACCTTTCATTAATTTACAAATTACTTTTATGATATCTAATGCAGTGTTCACCTTTGAAAATGTTATACTATCGAAATTGCATTCACAAGCATAATCTATATCTAAAATATCTTGTTCTGTCATTGATACTTATTCCTATTATTCTTCTTCCTTTTATGCCTTATTTTCTATAAATATTGATATTGGCTTGAATGATTTTAAAGTGCCAGTCTTACAACATCTGCAAATATATATTTTAACTCCACTTAACAAGCACATTTTATCTATTCCTATCTTCTCATATACTCTAAATATATTAACAACTATTACTAGTCGAACAATTAGACATCTAACAATTCTAATATTATATGACCATAGTCAATTGCTAACTTATCATTTATATTTAATTTCTCAAGAAATTCATTTGAATCTATAGGAATTAATTAGTTATTTCCTACTTTATGTTAATCTGAAGTCAGATATACTATATTTCCTTCCTCAAAATTGATTAATTAATTACTTCTATTAAAGTCTCAGGATCTTGTAGTTATCCTACTCTTATGACTTGTCCTCTTAAAATTAAATTTATTGGTATTTTAGTTTTGAATTCAGCCTCTAATTGACATCTATTCTTATCCAATATTTATAAACTCCCTTTATTTTTAATATAGGCCATATTAATGCTAATAAAGATTAAACAAGTTTCTACGTGAAAGCATTGCATCCAGCTTCAACCATACTTCGCAATAATTCATAATTAGAACAATTTTCACTTACAGAACAAATAATTCTAGTTCTTTTTGGTTCCAACATGAATTTTTATTATAATTTATAATAAATATCTTTAATTCGTAATGTTGTACTCATTAAAATACTATATGACACTCTAAGTTTTTTGATGGAGTATAAAATTAGAAATACAGAAATTTATTTATATTTATCTATAAAGAGGAATTGCGTTTAGAGATTATCTCATAAATTTAACTTAAAATAATAATTATAAAATTGATTTGTCAATCAATAATACTTCGATAACTTAGTTCTATTTTAATTTTGCGATTCATTTAATCTTGAGCTATTGATTAAAATAGGATTAATACAATTCTTTTTTGTGAGAGTATTGATTAACATAGGAGAGTTTTTGGGACAATATGGGGAACTTTTCTTGTTGTTCTATTACTTGGGAGGAATTTGTATGTTAAACAATCATGTAATTATTCTATGGCTAAGAATCCCAATCAATCTTTTGTTTTTTGGGTGGAGACTACTACGCAAACATCTATTCGATTTCTTAATCAGCCAAAAAGTCTTCCTGATCAAATGATACTTATTGTGCCTTTAAAATAGTAGGTTATGATGCATACATTTTATTTTTGATTAAATTATTACTAATTTTAAACAATATTTTACTTTTATTATTAGCTACCACTTCTTTGGTTATTTGCTAATAATTTTTGGCTAAAAGGAATAGATTATGAAACAGGATTTACCTTATTTTATGCAGTTTAAGAAAAACCTAGAGGTGTTTATTATTGAATAGATTAAATTATTTATTGTTGTATTTCTTATTATTGCTAGTATTACTTCGATAATATTTTAGGGTCATTTTGTTGATATTAATGATTAATTTCTGGTAATTTTGGCAATTAAACATTGTGATTGTATCTTGGAGGTTTTTTGATTTCCACATACTTAAACCAATAAGATTTGTCATATTTTTTAGTAGGGTGATTGATGACAATTTTATTTTTGGGTTAATCAGGTTCAGGATCTTTTGGGAAATAATCTTTATACAAAGGATTGTTTTTTTAGATCTTCCGTTCAGCAGAAATCAGCCAAAAATTATTGCCAAGTTCTGATAAATCTGCCGTCGTTTGTTTTTCATTAAGAACTTCAAAAATGGTAACATCTTTCTTTTCATTGACATTGGATTTCAAATTATCATTTTTCTATACCGAGATAACTGATAAATCTTGAAGATGTAAAGTTTGATTTCCATTCCTGTATTGTTCAATATCATTTTCCTTCTCTTTAAGTAGTTTCTCTAGTTCTTCAACTTTTTTCATTAGTTTATCTAATTTTTCCTCATGCTTTTTTTCCATAGTATCTATATGTTCTTGTTTATCTATTTAAGCCTATTTCAAAACTGCAATCTCATCCTACATTGTTGATATTAGTTCATCTTTCATTTATAATGCAGACTGTAAAAAAGTTATTTTTTCTGATAATGTTGATTGGCTGGATTTTTATGATTATTATTATGAATGAAAGGACTTTTGAAATTCTTCAGGTTCTTTCTTCTCATTCTAATCATTCTACTCTTCCAGATCCTTTTCTGATTAATTTTAATCGGCCTCTTCAAGATTGTCTTATTAATTTATTTATTATTCAGCAATTTGTTCCTAGTTAATCTCTTCTTCTGTTTTTTCTATTTCTTCCTCTTGCTTCAAATCTGTACCGTCTTATGATTGCCTATCCTTTTCTCGAGATTAAATTTGATCTCTTTATACAACTGGAGATGCTTCATGCTAAGAAGTTCTTGTTGGTGTTGCCACATTCGATGTTTCTTTTGGTATCTAAGCTTAATCCTAATTTTCTTCCTCATTTAAGTTCTTCAATTCTACAATAGGTGCTTCTATTCTGGAATTGTCTTGTATGGTCCCATCATTGAGAGATTAGTTTTACTATATGCCTGTTTTATCATCATTCTCATTATCATTCTGGATATTCAAATCTTCTTTCTACTATTCTGTTTCATCCTATTAACTCATATCTATATAATTGAGTAAATAAATAAATTATATATAATAATTCTTGGCCGAAGGAATATAAACAAATAGTAAATATAAGTCAATCAGTTTTTTAAGTTTCTAAAACTACTATAAACTACTTTCCGCTTTTTATTGAAGGTTACCTTTTTCAAAGACCTTTGTGAGGCAATTGTTTAAGTTTCTAATATTTGAGTGTTAGGGCTCTGAGGGTTGGATCCATCGGGTATTTTGTTTTTCAGTATTGACTTACGCTTAGAAATGCTAGTGTTTGAACCCTTGAATTAGTTTTTGAGACTGTTTCTTTCAACATTTGAGTTGCCTTACTGCTCTTACTAATCACCTTCTTAAAGAAAGACAATTTCTTCTGTTTATTAAATTTTGACATCCTTGATGGTCATTTCTAATTCGGCAATTGTAAATTCTTCTTCTTAAGATTAAATTTTTGGTAGTGAAATACATTTTTCCATTTCTATCATAACCACGTCTGATTAAAATTACAAATTCTTAATTGGAGAAGGCTTTTAAACTTTAGGCGGACCCTTTATATAGATTCTTGCTTATTTAGATTTGTTTATTTCTTATTCCGAATGAGTAATTTACTTTTAACAGATTCCTCCCATTTTGATCTTGATGAAATTTTTATTTTGATTCAATAATATTAAGAGAAAGCAATTATGACTTATTAATTAAGAATAAGAAAAGATATATCGTTTCTAACATAATATAAAATTTTGAGCTGAAATTTTTAAAGAAATATTTAAATAATAATCTGAATTACATAAAACATCAAAAAATGGAAATAACGATATTTAAGAATTTGAATTGGTATTTTATTTGATAATTTAGATAAATGATTATTAAATCAATTTTTAAATCTTCATCAAATGGATTAATTCTTGTGAACAATCCTAAACGTTAACCATTGAAATCAAAAAAATAGAGGTCAATAGTATTGGAACTTATTCTCAGAGATTAATCCTATATTTATAAGTAATTTTGAAAATTAATATTGGAATAATTAAAACAGTTAATTCTTAATCCCAATTCTTAATTTGAAATATTTCCATTTAAGCAAACATATCTTATTGTAAAAAAATGCTTATTGGATATTCATTTTCATAGTTTATTTCAACTATATTTTTTGACTTAAGAATGAAACATATCATTTTTGCTGTTTTTGTGTAAATAAGCGATCGCAAAGTTTTGGGTTTTCTGTAATTCATATTCCTTATTCTTATTAAAGGATAAAGTAAAAACTTAGAGATTTTCTTTCATCTTTTCCTTCAATAATAAATTCTTTTTGAAACTCTTTCGTATAAAAGAGTTCAAAATGCTTAAATAATATGGATTAAATCAATATGATTAAGATGATAAATTGCTTAATATTTTAGATTTTAAGTTATTGGATATACATATTAGATTCATCTTATTACGCATTGAAAATAAGGTAAAACTAAACAGGTTCTTGATTAATTCATAATGATTAAATAGCAATGTGAGATCGTTAAGATTCATTTACAGTTTTTTTATCATAACGTTTATAAATAAAATAAATTCTAATTATCTTAGGTCCATCAGATAATTGAATGAATAAAAGATCATTCTTATTGAAGCTATTCTCTAAATTTATAAAATTATTTAATGATAACAATTATCCTGAATGTGTTGTCTTGACTGCAAATTTAATTCCTCTTTGAATATAATACTCAAATGAAGCTCATTTACCAACACATTTAATAAAATAATTAATATAATTAGTTTCTAAAATTTGATAATTGATAATTCATTCTCTTTTAAATTTGTAATTTAAACTTTATTTGAGAATACTTGATATTAATTCATCTGAGTATCCAAATGTAGACTTAATCAATTCTATCTCTTTTGTAACTGTTGTATTAAAACATAATGTATCATCTGTACAAATAGCAATAGGAATGCCTTAACTAATGAATTGTTGTACAGGATGACTAATAGGCAACATATTTGTTGTAAATAGATTGGATGAAAAGCATACTTCAATTAGAATATTGAGATTTTTTATTTTTTTGAGTTGTTCTTCTGTAAAATAAATTAAATGTCCTATTCTATCTGGTTAAAACTCAATCACATCATTATTTTCCTCTATTTATTATACAAGTTCCCCAGCGTGTACAGTAATTTTATATCCTAAGTCTCTAAACTTTTGCAAAATTGGCTTATATTGTGAAAAATGACCTTATCCTGGATGTCCGCATAGATCCACACCAACTAAATGTTATATTTTATTTTATTTCACTAAATTGAGTGTTTTTTGCGCTTCATCAATTCCTTTTGCTCTATCAATAGCGACTATTAATTTGATTTCAAATTTTGCTTGGTTTATTGCTTCTGATATAGCATTTAAGTATTGTAATTAATCGAAATCTTAACCTTTTTTAGGTGTTGCTCTAATTTCTAAATAAGTTACTCCATCAGAATAGAAATCCTAAAATATCTCGTCTGCAATCCTTCGAACATCCTCTAACTTTAAATTTAAAGAATTTATTTTGCCAAATAATTTGAAACATTATTCTAAGGTAGTACATTTCTAAAAATCGATTTCTTGATTTTATCCAAATTATCTAATTATGAGCTCTTAGAGAGTTTTAAAGCGAATACAACCACTAAAATGGGTATGTAATTCAATTTTATCCATATTAATAAATAATTTATTTTTTTATTTAATAATGCGATTGAATTATGAAATCTTATCAAATTTAATATTTAATGCTTAGAAAGATAAATAGAAGCAAGAGATTATTCAAGAATGATGAATAATTAATTTGTATCTAGCTCAATAATCTTAAATAACAAATAATAAAATAATGTTTTTTAAATAGTTAAAAGAAGAATTTATAATTTCTTAATTACTAATGTTGTTAATTAATTAAATCAAGTTTATTAATTTGTTCTTCAATAAAAATTAATGACTTTGAGAATAGAATCTCATTTAAACTTTATTACTTAATTGTTTATTCTAATCTTAAAATTTAAAAAACTTATCATTCCAGCATTATGAATAGTATCTCATAGGTTGAATTTGAATGGAATCCTGTTTCCGGTGTGTTAATCAATGAAGAGAATGACAATATTTAAATTGATCTTAAGACTAAAAGAAAAGCAGATCCAAAAGAATTTGGAATTGAAATCCATCCTCATGTTTTATTTAAGAAATAACTAAATTATGATTTGGAAGTAGGATGGAGTTGGCATAAATCCTGGAATTTGCCTGAATTTGATTATATCCTAAAAGTAAATATGTGTTTTAGCCTCTAATAGGATGCTCATATCTATCTTTTAGCTTCTTAAGGTACTGTATTTGCTCAAGTTTTTGTTGTTAAAGCTTTGGAAAATTCTTCATCCTATAAAAATTTAGGCATTAAGGGAGAATCAAAAAAAGAAATAATAGACCAATAAGCAAACTTTAGATGTCTAAAATTCACTACAACTTCATATAACAACAATGTATTAACTTAAATAGTAATGCTAGCACAAAAAATTCCATTTGATGATTGTTTTATTTTATTCCTCAGTAAATGGAGAAACAATGGTTCTTAGTTCAATCATATCGCCTGGGATCTTTGTAGATTCTAGAAAATATGCCAGATTTCACAATTTTTCAGTCCTTTAGAACTCTTTTACAGAATTATTCCCTTATCAGTTGATTGATTCAAAAATTATAAAAAGGGAAACAAAAAATAAGATTTTAAAGATAATTAAAATAGAAAACTCAATTATAGGATTTATTAATTATTTTACTGCCTCTAATATTAGAAATAAAATTAAGCACCCAATATTTTTAGCTTTAAGATTCTCCAGTCTTATTAAATTGTTTGTTGATTAAGAAATGCTTGATTCCTAAACTAGCATTGTGACTTCGATTTAAAATCATCTAAATAATATTATCAAAAAATTAGAGCATTAAAAGAAAATAAAGATATTAATATCCCTTTCCGATGGAGATTATGTAACATAAAAAAAGGTAAAATTTATCATTTATTTAGGCACTTGAACTGATTTAATAATTAGAAAATAGCTGCTATGAAATTTATACGCAAAAATGCTACTTACCTAATAATGTATGCGAGATAGAAGATTTTCAATAGCTAACTCTGTAATATGAGGAGTTCGTCTAATAATCTAAAATATAAATTAATTAGAATAAACATTGTGACAAAATTAACACTTAATTTTCAGTTTAAGTTGACGATAGTTTATAAAAAAAGGTCAAAATTGAATAATTTGCTGATATGAAAAATTAGTAATTATCGTAAACATTCAAAGATATTAATTTGCATAAAGCTGATTTTGATAATTCAATAAAAAAGGAAGAGGATTTAAAAACTTCGTAATATTCATAATAAAATTTATATTAATAATAATATATCCCATTTTCAAATATTAATTAATAACAATAATACTTTATGTCGCCTTATTTAAACCTAGTGCCATTTGTTAATTAATAATTTTAACATTATTATTTAACTCCATATCCATATGTGAATCCATACTAAAATATATGGAGATTATTTTGATATTAATATTTTACATTCACATATTGAATTCATAATCTAAATTAGAAATTAATTATGTAGAATCTTGAGAAGTATTTAAAATTAATATGAAAAAAACAAAAAATAAAAGCAATTAAATCAATACATTTCTGTATTTTTAAGACTTGAATGTGTATGTTTGACTCTTTTTCTTGATTCTTTTTTTACTGGCATTTCGCAATTTTTGCATTCGTCGCATTTACATAATTCTGAGCATTTTACTCCCATCTAATAACATTCGCAATATTTTTTTAAACAATTGGATTTTTTGCAATTACATCCTTTAAAATGTCTAGGTTTATGATCAATTTCATCTTCAGAATTACTCTAATAATTCAAATGATATAATACCCTAGATTCAACTTTTGGTCTAAATGCTTGTGGATTTCTTTCCATAATTTATTTGATGATATTTTCTCTTTCTTTTACATGATCATCATTATTATGACAAGTACAACAGTTACAATCCTTTCCACACGGAACTCCAGCAGCGAAACAGTCACAATACAGTTTTAGGCATTTTGATTTTTTACAATTACAAACTATAATTTTAGGTTTCTATTCAGTTTAAGGTTTTCTTCTTTTTGAGCTGGTTCTTTTTCTATTGTTAGCTTGATCACTTGTAAATTTGAGAGGTTTCTTGAGGGTAACAAAATTGATGAATTTCAATTTTGTGGCTCTTTCTAATTTTCGATGAGGGGATTTAGGGGGACTCCTAAATTACGAGTGAATATCTTAATCTTCAGAGAATATTTCTTCTTCATCACACAATAGGTCATCTGGAACTTTCAGAGAACTAAGCGGTGAACTAATATTGACAAGTCGTTGTTCTGTCTTAGAGTGATCGAAATTTATTTATCTTGCTGGTGATATCACAAAGATATTGGCCTTTTTTATTGTTTGGCGATTTAATGGGGAGTAAGGTTAAAATCTAGAATTTATTAAGAAAATAGAGTACTAATTGGGAGACTTTAAGCATGGTGTAAACTCTAATTTCTTGCATACTTATTCAGGGGACTAGTCTTTTATATATATTTCATCTTGGTTATGAATGCAATCGGCATTAAAAACTGGGGATTTATGGATTTTTTCTAATCTTTAAAACAATTTAGTAAATGGAGTTCCATCCTATATAAATTCTGAGCTCATTTGTTATATGAATTTTCCCTCTGAATTTAAATTCAAATTTTTATATATAAAATACCAAACAATTATTACCCGCATTTAGAGTGAAGAATCTAATAGAAAGCACCGCCATTTAAAGGTAGTAGTGATTTGAATTAGTAAATTTAAATTATCTAAGTTTTTATGTGAATTTTTCTCAGGATTAGTTTAAATGGTTGTTAGATAATGCAAAAATGATTTCCCGCATTATTTTTGGTATTTGTGGCATTATTAATTTTGTTATAATTTGTTAACAAATTAAATTTATCAAAAACATAAATAAAAATTAACAATTTAATTTTCTTTGATTTTAGATAATAAGGAAATAATCGGATTGTGATTAATTCTCCTGATATTCATTATTAAATAATTGCAAAAATAAGACATTATAAGTTCAATTGAAGATCTTTTGAAAAACGAATAATAATTAATGCGAAGTGAGTTGAAACTCGATTATATTAATAATATAAAGGGTCTGCATTAGTTAGTTATCAAATAAATTTATTTTAAATAATTTAAATAACCGAAGATATGGGTCATCTTTTTAGACATTAAGAAGGAGATGCAGGTAATTATGTACTCGAAGATGTAGCACCACCTCCTGCGTTAGCCAATATTCCAGCACCCCAAGCATCAACTATTGATTATGATTGGATTCTAATTTCAGGGTTCATAATAGTGTTGACATAAGTGGGATTTGCATTCATTGAAGCAGGGTCAGTGAGATATAAGAATTCTCAATCAATAGTGATAAAAGTGATATTGGGTTTGTTCTTGACAATATTAATATGGTGGTTGGTAAGACATAAACATAACAATATAGTTTGGATATGGATTCTCATTTGGATACGATTTCCAAACAAACTTTATGGGAGGCACAAAATTAGGAGGAGCAAATTGGGAAGCAAATCAATTCGGAAATGATTACACAAACTTTGGTATTTCTGTTAATATTCAAATTTTGGTTAGTATTCAGAGCATCAGGTGCAGCAATAGCCGTATCAGTGTTATCTGGAGCAGCAGCAGAAAGAATGACCTTCTTGGCCTGGTCAATTTTATCAATAGTATATGCAGGATTCATTTATGCTGGATTAGCACATTGGACATTAGCAAAAGGATGGTATTGATTAAATGAGAATCTAATTAGGTTGACAACTTTGGGATACAAGGATTTCTCAGGAGCTGGTGTTGTGTTTTTCGCAGCAGGTGTTGCTGGATTAGTTGTGACAGTATTGTTGAAGCCAAGAAGATTCAGATTTGATCCAAACACAACCTTATAATTCTAAAGACATTCTCCAATTTATATTGCTTTCGGATCTATTTTGGTCTTCGCAGGATGGTTATTCTACAATGGAGGTATTGTTGCCTAAGGAGCTAATTCCAAATACACATAAGGATTGGTCGCTGTCAACACTTTGATTGCTGGAGCTACTGGAGGATTCTTCGCTTTTATCATTAGATATTTCTAGTATGAAACCACAAGTTTGGTTGCCTTGTCTAGAGGCATTGTCAGTGCTTTGGTGGCTGTAAGTGCTGCAACTGATGATATGAAACCATGGACTGCATTCATTTATGGTCTTTTGGCTGCAGTCTTTTACAGTGTTTTGGCTAAAGTCATTCCAAAGGTACATATTGACGATCCTGTCGAAGTTGTACCTGTGTTTTTGGTAGAATATTGAATGTATCATGTAGGGCAATGGTTTCTTGGGAATCTTCTTGTCAGCATTCTTCGACACTAAAGCAGGTGTTTTCTATGGATTTGGAGCTAAATTATTAGGATTGTAATTGTTGGGATTATTGATCATTTTTGTATGGGTTGCCTTCTTCGTCTTGATCACATTACTTATTTTAAAGGGATTCGGAGTTCTTAGAATTGATTCAGAAACTGAGAGTGTTGGTATTGATAAGGCACAATGTAATTAGATAAGACTTATCATTAGGTTTGGGTGAAGCCATTGTATTTGCTAACTAAATTGACGAGGCTCCTCTAGTACCAAAGACCGAATTGGTTAAATTAGGAAACAGCCAAATTGGATCAGGATTTAGACCTGGTTTTAGATGATATTATATCAATCATATAAATGAGCAATTTTATCAAAAAACTTCAATTTCCTTTTTAATATCCAATCTAGTATATTTATACCTTAATTGGTCAGATCTATAAATATTATGTATAATTAAAGAATTTGGAACAAGGTAGACTAATACAAATCAAACAATACAAATGGATTACGTCTAAAGCTCTTAAAATCAGGTAAGAATACTCATTTTGTCTATGTACTATGCACGGAAAATTATATAGTGCTATTTAAAGTAACAAAACCTTTTATATAATAGGATGCTGATTAAACGAAACCTTACAAATATTTACCAATAAACTTTGAATATAGGTTTCAAGTTTTAAGAACTCCACCTTTACTTATAAACCCGTCACTTTCTGAGCAAAAAGGCGAAAATGTTGTATCTCTGGGAGAAATACTTGCTATTAGATTTTATAGGGATGACGTTGAAAAGTGGAGTGAATTCAGGGGTTCAGTGAGTGATTTGGAGTAATTGAGATAGTTTTTAGGGAAAAAAATGAACCAGATGGGATTCCATTAGTATTTCAAAGTGTATAAGAAAATAGGAAAGGGGAGCTTCGCTTCGGTGTATTTGGCTTAGAGGATAGAGGATGGAACAAAGATGGCTGTGAAGGCGTTCTGTAAGAATGCAGTTTACAAGGAGGAGAACGGGAAGGTAAGTATGAAAATAAACAAGTTAGGAAGGGTTAATTAATGAAATTCAAATGATGAGAATTCTAGATCACCCAAATTTAATGAAACTTTATGAAGTTTATGAAACCCCCAATTCTATCTACATGTGTTTGGAATTACTAGAAGGCGATCAATTGCATGGATTATTCAAGATGAAAAGATCATTTACTGCTCAACAAATCCATTCAATTATGAAAGGCTTGTTGGAAGGATTGAATTATATACACAGTATGGGGATAATGCACAGAGATCTCAAACTAGAAAATATCTTATTCAAGGAACCAGAGTATGAATAACCTTAATATACTTTAGTAATTACGATTCCGTGGTGATAGCTGATTTCGGATTGGCCACAAAGGTGGATCAAAAGCCATTCCTGTATACCCGGTGTGGAACTCCTGGATTTGTTGCTCCGGAAATTATCAATTTGAAGGATGGCCAATTGTCTTATGGTTCCATATGCGACGTATACTCCTTGGGAGTGATCTTATACATCTTGATTACCGGACAACCGGTGTTCAAGGGCAAGAGTTATAATACTATAGTGAGGAGGAATCGAGAAGCCATTGTGGATTTTCAAACTGAAAAACTTAGTTAAGTATCGGATAATTAGAGAAGTCTATTGATTAAGATGCTCCAGGCAGACCCTGAATTAAGAATCACTTCGAAATAGGCTTTGAAGCACGAATACTTTTGTGCTTATTACGAAGAGGAGTTCGCTTAGATGTACACTGATGATGATCCACACTTGGGGGAAATGCTCGTTAAATTGAATGCAGAATATATTCGATTAGATATGGAAAGGCTAAAAAGAACCAATGATGAGGATGACATTTGTAAGACTGAGGATTTGAAGGTTGATTAGAGTCAGGAAAAGAACGATTTTCTTAAGATCATCATGAGAACACCAGTCATCACTGGAAGAACCAAATCTATCGAAAGTATTTTTGTGTCTCTATTTAGATTCTCCGCTCAATGGATTCCAGTCCCCAAATCAAGTTCCTAACGCTCATCATATCAAACAAATTTAGTCTAATTTGATGAAATCTTTCGTATTATAAAATTGATGAAAAGGAGATTTATAATTGAATTTAGATTGTACTAATATTCATTATATAAATATATAAATTATTTTCTCTCAAAAGTAATGCAAAACATCTTATCTTAATAATAACAATTTTTTGATTTGTTAGACAAATAAGTGGATGCTTATAAGACATTGCTTGATCAGTTGAATTCGAGTCAAGACAAATTCAATAATCTACTTTAAGATTATTTGCTAAAATTTCAAACGATCAATAATAAACTAGTCCAAGGACGACAAGATTTATCCTGCTCTTAAATTCAAATTAAAAGAAATGATGAGCTGTACACTCATTCTCAATTACATATATAATTCAATTTAAGATCTGTAACCCTATTTTTTTTTTAAGTATTTAGTTACTGGAGAAGCAATATAAATACAAACTTACCTTAGCAGATGCCCTAGAAACTCCGCTTTATCGAGACCGTATCTTTCAATTGAGAGTTGAATTGAAAAACAAAAGCGGAGACCTCGTTAAAAACCCTAATAAAATCGAACTTGTTGTTGCAATCTATTCATAAGAACAATATCCCAAGGAAATCAAAGTCAATAATAAAGGAGAACAGATATTGAAAGGTCACTTGTGTGTGCCTCTTATCAAAGGAACTGCCTTCTTTACAAGAGTTCAAATTAGGGAAGTATCTTCCCATTATTAAAATGGATCCATCATCTTGGCTATTCTACCCTAATTCAAATCGAATGATGAACCCATCAATAGTAGGGATGTTCAACCACTCATTGTCGAGAATATTAAAGTTAAAGCAAAAAAATTTTCAGAACGTCACATTCCTGTATATGTAAATTAATGATTAATTATAATGTTTGGGAAAATCGTAATTTCTACAATTATCATTGTGATTCTATCTTCCTTCGTCTTTATTTACCAAAGCATCCCAGATTACTAAGGAGAGTGGTCCTCCCAACACATAGACAATGATGTTAAGTAATAATTGAAAGTGAAATCAAACTAGGATATTTAGAGATTAAACATTTGGTATCCCCCACATCCATGCCAAAACTCTAAAAGAAGGATATTATGGACTAGGATTTGTACATGCCTAAGACAGATTGTGGTAATTACACTTAAGAAGGTAAGCTATGAAATTAATTAATGTAGAATGTCATCATAAGGTAGATTAAGTGAGGTCTTTGGATATCGCTAAGAGGTTTTGAACATTGACAAATATATTAGAAATCTTGGATATCTTGAATCATGCAAAAGAATAGTTGAAAAACTAAGTGATGAAGCAAGAATGCATTTGCAATCTTATGCAGATGGAATAAATGATGGAGTGAAATCAATATAAATCCTACCAATTGAATTTAAAATATTGAGGGTATAATTTCAAGATTGGTAAATATTTGACACAGTTGCATTCATTAAGTTAATGTCCTTACTGAATGTAAATGATATGTTTCATGAATTTATGAGATCGAAATTTGATGAGTTGTATGGAAGAGAAATTGCAAACATACTAGGTTCAGTTGGACCACATAACTAATTTGATTCAGATGTTACAGAAGTTTAAGAAAGTGAATGGATTTAATTTATGCAAACAAATAATGTGTCATACAACTAAAAATTTTAATAGAGTTTTAATCATACAAATAATAGTTAAAATTCAAAAACATCAAAATACAATTTAACAGATATTTTATAATCAATACCAGAATATTACTCAAATTATATATTTCCAACTCTCAAAGCATCTAATGCTTGGGTTATCAGTGGAAACCACACCAAAAGTGGAAAACCTCATTTAGCAAATGATCCTCATTTAGATAACAATATTCCATCTTAATGGTATTAGGCTGAAATCTATTACCAGATGGAAAATCAAGAAGATAACTTTATTATAGGTGGCACTCTACCTGGATTACCAATATGTATGAGTGGAAGAAGCAAATATTTGGGTTGGGGATTAACTACTTTGTATTCTGATGGAGGAGACATATATGAAGAGGAAATAATAATTAAAGATGAAGATAAGTTATTTTACAAATTCAATAATGAATTGATTCCTTGTAATAAAACAGTTGAAATTATCAAAATTAAAGGGTAAGAAGATCAATCTATTACTATTTTTCATACTCATCACGGTCCAATTATGTAATATTATATCGAGAACAATAAATTAAGGGATCATAATGGACATTTTTATTCATTATAATCTATAGTTCATATAGATGACTATGAATCCTTTGATGGCTTTATTAAATTTGCTTAAGGAAAGGACTTAAAGTAAAGCATGGAACTATTGAAACATATCTGTTATCCCAACAATGGAATGGTATTCATTAGTCACGACAATCATATTGGTTATCTATCAACAGGAAGATTAGTAATAAAAGAGGGACATCCAGATGAAAATGCATATGTTAAGAAAAACAATAAAGAATGGATTAGATATGTACCATATTCAGAAATTCCCATGATTATTGATCCTGAAAAAGGATATATTGTTGTCGCAAATAATAAATTTATTCCAGACAATGAACTAAGTTGGAATTCACAGCCAACAAGTAGAGGAAGAAGAATAAATGATGTAATCAATGAAATGATCAATAAAGGATAGAAATTTTCTATTCTAGACCACGTAAAATTGTAATCTGATAATTACGATAGTTATGCTTGTAGTACTAAAAATGAATTAATTTAATTGCTTAAAAAATACGATAAAAAGAAAGAATTAATAAATGAAATTGTAATCTTAGAAAATTGGACTTGTAAATGGGACTCATATTCTTCGGGTGCCTTATTATATGGAGTATTCGAATATTTTTATTCATTTAAATTTCACTCTCAATTAGATTAAGCTGTAATCAAATAATGGAATAATTTTTACATTTTTGATTCATTCCACTTTAAAAATCTGATTGATATGAGCAAAGCACAACCTAATGACTAAATTTTGAATTAACCATACTGCAACGGTTCTGCTCAAGACAAATGCGCTTAAAATTTGGTTGATTCTTTAAGAGAAGCCAAATAATATATACATGAAAAATTTGGAAATCAAACCAAATACTGGAAATGGGAATCATTACATAATCAAGTGTTTCCACATGTATTTTCAAATACACCTTTCGCTTTTATTTTTGAAAGGAGAATACCTTATCACTCAAATAGAAGATCAGTGGCAGTATCATAATATGATTTAGAAGGATCTTTTGATGGTAAAACAGGATCAAATTATAAATAAATTATATCGATGGATTCTGAAGAACCCAATTACTTTGTAATTGATACAGGGATAAGTGGTAATCCTTTTAGTAAATTGTACACTAATCAAATGGATATTTGGAAATAAGATAAGTATGTCAAGATGAAGTTTGGTAATAAAACAGATTATGATTTATTATATGTTATACGTCCAAATTGAGTTAAATAGAGATATATATATATAGATTCTTTTATGTAAATAATAATATATTTTATATTACTTCACTCTTTTTTCTCTCCTTATTATGCTGCTTATCTCTCAGCCTTTTTCTCAGCTTTCTTCTTTTCAGCTTCTAATTTTTTTTATTATTTTTTGCTTTCTGGATTTGGTTATTCTTATTATTTTTATTATTTTGGTTATTCTTATTATTATTATTACTATTATTCTTTCTTTTATTCATCTACTGTTCCAGTTTGAACTGATTTCAAGTCTAATTTGGTTTAGATGCTAGCTGCTTTAGTCTTACCATCTGGAATATAAATCAATTCATATTTATCTCCAACAATTTTATCTATTCTGAAAAAGCCTCTTCTCTCAAATTACAATACGGATCCTACATAATATGATATTTTTTACCAACTTAGAGTGTCTTAATTCCAGCATCAGCGAAAGCTTCAGTAACATACTTACTATTTGTATTGTAATAGTCCTCAAATTTGTGATGTTCTTCAATAGTTTTAACTTTAATGAGATGATCATATTCGACCAAATCTACATTGACAATAGGAGTATCCTTAGCAAGCCAAGTATATTTATTGGTTGTTTTGAAATCCTTATCATCTGGTAAGTTCTCACCAGTCAATAAGATTTGTCCATCAACCTCCTTTTTGTCTGTTATTTTAACATTTCCCCACTTCATTAGTGTGATTTTCTCATCTACTTTAATATCTTTAGCATCCTAAGCCTCTAAGTACAATTGGCTGCTTCTAAATAATGGTCTTGTGCCTAATTCATTATTTTTAGGATGTTATGGCACAGTGACTACATTAACACCTTAATCATCATAATTTGAAATAGTCAAAATAGCAATTCCATCCTTTCCTACGGCTGTGTATCTTGGAGCAATTGGGTCTATTTTAGTGAAATTGATTGACCAAAGCTTATCCCAAGTTTAAAGATTAGCATTCTTTGATGGCCCTTATTCCAACATAAAATCATGTAAGGCCTCGACTGTGATTCCTCGTCTTATGATACCTCTAAGAGTTGGGAAACGAGGATCTTACCATCCTTCTACAACCTTTTAATCTACAAATTCTTAAAGTTTTCTCTTGCTCAAACAAGTATTAACAAAGTTCAATCTTGAAAATTCATAAATCTCAACTGGTCTTAGTTCCAATGCTTATTAAACCCATTAATATTATTCGATTCTATCTGAGTATTCGTTAGTTCTCATTGCATGAGTAACGCCTTCAATACTATCCAAAATTGGGCATACAAAATCATAGGTTGGGTATGCCTTATATTTGGTACCTGTTCTATGATGTGGTATTTAATTTGTTCTGTAGAGAACTGGATCTCTTAAACATTTATTTAAAGCTTTCATGTCAATTTTAGCTCTCAAACAATAATCAAAAGTTTTTCCACTTAACATTTATTCAAATTTCTCGAGATTATCTTCCACAGAGTTATTTCTATTGACACTCTCAATGCCATCAAATCTTTCCTTCTTCATAGTTTCTTTATCTGTATTATCACAATAAGCCAATCCTTTTTTAATTAAGAATCTTGCTTTTTCCTCTGCAAGGTCAAAGTAATCACTTGAATGGGACAAGTTTGCCCACTCGATTTAAAGAGTTTTCAAGTCTTCTAAGATGGCCTCTTGATATTCAGCCTTCTCTTTTGATGGATTTGTATCATCAAAACGTACCAACATTTTGCCTTCATACATTTTGGAATATCTATAATTCAGTACAGATGCTTTTATATGGCCAATATGTAAATAACCAGATGGCTCAGGTGGAAATCTGGTACAAACTTAACCTATAATGAAGAAATATAGAAGATAACTACCTTTAATTGCTCCTTTCAATACATCATATTGTGCTTGTCCTTATGGTTTGGCTTGCTTCATGGTAAAATTTTTAAAAATAATTTTAAATAAATTCATAAGTAATTCTTACATAATTTAAACACATGTATTAATTAATCATCGTAATAACAACACATAAGCACCCATAATAAAACATAAACCTGATACTAATGGCGATAATCTATCCTACACATTATATTATTGTTAAAATACTCCAATTACAGCACTCCTTCTAAAGAATCCTCTAAATCCGTGTCTATGCGAATTTATTAAATCAGGTTTCATTTGTCTGACATAAGTTGATGTGCATATGACAAGCAACAAAATCACTATCATAGTTGAGAAGTTGAAAATTCCAAACTAATTGTCATGCAATAAATTACCATGCCTTCCTGAATTCTCTGCTTAATTATTATAATTTATATAATCTGATCAAAAAATACTTTATCCCTTGATAGATAATATGATTTAATATTGAAGAAGTAAAGTTTGATAAAATCTTGAATTAGTTGATACAATTATATATTTATTTCATAATCATTAAAATTCGTCTCCTCTTCTTTTTATGTAATGTTTAAGTTCCTTGACATTCTCTAAACATAATGATAATATCCTTTGGATGGTCTCTCTTTCTCTCTAACTAATACATAATGCAAATTCCAATTACTTTTCTTATAACTTGAACTAATAGACATTGTCTTCCTACTCACATTCAGCTGCTCTATCTCCTCTTTATTTTAATTTATTGTCCTACTTTTACACAGCTTCATCTCTATCCATGGTTAACACTTTGATTTAGGCTTCCAAAACGTTTACATCTGAATCTAGTTCCTCTATAATAGCACTAACATCTCTTAGATCTTGACTTAAGTTTTTGTATAATCTTTAGAAATATGCCTCTCTGATGTCATCTACTGATCGTAATAGACTTCTGGCTATATCAATATAGTTTTCCAAATCATTGCAGGTCTCTACTAATTATCTTACAGTTTCTTCATGCTTTGAAATTTGTCCTGCTTTCAATTATTCCATCACTGTAAATAATGAACTATAACCCTGTAAATGTTTGAAATCGCCTTGGTTTAGAGATCATAGAATACCTGCTTTGAGACTTGCATAGCCTAATAAATTAGTGACTTTATCAACATCGTCTTCTTGGAGTTGAATAAACGCTGTCTCTCCATTGTCGTTTTCATATAAAGCAGACTCAAATATCTCTCTAACTGCAACAACAGCAGATATGGCAGTTTAATGTTCTCTTTGATATACAGATATACTTACTCAAGTCTAGAATCGAAGATGCACTTTTATTTCTCTCTATTTTATTGGATCTCATCTATTCTATTAAGTAACATTGTCTTTTCTTTCTTTTTGTTTTGAAGAGTGTTAACTTTTTTGGTTTTGTCAGGTATTTTATCGTCCAAAGCTTATTGCATGTCCATAATACGCGCTTTCAATAAAGCTGCATAATTATCAAAATCTCCTAGATCTTTAGTACATTTGGATGAGAATGACTTATGTTTTTCATCTATATTAAGGAATTCTGTCTCGTAAGACTATGCTTGATCTCTCAAAATTTGGAAGACTCTATCTAATGGCTCTTTGCTTCTCACAGCAATTTAGACTGTATCCAAGAATGTTTTGCCTAATTAAGTTTGTTCCAATTTAATAATTTCCTCTTCAAATTTAAGTTCGATATTTACACTCAGACCTAAAAGTAGAAATAATATTAGCATGTTAATCGTTTTTATTTATATAATAATGTTAATATTTATTTAATTGATAGTTGGAGTAGTCTCAAATGAAAAAGTGATAACATAACAAGTGGCATTATAAATGGCTTCACTAAGTTTGGTGGGAACAGACTCGTCCCCAGCATTTTTGGAATTTATCAGTCTTCCTCATTCAACATCTCGTATAACAATAGACCGAGCTGTGAAATGGACATTCAATGAAGACATAGTATTATCTATATCACCTTTGGAATTCTATACATCTGCAGAAAAGGCATCCTTTCATTCGTTGAGAATACAAGGTAACTTTTACTATAAAAATCAACCACAATGGATGCTTTGGTGGTAAGAAAACTATTGGTAATAGCCAGTAGATTGGAGTGATAACTCAATATCCACATGTGGAGGTATCAGTATGTTGGGTGGTTATGGTAAATTTGCAGGAGGGGAGGTTCAGAAAACCTTTGTTGAATTGCCTCAACACAGTAAAGTTAGGATAGTAGCCAATTTTCATTTTATAGATGGGTGGGGAGGAGAAACTGGGTTCTTAAGAGCAAGCATAGGCAGAATGGATGGAATGGAATATGTTTGGACAGAGAAGTACGATTACTCTAAAGTCAAGAATGGCATTTCTGTATGTGGCAGTAGGTATCCTGAAGGAAAGTTGACTTCAGTAATTGATGTCTCATTCCCACATACGAAGGATACTATTAAGTTGGGTTTTGGAAGCACCTTAGACAATGATCCACTTGAGAATTCATTCGGAATATCCAATTTGTAGATTTACCTGATCTGATCTGATAATTAATTTATTTATTTTGTGACATTTTTCACAAATGATAATTAGAAGATGTTCAATTTCTAATTCGACATCTCAAAGATCATAGTCTTAAAAGTAATAACTCAGTATAATACTTTTGTAGAATGTCAGAAAATGAATAATGCAGTAGTAATTCTCACTTCTCAACATGCTGTAGCAATACTTCATCAGAAATCGATGAGATCGATGACCCTTTGAACTATGCTTCCTTCAATGATTTCCAGACTGTCCTACCCCTTGTGATAAATGGTGTCAAAATTCAGAAAGTAACTTGGGATCTCTTCTCTGCCCCTCCAAATGTATATTCTCAATGGAAAGCTCATTGTTTTTGGACTGTTGGCTATACCTACGACTTTACAATGAAAAAAATGAAGCACAGCAACAATATCAGGTATAGATTGAGTGTAAATGCATGGTGCTGTTTAAACAGTAAATCATGGGTAAAAAACAAATGGGATCGTTTGCTGGAACATGAAACTGGGCATTATCTTATTGGGTGCTTATGTGCTTTAGAATTCAAAGCGAGGTAACAGTACCTTAACCAATTGTAGAGCTGAGAAAACTAAATTCACTAAGAACTATAGACTCGAATCGATGAGAATCTTCTAAGATACATTCTAGGAATATCTCTCCCTAGAAAGAAGGTATGACGAAGAAACCAATCACAGCCAAAATATCAGCAGACAAAAGGAGTGGAATGAATTCATCATTAAGGAATTACAAAAATACTGATTTTATTATTATTAATAATATATCTACAAATAAAATGGGTTGTTGTGGAAGCAAGGAATGTATTCATTTCTTATTTTCTTAGAACAATCCAAAATTGAAGTTCCAAAAAATAAGCCACCCGGTTAAATTTAACCATCAGATGTAATATTACATTATACCTTTGTTAGGTTATTGTATAGTCGAACAAAGTTGGAACAAAAAGAGACTATAAAAAAGGTGAACTGATAGGCACAGGTGCATTTTCTGAGGTCTACCAAGCCTTGGATAATAAGACTGGAAAAATCTTAGCTATTAAAACAGTTAAACTTTAAGGAGGAAAAGACTAAGTATTATCTTATTTTCAAAATCTAGATCTTCAGAACTATAAATGCATTAAAAGCAGAAATCAAACTCTTAAAAAAGTTGTAGCACAAAAATATTATTAAATACTATTTTACAGAAATCAGCCCAGATCATTCCTATGTTGACATAGCCCTAGAGTACATCGCATAAGGATCCCTTAGAAAAGTTATAAATAAAGTCAGACTAGATGAAACCAATGTTAGAATATATGCAAGGTAGATCTTAGAAGGAATTTAATACCTTCATGAGAATAAAGTTATTCACAGAGATATTAAGGCTGCTAATATTTTAGTTGACAGCGATGGAACAATTAAATTATCTGATTTTGGAACATCCAAAGTTCTAGAGTCTGAAGAAAACCTGATAATATAAAATAAATCCTTAAAAGGCACACCCTATTGGATGGCTCCTGAAGTATGCTAATTAAAAGCAGCATCTTTTGAATCTGACATATGGTCTTTTGGAGGGGTAGTTATAGAGATGATTGGAGGTTTGCCTCCTTATGCTGACAAATATGGAGCAGATATTGAAGCTTATGAATTAATGAAGAAAATAGCTTAAGAAGAAAAACCTAATTATCCTCAACAAACATCAATGCTAGCTAAAAGTTTCTTAGATTCTATCTTTGTTGCAGCTCACCTTAGGCCCACTGCTAGTAAATTACTTTAGCACCAATATGTACAAATTTCTGATCCTTAAACTGATAGTGAGGAAGTAGGATTTAAATAATCCTTAGATCCAGTTCCTTCTAAACGCTCTATAGGTGGGGGTACTAATGGGAACATTTAAGATAAACCCATCAATTCAACATACATATAATAATAACAATTATAAAAACAAAGACTTGATGAATAAAGGCTCTAGAAGTATGTACTTTCTTTAATTAGGTAGACAGAAAGAATGGGAGCTAGCCCTAAAAGAAGAGTTAAGAAGAAAATCACAAAAAAATTGATGAATAAATATTTCAATTAAAGTCACTACTTCATTAATACATATATGATCTACAAAAGCTCTTCAATTAGATAACTATATTTGTATTTCTATTCTATTAAAAATGTAAGAGGTTCTTCAGCTACTAAAAATAGAGCTTAAAGCTAATGTAATGCAAAGTTCTTTTGTAATCTAGGGTATATTAATATATTTTTGTAATATCCTTCTAAGATAAACCTTTAGAAAGTGATAGTTTATTGTTTCAATATATATTACATACATTTTAGAAGGTATATTTTATGTTATTTTTTTTAAGTTGATAGTGTTTTAAATAAAATACAATATGTAATTAAAAATACTATTTCTCAAGTTTCTTATTAAGGATCTTCTTATACAAATTAATTATCCTCTTCGTTATTTTTCTCCTCATTATTATCCTCTGATGGCTAAATAATTATTTATGGAATATTCTATTACTATTCATCTAAATTATTAGAACTAGATTTAGCTTTTAATTGTTGGTAATTAACTTCTGTCTACAATTCTTAAATTTATTGAAGTTATTATTAATAGTTAATTTCTATCTATTTTAATTTTTCTGAAAGTTAGGAGTGTTCAGAACTCAATTATTACTTTTCTAATTTTAATCCTTTGCACTCGTCTTACAATTAATTTATTTTCTCATTTATCTTATCAATTACAGAAACTAAATCAAGGTTTTCAATGCTATATTTTCCAAAATTCGATTTAGAGAGGTCTTCAATTTTTGTTTTTAAGATTACATACTCTTATTCAAGCTTTTTAAATTTTTGCATCCATTATTAAACGTCTTTATTTTGCTTTTCTCTACTAGTTTAGCTCTTTTGATTAAGCGTCTCTATAGTCTACTCTAATGCTTCATTCATTTTTTCGCAAATGATAATTTTTTCTTTGAATTCCTTGGTTTCTTATTACTCCTGCAATAATTTTTATTATAAATGAGAAATAAGTTGATTTAACTCCTCGATCTATTATTTTAGTTAAATAATTTAGCATCTCTGTTGTTCAATTTGAAAATCTGACTTTTTTAACTATTCTAAAGCAACTTTTTAAATATTGAGATTATCCCTTTATAATTGGAGGATCAGGGAATCCTTTTAATCAATTTGAGTTTTAAATTAGACTTTAATGATTTCGAAATCTTCATTTGATGGATCTGTTATTTTAGATGGAGTTGCTTATTTTATTAGTTAATTCAACTTCTCAATCTATTGTTCTTATTTTAAGCATTTTTCTTATAGTTATGACACTAATTGTTAATTAGTATCATTGCTGTAAAATATCTTCTTTTACTTTTTGAGTTGTTCATATTATAATTTCCAATATGTACCATCTTCATAATTTTTATTTGGTCTCATAAAAATATTAATCAGCTGTATAAATTGGGAACACCAAGTAAAACATCATAAGTGGCTTGTTAGTATATCGGTAGTACGCTTGCTTTGGGTGCAAGTAGGTCGGGTTCAATTCCCGAACGAGCCCAAACTTTTTTTTTTTTCTTATTTAGATTCAGATTTCATCATAATTTAAACAAAATCTATTTTTAATTGCGTTATTAAATACCGTAAAATAATTTGAGATTAACATATATACATTTTAGTTTAAAATTCATTTTGATACAGGCTAAACATCATTAAGATTAATTAAAGCAAATCTGTGTTCAAAGATGAGAAATTTATGCAGTAGTAATATTGTTTCTAAATATATCTCTCCTCTAATTGTTGATAATGCATACATAACTAATTGGATGGATGTATAGATCTTTAATTGTTGAAAATTTGGCCACAGGAACACACCTCTTATTATTTAATTAGATGGTCCCCTTATAAAAAATTATATTTAAAATGCTTTGTTTTAACAATTTTACAATGCAATGGTATAAGAAATATAAAATTTTGAAGGAATATGAATCTTAACCTTCCTATATTATAAATTATAGACTAAGTTAGCATGCTAACCCATCTTTCTGAGGAGGTCTTCTTCTTATTCTTTGTTGTTGATCTGATTAGTTAAAATTTGTTATAATTTTGAGTAAATATGATAATATAGTTCTAAGATATCTTTAAAAAAATCATGAAAATACTGTTAATATTTGTAATATACTCTGGTTTTTAATTAACTTAAAATGCAGAGCGAAATATACTAGTAAAATTTATTAAAAAAGTAAGGAATAAACAGTGCTTTTGATAAGCTGAAAATTTGAAATGGCTTAAATCAATAAGCTATTATTTAAACTAGAAGAAACTATTGTTGAATTAATTGATATTTTTTGTAAATAGAAGAAAAAGGATACAATATTGGACATTTTTGAACTATAAAGTTTAAAGTTCGAAAATAATAAGTAAATAGAATGATAATTCTTAAGTTCTTTCATTCTGTTTAATTGTGAGGGAAGATTTGTATTTGTTTGCCTAAAAAAAATTATTTGAATTAATAGTATTTGAAATCTAAAGAATTATAGAGATTTGGAAAAAGGAGATAAATCTGAGTAAGGTTGAATTGGAAGAAAAGTACAACCAAATTATCTTTAGATAATAATTCCAGTAAATCACAAATGAATATGTATAATAATTTTATAAATATATTAAAGACGTTCATCAAATTTAACTACATATTTACCGTTTTCTATATGTAATCCAAATATAAATTGGATACGTTAAATTTTACTTTGAACTCGTCAAAATGTAGTTAAAATTTACATTTGACTTTAATTCTTGAATAAAAAAAAAAATTTTAATTATCCTAAAATTTATTTATTGTATGGGAGCAGTATAAATCTGTATAAAATAAAGAAACTCTGATCAATAGACTGAGTATTACATTCCTACAATCTAAAAAAGAAAACAACTGATTAAACATTCACATAAATAAAATACTTTGATTCCTCCACTTTCATAGTTGGGTGAGGAGTATGAATCATTAGAACTATTAGAATTATCATTACAAGAAAATAGCATTAATTTAAGCATTAATAAAACAGCTACTCTTAATTGCGGTTGCACAAATCCTTAATCTATTTAATTCAATCCGAACTTAAATCTATCTTTGAATTCTATTATCCCAAATCAATAAACCAATCATAATTTACCATTTTTAGATTTTTTTGAGTAGAAGGAGTAAGAGATAATGTAAAAGAAATAGGCTTACAAAGATTCTTAATTTAAAATATTTGCACATAAACAGGGTGAAAAAAAGGGAGGTCATGCTCAAAGCATAAATAGCAATTCAATAGGCTAAAGAGCAAAAAATATTAATAATGAGGATTCGCCAGTCTTAATCCAAAGAGATTCTGAAACAAACACAAAAAAAAGTATTTTGAAAAACAAGAAGCAAATACTCACTAATTAACTACAAAGAGGAGTTAGTTTAAGATAATAATAATAAATAATCAATAATGACACTCAATCTCAAAGAACTTCAAAGAGTTAAAAGCGAGTTAAATTTGATCCAAAAATATTTAGACCCAAAAATTCTCATTTCTTTTAATGAAATTAAATCTAATTTTTCTAATTTTTATTTATTATCCCTAACTAATAAAATCATATTAAAATACTTCTTAGGATAATAAAAAGCTATTCATTTTTTCTTTAAATTCTGACCATTCTACAGCAGTTTTAGAACAATTAAATAATTTTAAAGGTATAATAAAATATTGATATATAAATAATAATTTTAAGGATCAATATTGAATCTCTAAGAGAGAATCAATATTATATTAGCCATCTCTAAATTTACCTTCCTAGTTGTAATTGCATAATCAATTATTATGCTAGTTTAAAATTTAGAGACTATAAATTCCTGCAAGAAAAATTAGTAATTTCATTAACTCTTTCACCTTTTATTCATTAGACTTTAATTTGAGAATTTACAAGCAAATCCTAATTCAGTAGTTCATCAAACATCAAAGCCGAAAGAATTTTATTCATCATTCCGTCTAATTCAAAATCCAAATAATTGTTTGTCCACATTATACTAAGTATTTAGTAAGAACGAGAATTCTAGTAATGCGGGAAGATCATAATTCAAATAAATCACTTAATGCTCCTTAAAAAATAAGCACTCATTCTTGTATTCCAATCTTGACAATTATCATTTCTCCCAAAAAATTATCAATAAAGTTCGTCATAAGACTGTAAAACTCTAAGCCTTATTTGAAATATTGTATTCCGAACATTATTTTAGATTTTTTACTAATATTTTAATAAACATAATATGTAATATGAATTAGATGTTCTAATAGATTTAATCAACTTTTCAATATCATTTATTCACTAATTTAACGGAATGTTTCTAAATGAGGTTCTTCTGTTGCATTATATTTTTCAGTCTTATATATATTTGAAGACTTCTTATAAAATTTTTAACTTGTTATCAAATTCTATGAAGGATGCAAAGATATTATTGGAATTAAATGAAAGTCCTCTAATGATCTAAACAAATAAAACGAGATTTTGTTCTATTTTCCTATACCATTTTATTTAAAGTGAATTTATTTATAGGGTCCAATTTATCTGATTATCATTAAAGCAATAGGAATTTCTAAATTTAATTATTAATAGCTATTATGTCTTAATTCTTCTAAGCTTTAAGGGTTTAAAATTGGTAATTTACTAATCTTTTCAGCAGTGAAAACCTGACCATTGTAAATAATATCAAATTTTATGAATTTTTAATTTAAATCATCTTAACTCACTTCATCCTTCAACTCAATTACAATCTATTCCGTGTATTAGTAAATGAAGAATAAGCAATTTATAAGTAACTGCTTTAGTTTTTTTTGATCAGTATATATACGATTATCAGTCAAATGAGAAATTAAATTAATTTTCTTATTATCTCTTTTAGGGAAAAGTACGTTAAAGATTGAAATGCATTCTTATATACAATTAGCAATATCAAAATGGTTGAGAACAATCTTGGCAAATGTAGAATTCAAGTTGGCAAAATCATGTATGTTATTAATGTCAGTGTAGGTTTTCGTAATTTAACTATTCAAGAATAAAATTATTTTTTGATTGTCAAATTCTTACTATTTATTTTTCTTCAACATTTCATATTATAAAATTTGTTTGAGATAAATCAAACAGATCCTGATCCTGGATTATATACTTTCCTAAACCTAACTTAATAGTTTATTATTTATTTTCAGTTTATACTTTAATGATTTATTTTACGATTCTATTCTGTTTTCTTTGATCAAAATTATTAGACAAGGTTTTGTATCTTCAGTACGAATTATTTTGATATGATGAACATCTAATCCAATCAGCCCAATCAATTCGTAAGTTTAATTATCTTTAGTACAATTCTTAGTTACTTCCTGCATTTTCTCCTGATTCATAAATAAATAGAACAAAAACTATTCTAGGTTAAGCTTATTTTATTGATTGAGCATTTAGGAAGATTGTATAATAGACTTCCTTCTTCTCTAACTGAATAAAATCACTCTTATACTTCTTATCAGATTTATGAAACTGTTTTATTTAATTTCAGTAATCTATGAGACCCTGTTTTGTCTGATTAAATCGATTGAATTATTGCCTAAGTTGTAGTGAACAATATAAGATTGAATATCTATCTATTAATATAAATTGTCTTCAACTATGTCTTTATTATTCATTATGATAAACGAGATTCTAGTTTGCCATTCGCTTATATAATAACTGTAGATTGCTATTATACTAGAGAAAATAAATAAAAAAATTTCTCTCCAACCATCCGAAACCAGGTAGAGAGATATGATATTAAGGATGAGCACTATTATTGTAATAAAGGTTTTTACTAAATAACTCCATTAAGAGATTATTCTAATATAATTATTTATTTTACCCGAGAGTTCCTAAACAAATGAAGTAGCTTTCTAATACTTCCCTATTATTGAAATGGTTTAAAAAGCCATACTTAATTGGGTGTTAGATGTTGTAAATTATTATTGCTATTAAGGTTAAAGTATTGTTAAAAGATGCCAATTATTATTTAAAAATATAGCCAAACAACATGATCAAAAGTCCAAGTAAATTTAAAATAGTTTCAAACCACAGCTTTTGTAATACGTTCTCCAGAATTTCAAATAATATTAGGATTATGAGAAAAAGCCTATAAACAGTTTAACTCTATAATTAGTAGCTTTTCCTTTAGGAAGAATATCGGTGTTCAAACTCTGAATTATTGAATCTTAATGTAATATAATTCATAAATAAATTAATTTATTCAATAAAGATCAGTGATTACTATATTTCAAACTATTTTGAAGCAAGCTATCTCAAACTCAAAATAATGTGTCAAATCTTTCTTTGCCAACTCATTATTACAAACAACAAATAAGAGGTTGTAAAGTAATTGTCTAAAATAAAATAGAAACATGTTTACAGCAATAAAATCAATAACATTACCTAACTATGTAATTTTATTTGTAAACCCTCTGAATTCCATCAAATTTACAAAATAAATAGGTAGTTTATTTTCCACTATTATTGAACTTCTATTTTTAAATTCATAAATTTATCCAGATATTATTTGAAGTGATGTATTCATGGATTAAAAATATTTTTAGTAATGATGTTTTTTATTCATAATTTTACAACTAAATTCGCATTTAACCAAAATATTAAATTTCTAGTTTTAGACTGCACTAATTATAAAATTTGGCATTTGTTCTACATGGATGCTCTTTCTATAATAACTATAAATAATTATTTCCTCACTCATTATTGAAATCTCCTCCAAGAGACTATTAAGTATTTCTCAGAAATAAATTGAGAAAGTACATTAAGCGAATTTAAATTATTATTGTAGCTATTTTCTTTTATTGAATTTCACATTTATTATTTGTAAAGATAAATAGAGAATTTTTATAGAATTTATCAAATCATATATGGAATATTGGGGGTAGAACAACTAGTAGCTTTAAATATATAATTGTAAAGCTATTAGATCTATAATTATTGATTTTTTAGATGAATATTTCTAAATGATTATGATAACATCATCTTAAATAAAAGTTCCAATTTAACTTGTAATATGATTAGGATTGAGACCTTTTGGTATATGACTTAAAGATGGCAATAAAATGAATGGCAGAATGAGATATTGAAGATTTATATGTATTTATCTTCAATTATTTAATAGTTTATTAATAGCATAGTTTACAATTTTACTAATTCATTAGTTAAAAAAAATAATTCGCGGTCTAATGAAGTAAACAACTCTTTAAAGGTTTTTAACTTCTTCTTAGAAAAAGAATGATACTAGCAGCTTAAATGTTAATAAGACCTCAAATTCTAATACTATATTCGAAGAAAAAAAGGTAGATATCTAATACATTAAGCCTTCAACTTCAATTACAAAAGAAGAAGTTTAGGCTATTAAAGATAAATTAATAGGAAAAGCACAAGAAAGGCCATAATAATTAAGTAGGTTAAAAAGGAATAATGTTGTAGAGAGCGATGAAGAATAAGAAAAAAAAAATGAATATTTAGATGAGTTCAAAATTGAAAAATTTTCTTTTGCTTGCTCTTAGGAAAAGAATAAAGAGAGGAAATCTTTAGCTGTATTTGTTAAATAAGATATTCCAAAAAATAATACTAAATCCTAGTAAAAGTAAAGAAAGTCAGAATTTGATAAATCAGGAAAAATGAAAAAATAATCTGTAAAATTAGAAGAAGAGGAACTTGATGACTTTTAAGAAAACAAGTAAGGAAATTTGGATTTCAAACTTCCAACAGATAAAATTAATGTGCATGAAGAATTTGATGATGTGACTCCTAAATGGGCAACTATTGGTTCATCAAGAGATAAAAGTGGTAAATTACACGGCACTTCGGATGCAGATCCAACAACCCTTTTAATTCCTTAAAATGAATTCAACAAATTAACCAAATGTATGCAGTAATTTTGGAAGTATAAGAGTGAGAACTTTGATAAGATCATATTTTTCAAATTAGGAAAATTTTATGAGTTATTTTATGAAGATGCTTACATTGGAAATAAGTATTTAGATCTAAATTGGATGGGACGAAAGATGTAATAAATTCTATATATATGATTATAGGCATACAGGATTTCCAGAAAAAGCAGTCCATAAATATAAGGCTCTTTTATTGGAGTATGGATACAAGGTTGTTATAGTAGATTAAACAGAAACTCCAGAATAAATGAATCAAAGAGTGGCTTAAAATAAGAAAGCTGGAGTGGGGAATACTGATAAAATAGTTCAAAGATAAATAAGTGAGATCTTGACCAAAGGAACTTATTTGTATGAGGAGGGAGAATCATAAATGAATCTAGATGAAAAAGTTTTACTAGTTATACGAAAAAAGATCTTATCAAATACAGTAGAGGAATATGGAATGGCTATTTTAGAAAGATAAACAAACACAATATCACTTGCATTTATTGAAAATAGGGATAAAAACTATGAATCTCTTAAGACTTTATTATTGCATATGAGGCCAGTGGAAACAGTTATTGATTCTAGTAATTTACCTTCA